AGAGTGCTACAACTGCATATGAACGTGCTTGTGGACGATTTTACAGTGGAAAGATGGCGATGTTTGGGGAGGCAGTGATGGGATTCCTCCGCACCAGTCAAAAAGGTTTACCTCAATGGACACGTGGTGTGTGGCTCAGCAAAGCCATTTCAAATGACTCTCACATTATTGGAACTCCAAACGGAATTTTTCTCACACGCAGCATCAGAAGATTGCCAAGTTCCTTTGATTTGGAGTTGCTTGGAGAACTTACAGCTTCACCTTGGAATTATGGATGTGCAAGTTTGGGGCACAGACTTGTCCATGCAAAACGCGTTGTTCCACCACCTGCAGTTGCGTTTGACAATAGCCTTCGACTGCCAGACAGAGATGCAAAGGATGTTCAAGAGTATGCCAGAGCGCACCCTTTTGAGGATGTTGACGAAACTGCAATCTCTGCCGAGGCGGGGCTTCTTGGTCAAGCTCAACAGCCGCAAGATGGTGAACAAGATCCCATCTTCAACGATGAAGGCTTGGAGGAGGCCATTGCAGCAGCAAAGCGTGACTCAAAGGCCCAATCTATGAATGTGGATGTACCTCAGACCCCCGTCTATGGTGAAACTTCTTCTCAAACTACTGGCAAACACGACACACAACATGAAGTGACTGGTGGTGATCCAAAGCGTTTTCATGCAACAGCAGTGGAAGCTTCTTCAGCTCATGGAGATGTTGTTCCACAAACGCCACAGTCAGAAGCAGCAATTGAAGTTTTGGATGATGCTTCTTTTGAAAGCATGCAGCCTGTCAGCAAAGCTGCCAAGCGTGATGACACTGGACATCTTGGACTTTTGGGGCAGATTTTGAAGATTGAGCACCTTGACATTGAACCTGATGTCAACCTTGAGATTGATGAAGTTGACACGATGATTCAGCATGAGTTGAATCTCAACGAGGATCCCTATGAGACCATGGATGATGAGGGACCCAACTTAGATGAGCTCAGTTTTCCATACAGCCCTCAAGAGCCTGAACTCAGTGCAGATGAACTTCAGCGTTTGGACAGCATTGCAGATCAAGTGGAGGTCGAAAGGCTATCTGGTCTTCAAGTCTTGCAGGAGGACAATTTGCCTCACGATGCCAAGAGCTTGAGCACACGCTTTGTGCGCACCTGGAGAGAAAAGAAGGACAAGGAAGGCAATGCTATCTGGTTACGTCGTAGTCGTTTGGTTGCAAGGGAGTACACATGGTTGCAGCCTGACAGAGAAGCACTTTTCTCACCGGCTACTTCGAACATTGCCAGCCGCATCTTGCCCATTTGCTTTTTGGCCCTGCGAGAGCATCAAGACACGATGATGTTGGCCATTGACGTCAAAGACGCTTTCTTGACAGTGAAGCAGGAACAGCCAACACGTGTACGTTGCACAGATGCCTCAGGGAAAAGCGTTTCATACAGCTTAGGTCGAGTTCTCCCGGGTCAGCGTGATGGAAGCCTTTTGTGGCATCGAGATTTGGTCAAGTTTGTTGGTGAAAGTAGTCTTGGGATGGAGGAATTTGAAGCCTATCCATCCATTCTACGTTCCAAGCATGGTGATTGCTTGCTGATGATTCACGTGGATGACCTCTTGGTGGTTGGGTCACGCAAAGCAGTGACAGAACAGCTGATCCCACACATGCAATCAAGGTATGAAGTTTCCATCGAGATTATGTCCAACGTTGGTGATGAACTGACTTTTCTCAAGCGCACCCACCAACTTTTAGAATCTGGACGCATGGTGGTGAAGATCCATGGAAAGCACCTGGACCAACTTTGCAAGTTGTTGCAACTTTCAAAGCGTTTGCAGAACAAGAAATCGCCTGGACATTCAGAGATTGAGATCCCTGACAAGACAGAAGAGCTGAGCGCTCATGATGGATCAATTTACCGTTCATGCGTGGGGATTTTGCTTTATCTTTCACCTGACCTTCCACAATGTCAGTATGTGATTAGATATCTTTCGACGTTCTCATCGAAGCCAACACAGAAAACGATGGTTGTGCTGAAGCACCTGGTTGGATATCTGGCTGGTCATGCAGACCAACATGTTTCTCTCAGATGGAAGGGTATCCATTCTGGACTCATCAAAGACTATGAGTGTGAGGAACCAGTGCTGGAAGTGTTCAGTGATGCAGATTGGGCATCAGACCGTGACACTCGACGATCAGTGTCAGGATCTGCTATCTTCTTTGGAGGTTGCTTGGTCTACTCCTCCAGTCGAACACAGAAGATTGTGTCACTTTCCAGCGCAGAGTCAGAAACGTATGCAGCAGCCAGCGCAGTGATGGATGCAATTCTCATCAGAGCCATCATTTCACGGGTACTTCAGTCAACCATTCTCATGTGTTTGTACATCGATTCGTCAGCAGCACGTGGAATTCTACCAAGACGTGGAGTTGGTCGTTTGCGACATCTCAGTTGTCGAGTCCTTTGGCTTCAAAACTTGGTTGGTGAAAAACTGTTGATGGTTAAAGCAGTCTTAGGAGCAATCAATCCATCTGATATAGCCACGAAAAGACTCAGCATCAGCAGATTGGAATCATTGTTGTATTTGTTTGGTATCTGGGACAGTGCAAGCAACAACCTTGTGGGACAACATGATCCAGGTCGAATTTTCAGAAATGTTCCTCAACCTCAACAGAACAGCGCTTCCAGATATCAGATCAACATGTTGATCGGCGCCTTGAGCTTACTTCTTCAGGGTTGCGACTCGGACGTGCCAACTAGAGCCATGGACTACAATTTTCAAGGGTTGACCATGGAGGCAACCATCGTGACAAGCTGGATCACCTTGTTGACCTTGTACATGGTGTTCCTGTGGATGCGCAATGATCAACCTGTGCCCAACGAAGTTTTGGCCAGCGATGATGATTTGACTTCTGTGGAAATGTCCTGCAGCGAGACGGAATCCTGTGATGGTCTTCCAGACTTTCCTGCATTCAGTCCTGAAGCTTTGATTTCATGGATGTTTGAAAGATGCTTCCGTCGACGTGAGGACTCCATTTGCAGTGGAAACAACAGCAGAGCATTGGCCTATACACAACGTATGACGCTGTTGGTGGATCTGTTTGATCATGTGATGGGTTCCGATGACAATGTAAGGCAAGAAGCAGCAGACATGTTCAACACGATGCCAGACCTTTCATCTGATGAAGGGAGCCCAACATATGCAGCAGACGAGCCACCAGAGGCAAAGAAGAGAAGGTTGAGTACAGCACACGCTGTGATGATTTCATTGCAGAGTAGTATGACCATGGGACTTGGAGGATGTCTTCAAGCTGAGACAAATGAAGATGCTCATAAAGACACTGGAACCAATCCATTTTCATTTCTGGTTTTGACCGTGTGGACGATGTTGCTCGCAGCATATACATGGTGGATGTTGCGTAGCCCACATCCTCGTCCAGCACCAGTGACACTTCCTACACCAACTGAACTTGCAGTTGGACCAATGGTTACTCATGACACCAATGTACTGGAAGGGTTGCTGACGTGGACGTATGCCCGTGTCTTGGGCAGGCTTGACAGAGCCAACAGGGACAGCAACTTCGGAAGAATCAGAAAATACACTGAATCACGAAATTGGCTCCAAAAACGCTTTGTAGATCTGGTACATGGCACTCCAGCCCAACGTGAGAGGATCCAACTTGCTCTCACGGGAGACAATGAGTTGGAGGAAGAAGATGACTCTCCGACATATGGCTATGGAGTGGTGGAGCGTGAGCTGCTTGCCGCAACTCATGGACAGATCTTCCACTTGGTGGTGAAACTTCTCGAACTGGAAAGATTTGAGAATGTGTTGGGCTTGGTGCGTGGGATTGGGACTTCACTCAGAGAACCGCCCAATCCACCGAGCCCAGCAACCACATCAGATGAGGCCATGACAGAAACAGAGGAGGAGAGAGTCCAAAGGTACCAGAACGCAGAACAATGCGAGGTGTCAGACCCAGATCTCTGGGCCACAATCCATTATGGACCAGCAGATGGAGATGACAATGGAGACGATGCAACCGGAAGCAGAGATGACCTGATGGAATTCTGAAGGGATTCTGAGCGGGACTAGACAGCACCACAGAAGTGGTTCCACAAGCGGTTAGGATAAAAGCCGTCTGTGGGATCCAGTGCGCAGATTTTTTTTAGCGCAGAAAACCCCAATAGAAGCGAAACGATGGACTATCCACAGTCCTAAGGGGTGAGACTAGGAATGTACAGACTAGTATTGAAAATACAGTCTGAGGCGGGGTGCAGAAATGTAACGCACCTTGCATCAGTACATGTACATGCCATAGCAGTCATGTTTGTCACTTGACACTGCACAAATCGAGCAGTGTAACATGGTGAGACTTTTTGAGGCGCTTTCAACTCAAGGAAAATCCGCATTCCGACTATATCATGCGTGCAATGGAAAAAATATTGACACGTTCGGGGATAGTTTGCTGTCTTCTGTTGGTTCATGCGTAGCCTTGATTCATGGTCAATTTGTCGTGCAACTAACTGCATGAGATATTCGGTTTTGGCACAAAATCAGTTGCGCGTTCCTGTTGAAACATTCCTTTTAGCAAACAAAAAACCCGAAATGTATTCCAGTAGCACATTCGCTTGCAGACATTGTTTATGTTTCATGGTTTGCATTCGCTTCTAATATCCAAACGCAAACGTTTTTGTGCTTCCGGCACTGATACCATGTTGCTGGTTTTGAATCGTGCAAACAAAGGCAGCACATTGATACCATTCTTTCATGCCGGAATCGTTGATTGATTGCATGTTCTGTCGTTGGTTTCAAGACCCGGCGCGCGCGCAAGACTGTGAGACAGTTGATCAACAGGTTTGTCCATCCAAGACCTTGTGGACGCTAATCAACTTGTTGATGTTCAATCCGATGCATGCGGCATGCCGCATATCAAACCAGGAATTTCAAAATTCAAAACACGTAAATGAACGTCATTTCAACATTTCAACATAATGTTGTGTATAATCCCGGTTTTCCAACTTTTGAATTCAGCCATGGCTTACCTCAACGCGCTTGTTGTTGTGGGAGCTTGCAACCTAGTTGGTTTCGGAATTTCGTTTAAAACCAGAATCGCAGTCTGTGACAATTTTGTTTGCTGAGGCCATCGTATTGAGCGTTATGCTCATCATATTGCTGATCGTCAAGTCAAGTCATCAAGCTCAACCACAGCCTGAGACAGACTTGGAGCTGGGAGCACTGCACTCGGATGTCCAGCATGTTTGAATCAAATGTACACTGAACAAATTGATGGAAATTAAACACGCAACACAGACTTATGAATCAAATCCAAACCCAGGCGCTTCCCGCTGCGACGATCCTTGTTACTTCCAATTCACACAGCGTGTGGACAAAGCAAGAGGTGACAACGGTGTCACAATCACAGGCTGGAACAAATCAAAGAAAACATATGAAAACATTAATTTTGTGCAAAACATCTGATTTGATTGCGGGACGCAGGAATGCTGTAAAAAAATTACAGTGCAGATTGGACTGCGCTGGAGGTTTCAGTGAACACCAGGAGTCACAGTTCATCACAGTCTTCAGGTCCGGACTTTGACCGTTTTTTTTGGTTTCTGAGACATTCGTTTTTTTTTTGTGTTTACAAACGGCAAATCACAGGTGGCGATGTCTTCCAGGCGGAGCGGGGCACTGCGGAGGAGCCTTTTGAGTTCTTGTTTAGATGGTTTGGCCACAAAAACGATTCCAGAATCGCCAGGTTTGGCAACCCTGCCGAGGTGTTTGAGAATGTCCTTTGATATCCAGATTTCAATCTTTTTGAGGATTCTGCTCAGCGCCTGCTTCAGTCGCCAACGGTTACAGGCCCGTGCAACCGAGCAAAGTCGAACGAACTTCATGTATGTATGTCCATTTTTTTTTGGGTGTTTTGATGTATTTTGACAGGCATAGCAGTGATACCCTCGTCTGGGACTTTGCAGTGCAGTGTTTTTGAGGATGCCTGGATTGCATTGCAGCATGTGTGGCACACCAAGAACTTGTGTCCAACAGGTCAATTTTCGCAGTGGAAATAGAACGAAATTGGATGTTTAAGGGGGTTCGAAATACAAAGTGTGCAAGACGAAATGATTTGAATGCTCGCGCAAATTTCGGATAGGGCTCAGTTGCCAAAGTTCTGTGGTTTCGGTCTAGGGTCTCATAGAACACAAGAGGTCGAAAGGATCTACAATAGATGGTGCTGCAATGTTTTGCAGACATGTGATCAAGTTTCATTTGGACATCTTAGATGCCATGCGTTATTGACATCAAACAATAATATAAGTTCTGGATACGGACACTTGGGGAGGGATCAAAGTCTTTCTCACACACACACACTGCTTCCTTCCATCGATTCCTGAAACATTTTCGATTTGCAGCGAATTTTCTCCACAAAAGGATTGCAGTTTTCTTTTTTGTCACCAGAATCAATTACTAAGAAGGCTTCATGGGCGTCACTCATAGTTTATTTATTTGCCGCATTTGCCTTTATTTTGTGCTCAATTTCACTGGTTCTGGAAGCCTCCGGCATTGAATCAGTGAAGAATTGTATGCTTTGAGTCTCGAGGAGACATCATTGTCACGCAAAGAAGAAAGTGCAGCCAGCGTCCTGACGCAAGCCGGACACTCAGACTGGAAACGGTCAAACAATGGTCAAACCAGATTTTGAAATTTGGTTTGGACACATGGAAAGTCATTGGAGACCCTCTCTGCAGTCTTGCTTGTTGTGCTGGCAAAGGTTCCAAGCCAAGAGAAGTCATCAGGTGCCGACTTGGATTGGGGTGAAAGGGGCTAGGGTCACGAGCTGGAGCAAGCAGAAGAGATTTGGTCTTGTCATGGTGGTCTACAAACGTGTAGCTCTATGTTCTGTTGAACATTTGTTGCATGATGAATGTCATCCGAGAATTTTCGTGAGCATTTTGAGCAACTTTGAGGTGGTGACGCCTTCCCGGGTGAGGTAGGCACTTCCGAGGAGGAGTGCGGCCAGAAGCATCATTTACATTCAACTGCGATGATTGGAATCGCGCAGTTGCTTGTGTTTCATCAACTGAACTTGGGAAGGATTTCGATGAGTGCCCACCGCGCTCCCCAAAAGGTGCAGGCAAATTTATTTCAAACTTTGTTTAGGGTTTAAAGCAACGTGGACAATGACGAACCCAGGTGACATGAAGATTCGAACCTAACTACAGAACAACTTTTGTGACGAGATGACGCGCTAGGCCTTGCAGTGATCCCCACAAACCTGCAAAGCAGCACACTTGAGGAGGCCAGTTTATCCTTGTCTTCCGTTGACTCTTGGCCATCCATGAACCTTCATACAGAAAACATTTGCAAAACCTCGCAACCCATCACAACCCCATCACGATCTTTCATGACAGTAGACTTGTTGAGACGGACGCCTGGGCTGCCATATATGCTTGTCTCACGATGTGCATTGATTTGCAATGGTTCTGATACTGAAGGAGGCCACAGAGTCATCACCAAGCGTAGACAAAAGTGCAGCCAGCGTCCTGACGCAAGCCGGACACTCAGACTGGAAACGGTCAAACAATGGTCAAACCAGATTTTGAAATTTGGTTTGGACACATGGAAAGTCATTGGAGACCCTCTCTGCAGTCTTGCTTGTTGTGCTGGCAAAGGTTCCAAACCAAGAGAAGTCATCAGGTGCCGACTTGGATTGGGGCGAAAGGGGCTAGGGTCACGAGCTGGAGCAAGCAGAAGAGATTTGGTCTTGTCATGGTGGTCTACAAACGTGTAGCTCTATGTTCTGTTGAACATTTGTTGCATGATGAATGTCATCCGAGAATTTTCGTGAGCATTTTGAGCAACTTTGAGGTGGTGACGCCTTCCCGGGTGAGGTAGGCACTTCCGAGGAGGAGTGCGGCCAGAAGCATCATTTACATTCAACTGCGATGATTGGAATCGCGCAGTTGCTTGTGTTTCATCAACTGAACTTGGGAAGGATTTCGATGAGTGCCCACCGCGCTCCCCAAAAGGTGCAGGCAAATTTATTTCAAACTTTGTTTAGGGTTTAAAGCAACGTGGACAATGACGAACCCAGGTGACATGAAGATTCGAACCTAACTACAGAACAACTTTTGTGACGAGATGACGCGCTAGGCCTTGCAGTGATCCCCACAAACCTGCAAAGCAGCACACTTGAGGAGGCCAGTTTATCCTTGTCTTCCGTTGACTCTTGGCCATCCATGAACCTTCATACAGAAAACATTTGCAAAACCTCGCAACCCATCACAACCCCATCACGATCTTTCATGACAGTAGACTTGTTGAGACGGACGCCTGGGCTGCCATATATGCTTGTCTCACGATGTGCATTGATTTGCAATGGTTCTGATACTGAAGGAGGCCACAGAGTCATCACCAAGCGTAGACAAAAGTGCAGCCAGCGTCCTGACGCAAGCCGGACACTCAGATTGTCCCTTCCATGTCTTGTAGAAGTTCTGTAGCGGTGCTCATATATTGTTGTTTTTGAACTACATTGAAATTGCTGGCAAAAGGAGACGCATGCTTTTAGATGCTTGAAATGCCTTTAACTTAACCCTTGGCCTTGGTTGTTCAAGTGATTGAAGCTGTGCATGCCCAAGGTTCCTAATGACACAAAGCCCTCAGGTGTCGTACTGCAAAGTGTTCTTCAAACTGTGCTTTGCTACTCTTACCTGGGGCTTCAAAAAACTCTCGCCACCAAGCAGTGCGCAGGAGGCGAAGCCATCGCGAAGCGAAGTTCTGAGGACACTATAAACCCTTGAGAGTTTTGTTTCCGTTCCTGCTGCGAGCACCTTCAAACTCAAGTTCATTCCTTCTCTCGTTCCTTCTCAGACTTTTGTTGAGTTTGAGTGCTGCAGTGCCATCGATGCTTTAGCCCGCTTGCAACAGGCTTATTACAGAGACTACAATGGGAACATATGAGAACAAATATTATTAGAAACAGGATATGGGAACCATGGTGCTTGGGAAACCATGTTTGCCACTTTCTGCTGATCTGTTCGGAGGAGGCATCCAAAGCAGTTTCTGATGAACATGCTGAAGGCGCTGCTGTCAAGTCAAAGTATTCCGCGAGGTTTAAGAGGAGAAGGAAAGGAAAGAAGGTTTATAAATTGTTAGCTTTTTACCTTTCTTTGTACTTTTCTTTGCAGCTTTTTACCTCTGAGTTGGTGGGACCAGGAGAGGCAGTGCAGAGCAGTGTTTCTCCGGAGGCTTGGTGTGTTTGTCAAGACTCTATGCGGCCAACAAACTCTTACGCTTCCATACGCTTCCCTTTTTACAGACATCAAAGTCATCAAGCTATTTGCCAAGTTGACTATTGTTGACTATTGTTCTGAACAGAATGTTTTAGACTTTTGTTCAAGACTTCCTCAAAACAGTTCTACCAACTAGCCACATTGACTTGCAATGGTGTGCCCACCGGACCTGTTGCTGCTCATGAGGCCGAGAAAGCAGATGAAGCCCCAGGCATTGGTCGCAGTGCATCCGTGCTTTCAATCAATTTACTTTCTGGTCACTGTGACAGAATTGGAGCTGGGACAGTGTTGCTGAGTCAGCATGATTCAGCTGGTTCTTGCAATGAAATTCTTCCAGCAGTTATACCTTGGTTACCTTGGCCAAAATCAGTAGCTTCCTCCTTTCTTGCACTGTCATCAAGTACAGCAGTACAGCATTGACCTGCTCTTTTTTTCAAGAACTGATGCCGTGCAGGATCTGGGATGGTTAATGATGGTTAGACGGTTAGAGTGTAGGCTCTGAGCATTTACCCCGTGAAGCCCAAAAAAGGTTGTGATGCCAGAGTCTGCCAGAGTTTCGTGATGTGTCATGTGTTGGATTGTGAGACAGGCGGCAAAGTCGTCAGGATGGAGCAAAGTTCCTCAGAGGACTCCGCGAAGATGGTCTCCCAGATGTGCTCCATGTTTTCATTGAACTCCAGAGTGCTTTTTCCGAAGTTCCCCGCATTCATGTTGACACTATTTGAAATGTTTTTTAATACTATTTGACACTCTGTTTTTTAATGTTCTGAAAGATGGCTGGAGATCCTTGGAGCGGCTTCCTTGGCCATCCAGGAGTCTGGAGATCGAGTGGCTTCTGAAGATGAAGAAGGCTCCACTGGTCAAATCGTCAGCGCATCCACACACTGCAAGAAATGCCAGAAATCACATTTGAACATATTTGAAACTAGGAAGGGAAGCGAGCTGTTGATGTGCGGAGAAGTCAGATGCAAAACTCAGGATTTTGGAGGTGTATTTACAGTTAGGTCCTGTTAGGTGTTGCTTCTGCTCTCATTCCTGCCCAGTGGCTTTGTTGCTCTTGTCTTCCATTCAGTCATTGTGGCATCGAGTTGGTCGTAATGATTATCGGCTTCGTCTCTTTACTGGTTGTCACTTTTAATCAGTGACTCTCAAAGCACCGAGCAGCGACGTGCCTTTTTATTTCTTGATCAGGTGCTGGCGGACTGCAGTGTAGCGATCCCTATGAGGTTGGTGAATCCAGACAAATTTCATCAATTTTCGATGCAATTAATTAATTGGTGTACCAGGTACGGAGTCAAGACTTTTATGTAATCGGAACTAGTCACCAACACAGCGCGAACACATGAAAACACTATATATCAGTGATACATCAGTGTACTTTTGACCTTTTAAAGACATGCGAATACAGTCCTTCATGTTCAGCTTGATTCGTTTGAGGAGGGCAAGGCAAAGATTGCGCTTGCGAATTGCGACAAGATCTTGGAGAATTTGTATCTTGGTGGAGTCGAGGCAGTCTCAGACCATTCGAAGCTCACTTCTCAAGGAGTTCGAGCCATATGTGTTTGCTGTCGAGAGTTTGAAATTCCATCCAAGAGCTTTGCAACCGGTATCGACTACTACCGGGTGGACGTGGAGGATATGAGCAAAGAACCACTGGAAGAATTCTTAGAAGAAGCAACTGATCCTGATCTGAGTATTTGGCAACGGTTTTTTATGTTTTTTTTTTTTTCTGTGGGAAACTTGGAAAGCTCGGAGGAACAACGGAAGCCAGTGTTTGAAAAATACCGAGCTTTGGCCAAACTAAGGATTTCATATACTCATGGACCTCCCAAAACTTGCCAGTTCTAGTTCATTGCCGAGCTGGCGTTTCGCGGAGTGCGTCCGTGGTATTGGCCTACATGGTCCGCTTTGCCAATTTCACTTTGAACGATGCCTTCGTATACCTCCGAGCAGCCAGACCTGCCGTGACTCCCAATCTAGGCTTCATGGAGAAACTGGTGGCATACGAGGACACACAGTTTTTTATTTCACTGAAGAGAATGTAAACAAACAAAAGGATGGGCATAGAGCATAGGGCATTTCAAGTTGAACTAACTTACATTCCTATCTATTATGTACTTGATTGTAAGATGCTTGGATCAGACACATGTTAGATTCAGAACTTGGCTTATCTTGTCTGGAACACTTTGCAGGAGGAAACCAATGACACAGAAGGCACAATTGACACCCGTAAATACGAAAGCTGGTTTACCTTCCAGGCAGGGACATTGAAGAGAGGGACGGAGAGAAAGATAGAGAGAGAGAGAGAGCGCGCTGCGGATATTTTCTCGGCGGAATGTACATTTCGTATGTTTCGTACGTTTTTTTCTTTCAAATTACTTTCAATATCTTTCAAACAGGTTTTCAAAGCCGCAGATTTCTGGACATTCACCAGGCTTCATCGCCTGTAGCCATCCCGGACTTAAAGCCGGACGAAGCTTGATGGTGGTGTTCAGCAACTGAGAAGGTGTAAACCACGGGAAGGTAGCTCTGAAACAGTGCGTACCACTCCCTCCTTTGTCTGCTGAAAAAAAAGAGTGTACTTGAAAGTTCTTGAAAGGGAGGATTTTGAGAAAACTGCTACAAGAGAGGTGACTTCAACCACAAGGGTGTGTGTTGCGTTCAATTATGGTTCAAATCTTGATTCTGCAGCTTCCAGATCTTGGTCTGTCAATCTTTGAGCGAAGCATGGCTGAGAGCCAACTTCTCATAGACGAGGAGACTCGTCGAAGGATGTGCTTTGCATCTCTTTGCCTGATCCATCCTGATCCAAATGGTGCTGCATTTGCCTTATTTGCCTTCCTAAGTCCCTGACAAGTTTGGTGCACAGGGCGTCAAGGATTCTTCTCAAGTAGGAGGGTTTGAGACTTTTGCCATCCTCCTGACCGCAGCCTGTTTCTTGACTCTAAATATGTTGTGACAGGAACGGATCTTGATCTTGTCCTGCCTGATCCTGCAGACTTGCTGTACCATTCAGTTTCAAAGTCATTGATGGAGCTTTGATTCAGACACAGCTCTTTCCAAGCAAGTGTTTGTACCCCAGCAAGTCATGTACATGTTCCAGAATTAAAGGCACGTGGCTCTTATTTGCAGAGTGACAACAAGGGTCCTTACTGGATCAAAGACTTGGACGTACATCAGATATCATCACGTGTTGTATTATGCTTTGGCCATGCCACCAAGAAAGCGGCCAAGTGCAGCAATAGAGCCAAAAGCAAAAGGCTGGTCTTCGCGGTTGTCTTGAGTGCTAAGGAGTTTTGTGACACAAGTATGTTGCAGACAACATTTGACTATAGTTGAAGTATCAAAGAGTGATGGCATCTGATGGAGTGTAGACCAGTGTAGAGGTGCAGCATATGTTGCTTCTTGCACATGAAGCCTTCAGGCCGTCCAAAGCGGCAGTCCGGATCCAAAGCTTCCAAGGCTCAGAAGCTTTCCTTTGAATCTTGTCGTGTAGAATTGTTTGGCTTGATTCAAGTTACAGCCAAGTTGCCTATTTTCGCATCTCAAAGGACCAAATGGATCCAAATGGATCCAAATTGATCAAATGGATCCAAATGAACACATGTCCTGAGGTGGTTGAGGTGAAACCAACTGGGCTAGCAGAGATGTGAAATGTGAATGAACTGGTGTGAAATGTGTGAAATTTGAGGAAAACTCCAGGGAGTCTAGTGCCCAAGTTTCCAGAATTCACCAGGCAGCTGCGGCAGATTCCGATGCATCAGGCAGGGTGCTGCAGAAGTCCCGTCCTTTCCGCATGTGCAACACATAGCAATAAACGTAGCAATAAGCGCAGCAATAAACGTAGCATCAGGGGTCAAAATTTCTTGCTTCGTTTTGGACACATTGTCATTCTTTGCAGTGCCTGTGAGCACTTTCTGGGCGTATCCACCATGCGTATCCTGAGTTTTGACAGTAGCCTAGATTCTAAGATATTCGTTTCGAAAGAATCCCATCTAGTTTCACTGATGCTCCTCCTATTGCCCAATGGCACAATGAATGGCTGTGGACATGTAGAATGCCATAGAATGCCACTGTCCCAATAGAGGTAGACAGTCAGTGCACACTTACCAGGTGCTGCATTCCGCGCAGTTGCAGGGTCTGGCACTCAAGGGATCAGCGGACAAATGGCTGTTGGCAAAGGGTTGCTTAGTCCAGGATAGTCCAGGCTCTTCAGTAACTCAGACTGGATCAGACTGGTATATGTCAAGATATGTCAAGAATGTATGGCACAAGCGTGGCTTCAGCGAAGCAAAACACATTGCAATGTACCGCTGGATACAACAGGAAGTGAATACTTGCCTGTTGCTTTGCTTGAGGGGCCAATAATGGAGATAGATAGAAAAGTATATTATGCTATGTAGTCACTACATTATGTAGTCTAAGATTTGAGACCATTGTACAAGCAACGTGGCAGGCTGAATGCATTGTGCTCAAATTGTGTCACTTCCTGTAGCTTCGTCCCTTTGTGAAGGCGCTTCTTGGTGCCTCGAGAAGTAGTGGATGAAGAACTGCAGTCAGAAAATAGCGTTATAGGCACTGGATGGAACTGGTTGAATCGGCTTTCGCTTTGTCTTTCGCTTTGTCCACTCGAATTGAATCATCTCTCCGTTCGACTCCAACTTCTGGGGCCAGGAGAGGGAGCGAGAGCTGCAGTACTCTTTCACGAACCGGCATTTGACACTGCTGCTGTGCTGCTTGAACCGGGTGGAACTGTGCCTTGTCTGCCTTACTGCCCGATCTCCCCGTATTCAAGACTCTTGGCTTGTCATTTGAAAAATGTGCATGTGTATCATTTGTCAAGAGGGCTAACGGCTGCATCTCTTCCCAGAGAGCTGAGGGAAGCAGACTGAAATGAGAAGATAATATAAAACTTGGCTTAGTATTCAAGGCTGACAGAAATCTCAATACTTTTCACTTTGATAGACCTTGGCTTCTTGCGATTTCCTCAGTGCCCCCAGGAGCTGGCTGAAACGAACAGTACAGGCCAGAACTGCACAGAACTGAAACCAAAAATTCTCCAGTCACACTGCCCCAAGCTCCTGCACTACTTTCATGCGTGAAATCTTGGAAATACTTGGGGCTTGGGAAATCTTGGGCAAGCCTCAACAGTTTGCATTGAAACACTTGGAGTTCCTTTGAGTTCCTCTGGATCGCGCCTTGCCAGAATTAGAGATGCTGTACTTCGTCACTGAGGCAGAAGACAAACAGGCACTCATTTGATGTGAATTGTTCAGTTGAGTGAATACACGTGACCAAGTCGTGACCTGTGTCCTGGGCCCTGTGTGTGTTTTCTTCTTCGTTCTTTATCCTGCATAGGGTGTTGATCTGTGTTGATCTGTGTTGATGTATTGTTGATGTGACAACCACAGTTTGGCAGGTGGAGTTTGAGCTTCCTGAGACCAGCTTCAAACAAAGCCTATCGCGCGGTGGAGAGGCCCATGGCCACCTGGCCCACCAGAACTGTGCACATGTTACACCTTAGTTACAACATGTTACGGACTGTTACGACCCAAGTGACATAGATAGGGCGTGAGGGCCAGCAGGCTGAGTGGATTCGGATTCTTTTCTGAGCTCTGTGGGGATAACGCGTCTAAAGTTTCTAAAGTTGACTTACAGCATCTTAGAGAAATCTTACACCCTTGCAGCAAATAGCAGTCATGTCTCAGCAGTCCTGCAGAAGACAAGAATCTGTGCGGAATTTGCATACGAGCTATGCTGCACTGCTTACCTATGAAACAGCAGTCCAGCTTCAGCTTGAAGGAAGCGCTTAGCTCGGTGTGGAAATCTCTGACAGGCTCTGGTTCCACCTGGCGCATCATTTACCCTGAGGCAAGAGCCAAAGAATATTTCCATCTTTTTGGATAGGATTTTTTCTCAGCTTGGGATGCCGGTAGTGACTATTGGTACCGTTGTTTTTGGGACATTGTCACACTTGCAGGAACAACAGTGCGACGACGAGTGCAAAGCTACTAGCAATTGTGCCACGGTAGGCTTTCTGAGACTCGTGCACGGACGTTTCACAACTTTTTCGAATGATTGGGACGATTTAAATTTATACCATGCTCACGCATGCTGTGACGCTCTCCAGCCATGATTTAATTTTTTGTTTGAGAGACATTCACCAAATGGGTCAAGGTCACCGACGGTCACAACTTTTTGCATTGAATAGCTTTGTTCATACCTGGATTATTTCAGAGTGTTTCTCACTGTTGGAAGTTTCCGAGTTGCGGCGAGGTCAAGCGGAAGCTAATTGAGCTTAGTGCTGTTCATAATTAATGAGGAAGCGATGGGATGCGCGCGATTCAATTCGGTGCAAAGTTCCTTTAATTGGCAGCCTCTGTTTCCAGGGTTAATTTTAAATTTCTACGTGTCTATGGTGGTTTAGCTATTAAGTTTCGCTCTTCTGCATTCAACTTCTCAAGCCTGGACATGAACCCCTTGTGAGAGCCTCAAAACGGACCCAAATCTGGATGGAGTGGAGCTGGTATTCTGGATGCAAAGATGCCGCTCAGCCATTTCATCTTTGGGCCTTGCGTTCAGCGTAGTACAAACAGTGAAATTCGCAAGCAGTCTGTAGTCAGATTGAAGAAGACATAATAGGTGGTAAACCAGGATAAGCCAGGTAGGGTAGAAGATGAATGTCAGAAATTTAATAAAGGTTCATGGCACACTAGAGTTTCTTGGTCAAGCAAAACAACAGCCATTGTCATGTGATACTACGCGTGATCTCCAGCCTGTGAAATGCAGCCGCAGCCTGGCCCAGGCATCAATCTGTTTTGTTAACGAGAAAGTGATTCTCAGTATTTTTGAGTCACAATGCAGGCACCCTGACTGCTTCGAGTGCTCTGCGTGTTCAGGCTTCAGCACCAGCTTAACAAGCTTCACTTCACTGGAACGTCCATCGAAAGTTTATCGTGGACAGTGGGTTCAAAGGACATTCAATTTGTCAAGCACGGATGCAAAAAACAACATGTAACATACATGCTGTCACTATCATTCGGAGTTCAAGCACTTTGAATCCAAATGACCTTGTCAAGATGCAATTTGGGTTGTCTTTCTATTATATAGTCTATGAGCCTATGAGTGATCTTGCCAACATGACATAGTTCGAGGATTTTATTTGCAGTAGATGAGTGGTGCATGCGTGTAAGGGCGCTATTATGTGAAGGAGCCCTTACTGCAAAGCTTCACAATCACCGCTAGGGCTATCAGGCCTGTGGCAGATGAAACTGTGAAACTGGGAAGAATATGGAATCCTGGAAACTGATTCAGAGTTGGATCATTTCACAAGGCAGACCAAAGGGTCCAAAGGCATTCGTGGGCTTTGCAGGCAGAGCCTTTAATGCTTTGCTTGGGATCACACTCCTTCGCCAAGGGCTTATATGCATTGAGGTCGACAGAAGATCGGTTGTTGCCGTTGTCAACATGCAACGGGAATCAATGGAATGTGTCAAAACATGAGGTCCCAGGCGTTTGGAGCGGAAACATGTTTTTGCAGATGAAGGCGCATCTGCATTGGGTGAAGCATCTTGGCATGGAGGAGTTAGTCCAGAAGGTGGTCCATTGTTCTAGGCAGGATGTAGTGGGATACCGTGTGGCTACGCTGCGCCCAAATCCTTTCTGCGTTTTTCTGCAGCATTTTTCTTCAAAAGGTTTTGGCACTGGCGTACGATATTTTCCTCAATGTCGCGTATGCATTCCTCCAGTGGTCGCTTGGCATTCGCCGCCGTCACCGCCCTCTGGGTGTGGGCCGCCAGCACTGCCTTCGTTTCTTCGAACAGCGGTTCAAAGGCTCTGCGAGGAGTGGAGAGGGACTCCAATGCTGAATATGCTCCTTTCCCAGCACCTGAGATGGGAGAGCAGCAAGTGCGCAGCGTGAACTCTGGCATGCAGGCCGTGCTGCTGGCAGCAGTTGTTGGATTGATGGCAGGTCTTGCTCCAGTTCGCGCTGAGGAAGCTGCACCTGCAGAGACGGCTGCACCACCTGCTGCATCCCCTGCAGATGTGGGTGACTTTCTGTCCGGCGGCAAAGCAGCAGGCCGCGTGACTGCTACAAAGTCCAAGTCTCGCAAGTCCTTGAAGAAGGAGAAGCCTGCTGCCGCTGGTGTCACTGTCACTGAGGATGACTCTGGCAAGAAGAAGCGAGTCATCTTTTCGCCTGCTGATGAGCTCGATGAGGATGAGCTGTCTCCTACCCGCCCAAACCAGCCCCTGCTCTTCTTGATCTACGCCACACCGGTGACCATCTACCTGACCTTCTATGTCTTGGGATCCCTGAACATCATCTGAGTGCGGAGTTTTTCATGTTTAGATTGGAGGGACGGGACATTGTCCAGGGAGTCCTGAGAAAGGATTTGCACTTTGCTGTGCATGTTCCGTGGCTTAAGTGTCAATACGTATATATATATAGGTAAAATTATGAGGATACGACTTGATATTGTAGTGTCTTGTGCTCTTCAGAGTGCTTTGCAAATTTTGGCTTATCTATATTTGGATGGCATTCGACTAGATCCGAGCGGGTGTAATGCCTTGTAGTGGTCGAGCGGCCTCTGCAAAGATATAAAGTCACAACGCCAGTAATGGGTCATGAGCAGTTAACAATGCCTTGTTCGCAGGTCAGGCTGGAAACTGTCCCACCCCGTCTCAGTTATAATTTGCCTCTTGCCATGGCGTACTCCTCCAGTGGTCGCTTGGCATTCGCCGCCGTCACCGCCCTCTGGGTGTGAGCCGCCAGCACTGCCTTCGTTTCTTCGAACAGCGGTTCAAAGGCTCTGCGAGGAGTGGAGAGGGACTCCAATGCTGAATATGCTCCTTTCCCAGCACCTGAGATGGGAGAGCAGCAAGTGCGCAGCGTGAACTCTGGCATGCAGGCCGTGCTGCTGGCAGCAGTTGTTGGATTGATGGCAGGTCTTGCTCCAGTTCGCGCTGAGGAAGCTGCACCTGCAGAGACGGCTGCACCACCTGCTGCATCCCCTGCAGATGTGGGTGACTTTCTGTCCGGCGGCAAAGCAGCAGGCCGGGTGACTGCTACAAAGTCCAAGTCTCGCAAGTCCTTGAAGAAGGAGAAGCCTGCTGCCGCTGGTGTCACTGTCACTGAGGATGACTCTGGCAAGAAGAAGCGAGTCATCTTTTCGCCTGCTGATGAGCTCGATGAGGATGAGCTGTCTCCTACCCGCCCAAACCAGCCCCTGCTCTTCTTGATCTACGCCACACCAGTGACCATCTACCTGACCTTCTATGTCTTGGGATCCCTGAACATCATCTGAGCAGCTCGCGGGTTGCAGTTTTTCCCAGAAAACATCAAGAAATGGCTCTCGCGAGCAAAGCGGTGAAAAATGACAGCATCATCCCGCTGAGAGTAGATGGATGTGTTTGTTGCGTCAGCAGGTGTATGAATAAGAACATTTTGCATCATTTTGCTATATGCATTCTCACTCAATGTAAGTCCAACAGGACCTTATTCGGCTTGCTCGTTCCATGCATTTGTGACAAAAACCGAAAAGAAGGCTAAAATTATGCTAAATTGTGGGTGTCTTTAAACTGCATTAATTGCACGTAATGTGACATTTTGCGACATTCAGTGTTCAAAGGTCAGGATCTGGAGCTGAAAAAATTGCCATGGCGTACTCCTCCAGTGGTCGCTTGGCATTCGCCGCCGTCACCGCCCTCTGGGTGTGGGCCGCCAGCACTGCCTTCGTTTCTTCGAACAGCGGTTCAAAGGCTCTGCGAGGAGTGGAGAGGGACTCCAATGCTGAATATGCTCCTTTCCCAGCACCTGAGATGGGAGAGCAGCAAGTGCGCAGCGTGAACTCTGGCATGCAGGCCGTGCTGCTGGCAGCAGTTGTTGGATTGATGGCAGGTCTTGCTCCAGTTCGCGCTGAGGAAGCTGCACCTGCAGAGACGGCTGCACCACCTGCTGCATCCCCTGCAGATGTGGGTGACTTTCTGTCCGGCGGCAAAGCAGCAGGCCGGGTGACTGCTACAAAGTCCAAGTCTCGCAAGTCCTTGAAGAAGGAGAAGCCTGCTGCCGCTGGTGTCACTGTCACTGAGGATGACTCTGGCAAGAAGAAGCGAGTCATCTTTTCGCCTGCTGATGAGCTCGATGAGGATGAGCTGTCTCCTACCCGCCCAAACCAGCCCCTGCTCTTCTTGATCTACGCCACACCAGTGACCATCTACCTGACCTTCTATGTCTTGGGATCCCTGAACATCATCTGAGCAGCTTGACACTGCGTGCTTCCAGCACCCCGTTTTTCCGATCTCAAGAACTCTGCAACACCGTGCAGACAGCAAAACAATTGTAATGCAATGGAACTGGGCCATGCAGTGCGATGCAGGGCTAGTGTGCCTTCAATCTTTGTTGTGAATGGTTGAGCACCAGCGATGTTCATAGCTGTCATAGCGTCTGAAGCTTCAGCACACTACTTTGGTACTTTTGCGAGGTATTGTGACACTGAAGATTCTTGCGAATTTGTGTTTGCTTAATATGTTAGGTATGCATATATAGTTGATGATAGTTGTGTTGGTTGGCATGTTCAGAATTCACCACCACATGGTGTGTTGGCTTTGTATGTTCCAGGCGGAAACCGGCCTGCAAAGAAGTGGACGGCTCAGACTCGGGGAGCTCAAGGCATGCGCGATGTTCCGCCCTTCCAGGCTGCCCAATTACATGGTTCGAATCCTTGCTGGCGTCATTCTGGGCGAAATCATGGGTCCAGCCACCTTCGCAGGTGCCTTCTGGAATTGAACCTAAGCCTCTAAGACTCTAAGAACTGACATACCAGACTCTAAGAAGGCACAATACACATACACACACAAAGGCAGCTTGGGTGCAGGACGTGCTGGAAGTGCTGGAAGTGCTGGAAGTGTTGGATTTCTTTTTGCATTTCGATCCCTTTGCCAGGCGGCTGGCCGTTCCTTTTTGCCTACACTGCTGTTTGTACCTCAAAACGCTGCGTCGTTGGTGATTTTTTCAGCTTGACCCTTCCAATGGCTCCCCTCGCCCCTATGGCAACATTCTGAATCTTCTGCTCTCCCTGCAGGTTGTTTATTTGATCTCGGTCGAGTGCGCCAGAACCTGTTGAATCTTGTTACTTTTGAAGACTGATGTTTAAATGCGTATATCTTTCATTTTCTTTCACCCACCAAAAAATGTAGCTGGAACTTGCAAGATTGTAGTTTGCAAGCATTCAAAACAAACGAACAGCCGGGGCATTTCAAAGAGTTCTAAGCTGTGTCAATTTAGGTACTCTCGACTGACTGCTTGTGTTTTGGAGCCACCGCCTGTTAGGCTTGTTTGACGAAATAGACTGAACAATGTGGAGAGTGTGAAAGGTTTGTCTTGGCTTCATGATGGCAAAGAAAGAAAGTGTTTTGAAGCTGCACATAAGTGAAAACGCAGCATCGCTAGACAGAGGCAAGGGCCACCCATCTGTTCGAGTCAAAGGTTAGACTCGGCAGCGCCAATATTGAAAGTGCCCGCAGGGCGCAGAAATGGGCACTTTTCCTGGTAAGCGCTTCAATTCTCTTGGCAGCGCATTGCAGAGCCTGGGCCGTACAGAGTGCAGATAGAGGCAGATACAGAGCACAGACAGATACAGACGGTATCATACAAACAGAAAATAACAGATAGAAATGATACAAACAGTACTAGTTTATACTTTATACTAGTTTTATTTTCTATTTCTTGCACGACTGTTTTAGTCCATTCTGAAGCCTGGGCCGCCTCCAGGGCCAGCCAAGGTCCTGACCGGCATCTTTGAATGTGCCGCGGCCAGGCGCCTAGTGTGAATTGGATCAGATTGGAAGATTCAGGCAATAAGTCGTTTTTATGTTTTTTTTTAATAATTTTTTATGTGTTGTTTCGTTCCTTTAAACATCCCTTGCGAATTCCTTGACACATTCTGTTTCTGACCCGAGAAATTCAGAGCCTGAACTTGATTTTGCAGACATTGCAGACTAATGACTTGCACTTTGTCAAGACTTTCGCAATTCTTTGAGGGTAAATGGAGTATAAACAATGTATATCAATGTATAAAGTGTTAGCACCAGTTGGCCCATCTTTGCACATCTTTGCACTTTCATGGTGACTGTCACGGTGACTGGCTCACGGCATCTTAGGTGACCCTCCTCGTGTTGCTACTTCTCTTGCAAGGCCCCAATGGCCTCAATTTCAGTGAGTCTCAACATGGAGAGTCAGTGTCACAAAAAAAAATGAAAAAGGGAAGACTATGGAAGAAAGATGACAAAGTTTGTGGGATTTTGTGGGTTTGTGTTTGCAGGAGCGCAAGTTGAATAGAAAGATGCTGCACAATGCCCATCAAGAGCGGATATAATCTGCATCTTTCTGATCTGCGTTGAGAGGCAACATCAGACCGCAGGATGGCTCGCCACCGATTTCGTTGCTCTCTCTGCAAATACAGCCTAGAAGATGCAGCCTACGAAAGGCATGACATATGCACCACTATGCCCTTATCATCACTTTTAGCTTTTGAATGCTTTTCGGGTGAAGGGTTTGAACACAGTGCAAAGCGCTTGGTGATCTAGTCAGCGTTCTTGAAGAACTGATCGGGTATGAGTGTATGAGTCAAGCATGTCATGGGTATGCGGGGATAGGATGTGACCACCAGGCCATGAAAGCTTCGGAGCAGGTTTTGCAATTTGATGTAACAAAACAAACAAAACATCGATAGACATGGACAGACAATGGACAGACAATGGACAGACAATGGACAGACAATGGACAGACCAAGTCACTGAATTGTCGCTGAGGTTCTCCCACATCGCCTCTCAAGTCTTCGGGGTTTTCTACGTGGGTTATCTCCCATCGTACTGGGTTCGCCAGCCTTGTATTTGTCAAAGCTTGTCAGAGCTTGTCATTACAAAACTGGTCATAGCTTCCAAGCACAAAACTAAACATTTATGACCTTTCTGCACCATCATTCTTTGCACTCTCCTTGCAACACTTTATAATGAAGCAACTGTAGAATCGTTTTCATTTTGCTGCTTGCAAACATACATACTGTATGTGAGTTATGTGAGTTACGTGAGTTGTTGCTTTGATGCCGAGAGTCTAAGGAAAAACCACATCCATGAAGTCTGTGAAGTTTGTGAAGTTTCTGCCTTCTGTCCTGCGGTTCTGATGCTTCGCCAGATAAGACTGCGAGCCCTTGCTCCAGCTCTACCAGATGGAGCTCCCTCAGGCACAAATGGACTTCACTGATTTCAATTGGATGTCAAGGATAGGTTCAACATGGATCTATATGGTGCAAAAGGCAATGCCAATGAACAGACAAGCTTTATATCATCCGATATCCAACATTTTCCAATACTACTTGTACTGCTAAGAGTGGAGTGTGCTTGGAAGAATTGGGATGGCATGGCCACCCTTTCTGTCTTGGGATTCACTGGAATCGGTTTCAGAATCAAAGACATCTACTTCTTATGGTACCTGTTGATACCTGTTGCATCTGTCCAAGTAGCTTTGGCTCTGTTGCACTAAGTGCATTCTATGTAGATCGTACCTTGAATTGCTCCTCGATTGCAAATCTGCAAATCGAAAGTGGAATACCAAAATGATGTGAACGTAAATGAGTTTTCAATTGACCTAGGAAGTTTGAATTTCTTGAAGTTTCACTTTTTCTGAATATGTCCGATGCACAAGCTCCTGTTGACAGTGTGTGTGTCTCACTGTGCTTATGTTGCCAAGGTTACGGAAGTGTTTAAGGCAGTGATCGGAAGGCACTTTTTGAGGCCACGATGTCGGAGCAAAATTTGGTGAGTCCGAGATTTCGAGCCGTCGCGATTGCTGTCCTATCGGCTTTTGGCGCATTGCTTTTTGGCCTCGACATAGGACTGAAACAAAAAGAGAAACACACATAATATATATATATAGAGAAATCAAAAAGACGCTACTTAAACATACTTAAACAACAATACGAATCAATCATACTCAATCCCCATCTCTTCATTTGAATTTGACTGCATTCCTGACACTGATTTGCCTGGTGTCATTGCAGGATACATTGCCCCTATCTTGGAGTGCGCTTCCTTCAAACGAGATGTGGCGCATCTCCCAGATTGGCACAATCCGCGCGTCAGGATAGATGACTACACAGCAGGTTCTGCGACCCAGGATGATCGGTCTCTATTGGTGTTGTCGATTCCAAGCTACAGCGGGAGATTACTAATAGTTAACTAATAGTTACTAATCCCTTTCCTCTGTTGCCACAAGCCACAAGCATCTACAATCCAGTACCCAAAGACACTCTGAACATCTCTGAACATGCCTAAACCTTTAGCCGCGCCCCAAAACCTTCCGCCTATGCAGGCTTCATTGTGGGTGTGTTCTCCATTGGATGCATCATTTCTTGTCTACCACCTGTGAGTGCGCATTGCATCAATGTGTGGGGGAGACGAAGTTCTATCATCATTGGATCTGCGACATTCCTAGCTGGAAGTGTCCTGCAAGTCTTTGCTATTTCTATCCCGATGATTCTTGCTGGCCGTTTCATCTCAGGACTTTCTATCGGCCTTTTGAGTGCAGTGGTTTCTCTCTACCAGAGTGAATTGGCTCCTCCATCACTTCGAGGATGCCTTACATCAGTGTATCAGCTAATGATCACTGCCGGTATTCTTCTTGCTTCTTTGATCGACCACAAGTTGGTCCATTTGGATGACGGCTGGCGCTGGGCAATAGCAATACAAATGGGACCTGCGTTGATCCTATTGATTTGCATGCCATTTATGCCAAAGTCGCCTCGTTGGCTGGTCCAACAAGATCGGATCGACGAGGCCCTTGACGCTCTCAAAACGGTGCGTGACGAGTCGGATGCGAAAGTGGAGCTGGAAGAAATCATGGAGAGCCATTTAAAGGCGAAGGCAGCTGGAATGAAAGATGTCAAAACACATGGAAGACAATGTTGAGAATATATCCCAGGATTCAGCAGGGTACATGTTCCCAGGGAGATAAAGAGACTTAGAACCAGACTTTTGGGAATTGGGGCTGAAGGATAGGTTCTGAGCGATCAATTTCTTGCAGAGCCCACATTTTTGTGAAGCCCCCACTTTTGAGAGTCCAAAACTTGGTAGGATGTTTCTAGTTCCCTCAGCCTAATGAAACATCATGCAACATCATACAACATCATGCAACATCATGCAACATCTTTCCATGTTTTATAGAATGCTTAAAAAAGGCTTTACACTAAACATCACTAAACTTTATACTTTCTACATCTTTCTGTCTTTATACCCTTTGGGCCCTTTGGCTGTGGCTCAGGCCCTTGGAGAGCCAGCTTGGAGGGACCTGCTCCATGGGCGAGTCGGTTTCCTGCTGCTCGTCGGTGTATCGTTGCAACTTTTGCAGCAACTGGTGGGAATGAACGCATTTATGTACTTTGGTCCCCGTGTATTTCAAGACATTGGTTTCGATCCTGTGCGTTTTCAGACCATCAGCAATCTGGTGAATTTCCTTGCAACTTTTCCAGCTCTCTTGTTTGCTGATAAGTACGGTCGTTGCAGTCTCCTACGTTGGAGTGCTTTGGGCATGTTCATCGCCTGCATGACAATAGCAACAGTTTCCGAAAAGATTCTGGTTGTCAGCGGTGGTTCTTACACGACCTATGCTTCAACAAGCACAAGTGGCAGTTATGTCATCGTTGCAATGGTCTTTCTTTTTGTGATGAACTTTGCTTATGGCTGGGGCCCCATTGTTTGGGTCTACAACTCTGAGATCTTTCCACTACAGTACCGAAGCAGATGCATCGCAACTTCCACCTGTGCAAACTGGATAGGCAACTACCTGATAGCCCAATGTACGCCGATCTTGCTCGGAAAGTTGGGCTTCCTGACTTTTTACGTTTTTGGTACGTTTGCACTGCTTGCCCTACTTCTCGCTGGGTGGTTGCCTGAAACAAAAGGAGTGAGTTTGGAGCAAATGGATCGAGTCTTTGACGAAAAACTTGGAGTTGTTAAACGGAAGGGTGGAAGTCATGGAACTTATGAAGAAGCGCTCCTTGCAAACGAGCAGATCATGGGAGCATGAGTGCAGTGTATAGCAAGGCAAAAATGCTGAGGAAAACTTTCCAATCAAATTGGCACCATTTAGAGTGCCGAGTTGTGAGTGAACTCGTTGCAATTTTCAACCTCAAAGTGTGAGTGGATGTAGGCAGGGTACTCAGTGTGCCCAGTGTAGCATACTTTTGGGACTCTTTTGTCGGCATGCGAAGCAATGCCCAATGCTCCACCTGCCCCAGGAGTTCTGAAGCCTTGCAAAGCGAAGGTCTTCAGCATCTGTAGTCGACTGTGCAGAGTGGAATCCTTTTGTTGAGAGTTTGCAGCTCTCAGTTCTGCTGAATTACTTTCTTATGGCAAAGTATCATAGTGTGTACAGTACAGATGTACATCGTGTTTATACATGTGCGCAATCGACACGAAATACGGTATATTCCCACGTGTACTATATGTACATAGTAATAGTATAATATAATATATATCGTATATATGCACTCTATTTATACGCCATCTGACAGACACGTAGGTAGGATTGTATTTATACATGAATCCTTCCGCATAACTTGGCTGCAAACTCCAGTCTAGCTCGGAGCGGTGAAATGCTTCATGACTTTGACTTGTCGCTAAGACACTTCTTGCACATGTGGCTTTCGCTGACAAAGGTCGATGCTGAGTGCCTCAGAAGTTGTCCAAAGACATTTGGAAACGCTTTTTACAGCATGCATTGCGCATATAGCACGGATTGCACGCATCGCATCGCAGTGCATTACATGTTTTTCATTGTTTCTCTATCGTGAACAACTTGGGGCTTTGGCCGAGGTTCAGGCCTGCAGTTTACACATGTTTGCTGATTGCGTCTTGCCGTCGCAACCGGGGCTTATATTGTATAGTTTACCTCGCAAAAAATGCACCGCATTATTTTTGACGAACATTGTGCAAAGACCAAGTTGCTCCTACTCCAGTTGTGCAGCTGCTTCTTGATTGAACAACAAAGTCATTTAGAATTTCAATGAATTTGCTCTCTGGAAAGAGCAAAGTTTTTTGCACCAATATACCATGGCTCAGGATCGAATTCATTCGATCAACAGACACTACTAAACACTACCGCGACAATAAGCACAGCACTAGAGTCACCGCAGGCACTGTAGTCATTCCAACAATTTCGTGATTTCTTTGACCGCGATGGCAGTTTGGTGGGAACCAACTCAAGCAGAGCTTGCAGACAGAAATGGTGAGTCGCCCTTCGTGCTGCCAGAATTTTTGGAAGAAAGTAACTTTCAGCACTTGTACAAGGCACTGAGCAGCCGCCTCACGCGTCGTTTCAGTTTCTGTCCCTTCGCAACATGCAAGACATGCAAGATGGCAAAATGGAATCTCTTCGCAATTTCCATTTGAGCAAATGGCTCCAACATGATGAGCTGCGGTACAGAAACAGTTGAGTTGCATCAATTTCCCTGCACTTGCTAACCCATTCTCCCAAATTTAGTAGTAAGAGCACAAAGCATAAGAAAAGGCAGACCTTAAACCACATGGGAAAATGCATGTGGGATTGTGCTCTTCTTGTCAGGGGACTGGCGAGCCAAGATCTGTCGATGCCAAAGAGCTAGCAGCTTCCTTTGCTCTTGCTGTCAATGCTTTCGTGCAGCACTACTGGACCTGCTTGAAGGACCGTGACCAAGGCAAACTCATACATAGACAGTCCAGACACATGGATCTTGACGAAGTCCAGACATTTTGAGGCAAATGGGAAGGTGGTCATGACCAACACTTCGCCCATTGAATTCTCGCAAATTATTTTATACTCAAGGCCCCCCAAAGCCTCCTCCCAACTTTTCATAGTTGGCTTAGTTTTCTTTGCAGCAATTGCTAGCTTAGTTCTTGCAACCTCTAGGACTATGAAGTCACAATGGACCATCAAGTGGAGGGGTCTGGACATCTGGCCTTGGAGGACAGCATGGTGAATGCAACAGGCCAATCGCAGTAGCTGATAGTTTTGCACAAAGTTTCCTTAACTCAAGCTGAAGAAGTTCTCGTTTTACAAGACCGCAACTCTTTTCTCAGGGTTGTACATGAAGCACTGTATTTGTAGAAGTGAGAAATAAAGGCATTTGTCACATGTGCACTTTTCAGTGCACTTCCAGTCTTGCATGGCAAAGATATTTGGACAGTCAACCTTGGGTAGGAAATGATGCCCAGATGGTATGATGATCTTGTTGACCACTTTGGAATTGGCTTGGATCCAGAGGTGAGTGGCTAAAAGTGCGAAGTGTGGTTTGATGCGTGTATTGATTCATATGTGGTGGAAAAAACCTGCCCCGTAGTATTGTTTGAGGGGTGACTGGCATGGCAGGCCACTATCAAGATGTACACAAGTGGAACAATGGTTGCAATTCGCAGAGTCTTCAAGATATGTTCGCTGGAACCAGATGGGACACCATATCCACCGGAGACATCCTTTCCGGAAGGGTTTCACCTCGGACAAGTTGGAAGACCGACATCGATTGAAGCTTCTGATGAGATTGGTCGAACAAAGCAATGTCTATTTCGACTGTTCCAATACCCCGATGGTATTCCTGGCCTGGACTATCATGCTTTCATCAACACCAACTTTTCAGATTGGACAAGCAGAAGGCCAGTTCATTTCTTCGAGAGAAAACCTTTCCACAGAGCTCTGAATTGTGCAATTTGTCAGGACTCTCCAAACGTGCTTAAGGCTGTGATGAAAATCATCATGGACATCAATTTCTTTATTAACTCAGTCCACCACGAGGGGGGCGTTTTCTACAGTGGGGTAGGTGTTGGCGAGTCTTTGCATTTGGTCAAGCCTGGAGCAAAATTGCGCATGCCGCGATTTCTGTCGACCACCACTGAATTGAAATTTGCAAAATCACGGCTGACGGACAAAATTGGTCCTGCACTTCTTGTCGTACGAGTTCCGCATGGATTTTGGGGTGCACGCGATATTTCTGCTTTCTCCTCCTGCCCGGAGGAAAATGAAACGATGTTTTGTGCGTATGCACTTTTTCTTGTGGAACGCGTCTCTGTCATAAAGATGCAGGGCCAAGATGTTAGCAGAATCGATTTGTTGGCATTGGACAAGTACGAAGGGATTCAGTATCCTGACGATGCTTATCCACCATTTCACCATGCACCAATTGACATTGACGAGCTGGGTGCATATGACAGCTATGTTCGTCAGTATTCATGAGTAGACAGAGTGAGTGTCTCTTGACATTCATTCTTCAATCTGAAGTTTGTCCCTGCAGTTTTGCTGCAGCCCAAGCCGTCCCAAAAACGACTTTGCTTCGTTTGCGCCCTGTTTTCTTGGGCTCAATCCTTTCCAAAGGCTTGACATAACCTTTTGCCACTCATTCAGGCTTCCACCATTAAAGTTCAAACCCAGATAGCAAACAAAGACTGATACCATCATTGAATTTGCCGACAGGCTTCCTCACTGGACTCCTGCATATCATCCGTTGGCCGCTAGAGCGAAGCATTGGATGTTGTGCCGCTCGTCCTGAGGGTTTTGGTTTGCAACATCTGCAGTGAGAAGCGCTCTTAAGAATCGCATGACCTGACTGAGTTCCCATGTTTGCGCTTCGCTTGACCGAGGTCTGTGTTTCATGTGTTCTATGCATCATCGCTGCAGATTCCTGCGCTTATTTCGGAGGTGACATCAATCCTTTCGACAAATGTGTTGTAAGTTGTACTGTGGTGGATTTGGTTCAGGTATCCTCAGCTTTGGTTCCGTGTGACCTTGTGTTGCTTCAAACGGGTCAGGCAAAGCATGGGGAAAGACACCATTGATCTTGGTCAGCCCAAACAAGACTCAGGAGGCTCCTGTCTGCCAGCCATCTTATGCAGAGTATAAATATTTTAATGCAGATATCCTTTGATTCTCTGCGTTGCTTGTCTTGTAGAGTCTACGTAGTTTGTTTGTCTGTCAGGGCGCTTATTGCGGTCTTGTGGGCTCTGTGGTAATGGCCGTGCTTTGCGATCAGGCAGCAGTTGCATTCTCGTATTCGTGCTTTATTTTTTTTTGCATTTATCAATTGTGTCAATTGTATCTTGTTGTTCATTACTTCGTTTCTGTCTTTGCATTGACGTCTTGACCTTGAACAGATGTGGGGCTTTCCCTCAGACACGCGCATGGCTGTGTGCAGCCCTCGGAGTATTGGAGAATTGCAGAATTGGATCTTCTGCAGCAGTTTTGCAATAGCACAAGCACATCATTTGAGACATTGGTAGAGGCAGCACTGTATTTGGCACAAAATGGGCTTTCCACTGCAGGTTGGCCGGAACTGTCATCTTCTGCGCTAGCCTGCTCGGTGATTTGGTGGTTTCAGCGACTTGGCACAAGTGCATCTTTTGTTGCCGTTGCTGCTTCGAGTTCTGAAACAGTTCTGAAAATGCTGCAACTGCTAGGCCATGAAGCGAGACGCCAGAGTCAAGGAGCCGTGGCGCAGCTGGTAGCAGGTCATGATCGACACAGAAAAAAAAAGTGCAGTACACAAATGTACACAATGGTGTACCTACAATGGCGTACCTATCTACTGATACAGTGTGTATTACTGTGGCGTGCTACGGTGGACTAAGTGAGAGCCTACTGGACTCTGCAGGGCTATAAGGTGCTATAAGGTGATTCGGTGATACGCAATCTGCAGGACACTGGATCCATCATCCCTGGCCATGGTGGAATTCTGGACCGCTTTGATTCCTACTTCTTTGCGGCACCGGTTGCGTACTTCTGTTGGTCCGGCCTTCAAATCAGACGAATCAGAGAGGGACTGTTCATAGTGTTACTGTTGCACGCTGCAAAGCTCGTCCTGCATGCTCTGCTTATCACATGCCGCTGCTGACATTCAAGGCTAAGACACTCTACAATCAGGTGGTAAGATCTGCCACAATAGCAGCCATCGGTGCATGGAGCACTAGATTCACTTGCAGGTTTTCTCACTTTGTTTCTGCACCTCGAATCACTAAAGCGTCTTGCCGGCAATATTGAAACATGCAACAGTTGCAGCAAGACATCCAGACACCCACAAAAACAATAAGCCCTCACCAGGAATAAACCTCATTGCATGCGTACGCCACAGCACACAGACGGTGCTGTACACAGATCACAAACGAGCACGGGCTTACAAGAAGTCTGTCTCCATGGAGCTTCCTCTTGATGCAGAAGCCTATGTCTGGTGGCCTGTCATCCTCTACATGTTCTACCTGATGTCTGTGGTTTGCGATGACTACCTCCTGCCCGCAGTTGATGCTATCAGTGCACGATTTCACATCCCAGATGATGTTGCAGGCAGCCAGACCAGCTGGACACCTTTGCTACATCTTTGATGTCCCAGATTGAACAAGGGTATATTTGCCAGATATTTGCCGATATTTTGCCGATATTTTGCCGATATTTTGCCTATATTTTGCCTATATTTTGCCTATATTTTGCCTATATTTTGCCTATATTTTGCCTATTGTCTATATATTTGTCTATATTTAATTGCTGTGGTCAAGGCGATCTTTTAAGGTGAGGTGAAGTCATTCTGCCGCAGGCGCGACACTGGTCGCATTTGCTTGCAATGGTCCAGAGCTTTTGACGAACAGCTGCTCCATCTATCTCAACGATGAATCAGTAGGACGGAGCCTGGTGGGCAGGTCAGAATTCAATACCTTGGAGATCTGAGGCAACTGGGTTTTGATCACATTGAGACGTGGTATCTATATATGAATATGTTATAATACAATATTATAACTATTGTAACATAACTAGCCTAACTGTGCATCATGTGAATTGTTTCAAGACCCCTCCATCCTGGGGAGGAATTGGCACGATTGTTGGTTCTGCAATCTTCAACGTGCTGGCGACGAGCTCAGGGGGCTTTTAGAGGATTTCTCTTTCAGGACTGCTGCCATGACACTCCATGAAGGAGCACAGTTCAGCACAGTGTGCAACGATCTCAGGTCATAACTGGATGCTGTCCACTCGTTGCCCCGAAGAACTCTCTGAAGGTGAACCCAGCTTTTTTTCTGCGTGATGCTGGTTTCTCTGCTATCTCCATATTGCTGCTCAGACGCAACAAAAACACAGTATGAGCCAGTATGAGCTATTCCTCTCGTGTGTAGCTTTGAAAACCTGAGGCATCCAGCCAAAAACATGGAAACACATCCAAAACATCCAAAACATCCAACAACTTATATACTGCCGACTTGCCAAAGTGTTCTTTGAAATCCAAAAGGAGAATCAAGGAGAATCAAGGAGAATCTTTGACTTTTGAGAAGCTGAGGCTGCTCTGGTGGGCCCTTCCGATTGTCGATTTGTTGAAGGCTTCGACGTTGTTGGCGTTTTCTGCATTGTATGCCTTTGTGGTGGCCAAGAGCGAAACGTGGTTTGGTGGCCACCACTATGTGTGCTCCTCAGACAAGCAAAGCTAAACGAAGCTAAGCAAAGCTCATCCAGATTCTTCGTGACATTTTGTGACAATGAGCATTGCTCCAAGCGGAAGCAAAGCTCTTCTGCATCGCCCGGGTCTCGTTTGAACTAGATTACCTAGACATTTTGTCGGTTGCCAAGTCGGTGCCAAGCCGTTGCCGTTGCCAAGGATGGCACAGAATCCTTGGCAGATGGGATCATAACCTCGCCATCGGCAATTGCTAGGCCTGCCATGGCCATGATCGAAGGGATGTTGGCAGAGTGATAGGTTGCATAGGTACACGATGGTACACGCTCTCAAGCAAGTTGAGGCACTCGCAAGTATGCATGATTTTGTTTTTCTCTAGACTCCAACAGATTTATAATTGGAGATTTGAGTCCCTCGTTTCCTGTTCCAGGCAGGTGTCTGCAGAGCCTGATCTCTCATCTCCATTTCTAGAGAAGAACAACCAGAACAACCAACCTTTGCGGCAAGCATGGAAGCAAGTTCTGCTTTCACCTGGCGGAGTTCTTCTTTGGCTAACCATCCCAAATGTGAAATTACAGCCACGCCGATACTTCTCCAGCTTCTTTATGTCCATGGCATGGCTGAGTATCACCGCCTACATCGTTTGCATTGCTTCTAACAGAATCAATGTTCTCTGGCAAATCCCGAAGAGCTTTCTCGGATTGACTCTTGTTGCGGTTGGCACCTCCTGGCCAAATCTGTTGGCCTCAGTTGTCACTGCCAGGAACGAGGAAAAGGAAAAAAATCATCCCCGATAATAGTAAGACTTAGTAAGAGTTCCCGAATGTTCCCGAATGTTCCCGACATTCTTTCTATATATATATATATCAGGTGTTGTCACAGACTCCCTTTTTTTTTCTCAGGCAAATAAATGCAAATAAGTGATGATTTCATCACTAAGCCTCTACATTTTTTTCGCGTGCGCCCTGAAGGCAAGGTCGTGGAGAAATGGCCGTTAGCAATGCCTTGGGGAGCAACGTTCAGAACATCTTCTTTGTGTTGGCATTTCCCATTTTCATCAGTGTGCTGACGAGGGGCAACTACACCAGTGATAGCACGGAAATCTTGTCCTCAGTGCTTTGGATCCTTGGCTCACAGTCACCACAGTCACCATGGGGCATTGAAGGCTAAAAGAAAAGGATCTCCTAGCAGGGCAAACATGAGGATATGCTGACACGTTTTTGCTCCTGTTTTCACTAACATGTCAGAGACTGTGATTGAAGAAAACGAAGAAAAGAATCCTCAGGATTTGCAATTTCTGACCCTTGAAGATCTTGAAGTGTTTAGGATGGGAGCTACGCTTGCAGTGGTGGTCCTTCTGATAAGCGTTGCATCTTTTGGCATGAGAGCCTGGACTGGCAGCATTTTTTTGGCATTGTATTGCGCTTACTTGGTGCATGTCTCCTACTCGGAGCTTTTGACATGATATACATAATGTCATATGCACATCGTTGTAGGCTTCAATGATTTTTATCATGTTTTGGTTAAGATCCAGCTGCTGTTTTGAGAACAGACTGGACTCCTTGAGCAAGTAGGATTTATTTTAAGCTTGACATCAGGCCAGAAGCTGTTTCTGCTGTTTAAGGCACTCTTGTCCAGCAGCAGCTCAAAGCATGTCAATGCTAGCTGCTTTGCTGTTGCTTTTTGGGCCGATTACAGTTGCGAAAGCATTGTAGAGTCCGTCAGGATGTCAGGATTCTCTTTTGAGTGTTTGACGCCATAGTGAAAGCCATAGTGAAAAGTTCGAGCACATGTCAAATTGCGTGATGATTTGATTTTGTGAGGGAGACGCAAGGAGGGCTCCTGGCATGGATCTGTTAACTGTAGGTACGCCTACTTGAAGTACCACGCCCGCCTGCCTGCTTCTCTGATCCGCTTCAAGCCCTGAGAGCGGTTGACATGCAAAAAAAACTTGTACGTCTGCGGCGGATTGAAGTGCAAAGAGAAGGCGATGTTACCGCGCAATTGACTCGCAAAGACTGTGTTGAAAGCTACCATGTCAGTATTGAAAGAGGCAACCAGGTTATTTTCTCGTGTCTCCTGATTTAAAATTCAATGTCATCTGACAACTTGTCAATCTAGATAAGCTGCCAAGCAAGAACAGTGTAAAGAATCGTAAAGAAACTTTTTTCTCCGCCTACACATGAATCTTTTTTTTTGTTCGCAGCTTGGGAAATGCTCGGATCAGCCCGGATCAGCTCTTTGGCTCTGGTGGACTGCCTCTGGTGGACCTTGCTATATTTCGGCCCGCATGAAGTCGATGAGGAATCCTGCAGTCATTGTTGGCATGATCACATTACAGAAGAAAAGCTGGTCTCATCGGAGCTGTTTAGGATCGTCTAAGGATGTGAGGATATATATTGTATATGTATATATATATATACACAAAATATATATTATGTGTATATATATTATATTATATTATATTATATTATATTCTATTATATTATATTATTATATTATATTATTTTATATTATATTATATTATATTATATTATATTATATTATATTATATTATATTATATATATTAACTATATATATATAATTACTCTAAACTATTCTAATATAACAACATCCATTTTCTGACTGAAGGCGCCCCTTCTGGTGTCATGATTGACAGACTTGGGTGCGAGGCTTCAGTTTCGTAGCCCTGTTGATGAACGAGGGCAGCTGCGAAGCCAGGTTCAGGCCCGCAGGTGTTCCTGAGTCTTAGCCAGCTTAGCAGAGGTCCAGCACGGCCTAGATGCCCTAGCTTTGGGTACAGTTGTTTTCGATAGGTTTGGATTCTTCAAGTTTGGAGCAGATTACTTTCTTCATAACGTCAGTGCCCATGACAGCATTCACAAATGCAGGCTCTTCAAAAAGAGCGAGATGAGCTATTTGCAGAGGTTCGGGATTACATGCCTATAGGCTAGCTTCCAGACCTCTCCTTCACACTGTACCCCAGAGCTCTCCATACCATCAAAATGCCAGAGCATGTCACTTGTTTCAGAATGGCTACAACTCTCAAGCATTTTCTTACCGCTAGCGATGCCTGGGTATGCGTGGACTGCATGAAGGTGAAGCGTCTACAAAGTGAAAGCCAAGACTGTTGCGAGGTGGAATGGTGGACAGGGTTCACAGGGTGGACAGGAGTGAAGGGATAATGCTAAGGCTGCTAAGGCATCCTAGCTTTGCACAACTCCACTTTACTCCCGACGAGTTGGCATTATCTTGAAATGAACTAGTTGCAAACAGGAACCGTTTCGAGGACTTGAAAGGTCTTGATCAGAGATAGTTTGCTGGGACAAGACAGAATATTGAGATATATTATTTCAGACGTGAAATAAGATTGGCAAGTTGAAATATGCTTCATTATGATTCATTATGCTTCTAAAATGATTTTGACGACACGATGTTCGAAGGTGGTGACACTGGAGTTATCCACAAAGGTTGTCGGGTCCCATGTGCAGGCCAGAGAAGCTCGATGGCTCTCGCAGCAGAAGGACGAAAACTCCTCTATCGAAGTGGCAAGAGTCGCTTGCGTTCGAACAGTTATTGCTCTCCATTGGACATGTCAATTCATGCCTTGCTCCACTAGGAGAAACGCCTTGCAATTGTTTTGAGGAGCTTGAGTCAAGGCTTGAAGCCATGTACGATGAGATCAAGGCCGTCTTCAAATGTCACGGCATGCATGTCATGGCATGTCACAATGCAGCAGAACTCCACTCGAAGGCCAGGAGAGCGGAAGCAGCAGCAGCGAGGGATGAGGCTCTCACTTTTCTTGGGCTCTGGTTTGCACGGAGTTTCACTGAGTTTGCATGGAGCCAAAAGTAATGTGTGCCGCAAAAACAGCAATGTTCAACAACAATGTGAGCGTTGCTTCCAGGTTCAGCGGCTCAACAATGCTCTGAATGCATCCCATTCCTCCAGCAAGGCTGCAGAGGCCACACAAAGAGAACATTCGACAATTTCTAGCAGAAATCTCTTTTGCCAGCAGTTCGACAATTGTAGCGGTGTGGCCATGCTGTTTCCAGGCATTATTGACATGTTTTGACAATTGATGCAGTTCCACATGCCGCCCAGTTGTTAATGGGGTGTGTTTTATCTCGCGCAGGCAGAGCTTGGTAAGGCTGCGAAGTGCTTGGAAGAGGTTCGACTCGTACCACTGAATCAAGTAAACACATGTAACAGCAAGGTGTATAGTCACCGTATAGTGTCAAGGAGAGATGTCTGAGTGTGGGCCTTCAAATGAAGCTCTTGCATGGCAGACATCAGCAAGATGTCACTTTGCGGAGGGCAATGCAGATTGCTCAGTCTTCAAAGCACGACATATATACTGTGCTTTCCACTTTTAGAGTCTTTTAGGACTCTTGAACCTTGAAGCCTAAGTTAAGTGCTTTCCATTTCTCAAGAATATCAAAACACTGACCGAAGCCTTGAACCTTTCCGAACTTTATCCTGAAATCTCTGAGGTCCAGCAACTGACAGCTGAAATTCAGGAGCTGCTCAGTGGTCTTGCATGGTCTTATCCCTGTGAACCTCCAAGCCAGCGCCTTCTAACACATCTGAATGATATTGAATGATATTGAATTGAATGATGCTAATGATGCTATCATGGTGCTATCATGGTATTATCATGATGCTGTCATGATACCATATCTTCTCAGAGATTTGGGATGGTTGCGAAGTTGCGATGGAGTCTGTTTCATTCTGTTTCTACAAGTTCAGGAGCTTCGTGCCTCAGCCAACGATGCTCTGCGAAAAGCGCAACGCTGTGATGCCGCAGAAGCAGAGATGGCAGAGCTGCAGCAGAGACTTCGCAGAGAGCTGCTGAGGCGTTCAGACGAGATCACGTTGGAGCAGAAATTTCAAACGGCCCAAAGCCTAGCTGAGGAGCGGACCCAGCAGGCCGTTAGACGGGCTGACATTGCAGAGCAAAGGGCCAACGCGGCAGAGAAACAAATGAAATCTTTGGAAATGCGACTGGCAGATGCAAACACCAATTTGGCAAGCTCAACAACTGCACTTCAACTGGCGCAAGCTGAGAAAGACAGATTCAGCCAAGACGCAAGTACGGCCAAAGCAAAAGTGGCTCAAATCATGGAACAATTGAGTGATTCTGAAGCTCAAAACGCCGTACTTCAGCGTGAAGTCGAAGGGTTCTCAGATTTGCAAAGTAAATTTGCTGATGCAATTTCGAAGGCTTCGCTGAAGGAGCAGAGTTGTCAAGATTTGACGGAGCAAATTGCCGTGTTGAAGGCAAAAAATGATGCGTTCACTGCCGAATCCTGTGCATTGGAAGAGAAGAGACAAGCAGAGATGGAGTCGTTGAGAGAAAAAGAACAGGACTTGCAGCAGAACCTGAACCGAGTGCAAAGAGATGCTGATGCAGTAGCTGCTGCTCTGCTTGCTGCTGAGCAACGAGTAGGTCCGCTGGAAGCAGAGGCGTCACGGTGCCGCGAGGAAGCTAATGAAGCTGTCCTTGAGGCACAGCAACGTCGCTTAGAGGCGGAGGCCACTCGGATGGCGCACTATGAACAGGAGAAAGCAAGTGGTTGAGCTGTGTGAAGCTGGCCATTCTTATTACCTTAAGATTCCAAGTTATATAGGTGATGGAAGACAACAGCATGTTCTTCTTAGATGCTAGATGATGAGATGAGTACACAGTATATGTATGACATGTTCCAAAGGGATCCAAAGGGCACATCTGTACGACATCTACGCCAGATTTCCCGGACCCCTTTTGCCAGGAGAGGGAAGTGCAGCAGTTGCGAGAGCGTGTCATCACCCAGGGCGAAGAGTTGACTCGGCTTCAGACCCTTTTGGTGCAGAGCTCGGACACTTCTGAGACTTCAGAATCAGAATCTTCAGAATCTTTGGAATCATCAGAATTCTTGATTCTACACTATCAGATTTATCAGATCCCATCCTTTTCGATCCTTTTGGATTATTGATATTATTGCGTGACAGATTGGAGAATTGGACAACTCCGACAAGGATCCTTTCGAATAAATCTCACATATTCGCATTGGCTCTGATATGATATGATTCTATTGACTTTCTGCTTGCCCTCAGGCCATGGGCGGCAGTGCTTGTCTCAGCTTCCATTAGGTGACAGTTCATGAATAGCACAGTGATAGTGTCAGCTCAATTGCGCAAAAGCATATTTTAAGCTCAGTTTCGTCAGAGACGGCCGTGCTTAGATGCGGATGACGTGGCAGCTATGTCAGCTACTTCACCTTACATTGGACCTCGGCGAGTTCAGCAGATGCTGGCCCGAATGGAGGATTTATGGCTCTGGCGGCCATTGCAGCCATTGCCATTGCAGCTGTTGCCATACAGTCACACTTCTGCCCTGACAGTATTACGCCGTGGCTTTTGGCGTATGACTCTTCTTTTTAGCCTAAAGTGAGTAAAAGACATGCAGGATTTGTCGTTCTGCTTCGTGCAGGACTTGACACCACGTGGTACACGGCCGCAGTTGCCCCCAGCTGTAGACCTCTTAGTAGCTGCATGTTTGCATTGCGAAAGCAGCATGCTGCATGTTTTGCCTGCAAAAAGACGGCACGGCAACCACTTACATTGAGATCATCACTCCCATCAGTTGTATCGAAATTGCTAGCTGCTGGCAACAGGAAAATCATGGAAAATCTAGTGCCTTTGTACTACCTTGCTCATCCTTGCTCTACTTTGCTCTTTGGTCTACTTTGTTCTCACCAGCATTTGGGAGAAGTTCTCGAGCCTGCTGAAGCTCCTACGCAGTTCGACTAAGGGCAAGCGCCTTCCGACGCCACTTGCAACACGCCCAAGTACACCCCACGAGTCGACTTTTCCACAGGCAAGTGGGTGCTTGAACCAAGAAACAACACGAAACAAGACAGGGAGGACATGACGGGTTCATCCCAGTTCCGGAAAGGACGAGCTGAAGAAGTTCAGACAGATTTGATTCGATAAACTCGATTTCTATTTTTTCTTTCTGTTGCGCTCTGTGGAAGTCCCTTATTTCTTGTGCCAGGCACGGCGTTCCTTCTCCAAGTCCAGCAGGCACATTTCGTTTTTTCCCACGCATCCCAAGACTTTAACATGGCATCAGGGTTTCTTTGCCGAACACGTCCAGGACCCCAAGCGCCAGCACAAGGGTGCCAGATGATGACAACCGCTTCTAGCATTCTATCTTTCCGCAATCTGCAATAGATTGTGGTCTTGGTTGCTGTGCAGCACAAAACCTATTTCTGTTGGTTTTGCTCTGAATTCTTTGTTTGACTTGACACTAGCTTTCACTGAAAATGGAGTTTGTAGGTGTTTAAAAGATCTTCCACCCTGCGAAACCTGCACGGTTTGGAAGCACCTGCTGAAAATGGTGGGTGGAGCAGAATACGCAAATGGCAACATTTGAAAACTGCCAACGAGAAGAGTGGACATTCATGTCGGGGCAAGATTGGGACCTTGTGCCTTCCAGTATGCATTTGCATTTTTTGCAACAATGATGAGTCGTTCGTATTCGTTCGTCACTTTCTGCTTGATGTCAAGACAATTATGCAAAGACAGACAATGCTGATGCCTGCTGATCCTTGATGCCAAGGAAATATACAAGCAACGTTGATGCACAAGTATTTCAACTATGAATGGATGGTTTTTGTGTACATAGTCAGTAACAGTCTCTAGTCATCTGGACATATCTGGATTAAGATAGGCCACAGCAGACCTGACTCGCCAGCATCAGTCGAACGAGACTAATTACAGAGCTTGATGGCCGAGTTTGATGGTACATACATTTCGGCGCCATGGTCAGGTTCTGAACGATCTGAACGTCCAAGTCAAGAGTTGCTGTTGAGCTGGGATGCAGACTCACTGCCCAGGTCAACGCCAAAGATCCCGCGAACTTTTTCCACACCTGGGTCCACATCCCAGAGACAGACACAGTTCGACCTCTCCAGCTGCAGATGTAGTTCACTCTCAGAGGTATGCAAATTTGTATGAACTTCCAGGAGTAAAGTGTGACCTTGCCAAGGTATGCTGGCCAAGCAGCAGCCCTAATTTTCATTTCCTTCTCGCTGAACAGCTTGGCCTCTCCGGAGACATTGTTGGACAATGAACGTGTATGTATATATATGTATATATATATACACACATACACATAGAAACATCGTCAAACATTTGGATGGCCACCTGGTGCTTTGCGATGGCAAGTGATCAGATTTTCTTTTCAGCGATGGGCGCCCAAGGTATCTGGGGGTGCTGGGGTGACAGGCTCTGGAAGTGATGGTAATTTGTTTCTGCTCTGAGTCGGTCCCATCGCCTGATCTTTCTTTGGGCAGATGTTCTTGAATTTGGAGGAGTGCAGGGTTCAAATTGACAAAGTGTCCAGACTTCCACCCACAAGTCCAGTGTGCACAATTAGATATTTAATTAGATTGGGGAAGGCCTTGTGATATGGTTTCGGCCTCTGTGATTTGGTTCCAGACGTTTGCGTTTTCTGCAGCTGCTGCACCAATCCCAACCATACAACGGCCCCTTTTCTCGACAGGTGAATTGTCACCATTCCCTCCTCTTCTACTTGGAAGGCCACTTTTTGGACAGAGCGAGCACTGTTTGGACTCTCGGACCTATCCATTCGTGAAATGATCTGCAAGATGTGCGGCTTCCAGGTCATTGTCACATGCCTTGCCCTCACTGGGACCAAATGGATCCCAGGGACTCCCTGCATCCATTAATGCCCTTTTCCAGCCAGTTTTGATCTCAGCCTTGATACCAGACAGATTCAAAAGGTGTGAGAAGAGTGAACGCTGCAAAATCAATTGACGACACATTTCTGATGGTGGAGATCACAGCTCCTCACAACTCCTCCCAGGGCGTCTTTCAGTTCCAATGCGACCCACCAGACAACTCCAAACCTGCGCCCGCGCCGGAGCCTATTAGGCAGAGAAAATTTGGGGAAAACACCGCACCACGAGAGCCTTTGCTTTCTGCTGTTGGGATTTTAAAGTCTCAACGGACCTTTTCCGATCAGGTGTGTCGTTGTGGCAATTGCTCAGGCAAGCATCGGAGCCTATCGCAGCGCCAAAGCCAAAGGCCTGGCAAAGCGATGCAAGCGAAGCAGCTTGTTTGGAATACCATGGTGATGCCATGGTGATGCCATGGTGACATGGTGCGTCTTTTCGAATGCTTCGTTGCAATGAATTCTGTGCAGGCATCATCTACACCATCAGGACAGATGCCAGTGCAAGGGGCCCCGACCATGCCTGGTCAAGAATCAAGGACTGTACCGCCCCTTCCAGTGGCCCCGGCATGAAGTTTTCGGTGACCTTGCCCTCCGCGACGAATCACTTGGTACTTGGCCAAAACTTGACAGGCGCGAGGGCGTCAGGGAGTGACGCATCGCCATCGCAATGAGGTTGGATTGTGCCAGGACACGGGCTCAAGTTCAGAACAGTGCAGAGAAGAATTGAGAAGATAGAAAAGCCCAGGTTGTGACCACTTCGAAGCTGTTTTGGAAATCAATGAGATGATGCTCGATACGTGACTTATGCAACAAATATAGATGTAAAACAACGTGTGAAGCCAGGAGCCGGCTTTCAGCACGATGCAGCTGGAGCAATGTGCAGCGCAGTGTCGCAAGGAAGTTGAGGCAAGACAGCGTTCTCGTATGATATTGATATCAATTGATATCAGATGTAGAAATCCAGTGAAATTGGTTGGACTGAGGCCATTGCAGCAAGATGTCGAGCAGAGGGCCAGAAGTCAGCATTCTCAAGTGCTCTCGAGTGGTTTAGAAAATAAAACATGTGACATCAAGTGACTCTCACTGAATCAATAACGAAATAGCGAAGTCATTTGTCAAAGCTTTGAGGTCTTCTTTGCCGCTGCGTTGTGCCCAGGTTCAATGATCCGGATTTTCCAGCCGCGAAGACTTCCCTGTTTGCAAGCTGCATCACCTAGCTAACGCCGTTAGGGAGCGTGATTAGACACGATTAGTATCGATTAGTGATTAGATGTGATTCATGATTTATGTATTCAATGAATGCGTCTGCAAAGCGTTGGCAGAATCATGCCATGACAACAAAGCTTGGCTGACGGCAGCCATTGGCTTCTCAAAGCTTGCAGTGGCCTTCAGTCGGCAAATGAAATTTTAAGGCGATTAAAAACCATTGCATGTCTTCAATCACCTCCGAAAAAGAGAACAACGGAGACCTACCAGGAGCGCAACTGTCAGATTTGAAGCCACAATCGCAGAAAAGAATTACCGATCGAGGCAAAGCCGTCTCATCAAAGGAAACAATGAAAAAACAAACATAGTGACCTAATAAAGTAAGTATATAACATAAGCATCAGTGACTATCAGCGACTATCACTTAATAGCTTGTAACCAAATCAATATTCTCAAACAAAACAGGGACAGCACACATCTACTGGCAATCAGACCTTGTCACAATTGCCGGTATTAGAAGGCCTGGATTTGCCACCGCAACGGCCACGATCAGTCGCTGCGATATGCTGTGGGCATTTTGCTTCTACTCTGTGGATTTTGCATGTTCCATGACGATCGACCTCGAAAGTAGAAGAGCTTTAGATCAATGTCGGACAAAGCACGGCACTCTACAAGACTAAACGGTGAGGAAGAGGGTTCACACAGGTTTTCACCGTTTTTTTGTCTGCAGGTGATGGGGGATGGCAGAAAGCTCTTTGTGGCAAAGCTGCCACAGGACCTACAGAAGTTCTGTACGCCGTAAGAGCTCCTGACACCGGTCAACCTCTGGAACTGTGACTAGACCAACTAAACGTAACAAAACCTTTGTAAAATATGAGTCTGATGTCTCGGGTTCTTACACGACGATTCTCCGAGGACATTGAAGAAGATGAGATGGACCAGGCACGCTTCCATTGATGCTATTTAACAGTCAACATGTGTCGATGTATGTAAATCATGTCAACGCACCACCACATGAAATTACACCGATTCATTCCCTCTCGAGTACAAAGTGACGAAGCACAGTGCTTTTGATTCCTGCCAGATCTTCAGCACCTATGGGAAGGTTGAAGAGGCTGGTCAGTGGCTGGTGTGGATGACCTAAGGATCACCTGCAGCATCCTGCAGCTCTTGTTTTTTCTTCGAAAAAGCATTTGTTTTGCGCTTCTATGCTGGTCAGCGTTCATGCCAGATTAGATGTCCCGTAGGTCGCCGTACTTTTTAATACTGTACTGAAATGGGTGCCTGGAGGTTGTGATACTGGACTCTTCTCGATCCAACCGGCCAGATGAGGCCCACGAGTTTCTTTTGCTTCGCAAAAAAGTTAGTACTGAGACCAGCTGCAGCCAGTCAGCTATGCTACTGCGGTGATTCTTTTTGTGTTTGCTGACTGAAACCATATAGATTCATAGATTCATAGATGTTAATTAGTTAAATAATTATATAATTGAATCTTTATTATGTTCCTTGAATTCTGCCAGCGCTGCGGCTTCGTGATCTACAAGACGCCTGAAGCTGCCCGGATAGCTGTACAGGTGCATCCTTAAGTATAGCGTGCAAGCTTGTTTCATCTTGTTTCCTTTCTTTGCGTTGGTTTCCTTGGTCACCTTACATCAAAGCAATCCAGTGTGGTTGACTGCCCCCAAATTGCATGAGGTGCTGAATAAGGTCTATCGCTTTCGAGAGGACTGCCAGTCTCACAGTCTCACCATGTGAAAGTCTGAGTTTGCTTGGCATCACACTGAGTTGCGCGACTGAAGGAGTCTGTGGACCCCATCCACGTCAGCTTTGCCAGAACCAAGGAAGGCAAAGGCGAGGGCAAAGGCGACGACAAAGGCGATCGCAAAGGCGATCGCAAAGGCGATCGCAAAGGCGGCAAGGGAAAGGACCTTTGTGGAGTGTTAGCGTTGTCATAGCATTCCACGAATGTTGAACAGCACTTTGTCATAACACGGCTCACATATGCTCACATGACACTTGTGCAACTTGTGCATTGCTTGAACTTACAGCAAGGACAAGAACCACCAAAGCTACAATGAAAGCTACCACAATGACCGAAATGATCGCCACCATCACGATCGAGAATTTCATGGTGGATCAGGCTATGCTCTCAGCACATGTTGCGTTCAATCGATCCATTCAAATGCATTCACTCCACTCACATCATTCACACCATAGACGGTCCATAGACTGTGAATCACTGGGGATCCGTTCATGGTTAGGTGGCGGGAGAGGGCCTGGAGCACAGCATCGATTGTTGAACAAATAGCAGTTCAATATATCTAAAATGCATTGCAAAGTGAGTAACTTTATTGTGAGTGATATAGTGGTATAGTATATTAATGTATATTATTAATTACACTTTGTCTGACTTCTAGTCAAACGATGTCAAACCTTCTTGCTGTGGTTGGACGGTCTTCGCAACAAGGTACGAAGCTCCTCCTTCATCTCCTCATTCTGCCAGTCGTCCTGTTTACAGAGGTGACGGAGGCAGAGCGATGATTGCAGAGATGAGTTCTGGCATGCAAATTTCGGAAGCCAGAAGGTTGAATTTGTTGAAGAATACAAAAAAGGATAGAAAGGCACACAAGATGCAAGAGAAAAACATAGAAAAGGCATTTCTGTGTCCTTGAAGCCGCTTGACAGGACAGACTCGAGAACGCTCCCATGGTGCTCGAGGCACTAGCGACGTACCTCGCTATGGCAGAGAAGATTTTCGAGGTGCGCAGAGATCCAGAAACATCACCAGACCACCAGACTCTTTTGACTTTTTATTCCCGAAAGCTCCTGCGAAGGGTTTTGTTTAAAGAACTGCTGCCAAATTCAACTTATCGCTCAGCATTCGGCAGTGGATTCAAACTGTACACTGGAAGGTTCGGACTTTGGTCGAGAAAGAGAACGAGAACGCGATAGATACCCACCCAGAGAGCAAACCAGGCCAGATCGAGGATACCGAGACCGAGAACGGGAACGCAACGATCATTATGACAGACGGGAAGCAAATTACCCTCCCGGGGATCGACTTGATCGACAGCGACCAGATCGAGATCGTCAGGATCGACAGGATCGGGGCTATGACCGCAGACCTGAAAGATACGATGATCGCGGTGGCTATGATGTCCACAGTGGCCATGACAGAGGCTATCGAACTGAAGGTGCTCACCGACCAGCCCCTGGCTATTCTGGCCATTCTGGCCACTCTGGACACTCTGGACACTCTGGCATGTTTGCAGGAGCTTTAGCAATTCAGTCACTGCAGACCGGAGATAGTGAGGGTGAGAGGCTGCCCGAAGCCATCGCTGGGTGCAGCGGCTTTGCCAATACTTTCGCATGAACATATTTGTACATTCAAGACATTTGTATACATTTTTGTATATACATTTGTGCTCTTTGGGCCCATATGCCCCCCCCTAAATTTTGATTTGGAAACATTGCAGAAAGAGTCAGACGCAATTTGCGATTCGAATGGGTTCAGTTCGCATGTCAGGCGATGATCGGAGAGGTGGGTAGATGGGTGCAATTGGATGAGTTTAGAACTTGTGCAGCTTGTGCAATACTTTGTGGATTCTGATTAGAGCTCTTGCAGAAATCAGCGCACTGCAAGTCTTGTGCTGATGGAGGAGCAGGTGGTGGACCAGCTTCTGGGTCGAAGGTGTACGTTGGAAACCTGCCCTCCGACATCAGCAAAGATGCGCCCTTCCCTGGTTCTCATACAGTCACAAAACAATCACAAAACTATAGATATGTGCAGTACTGCATTACTTACCAATTATTACCATGTGCATCCATGTACTGTATCATGTTTGCATGTCGCGAAGAGGACTACTCACTACTCGATGACCTCCCCTTGGACTTATCTGCGGAGTCTGCGGAGGTACTTCAGCAAGTTTTTACGACTTATGGGCAAAGACCTCAGCCGATTTGTTTTGAACACCGCAGATTCATGCAGATTCAAACCATTTGTCTCACCGTGTCTAAGGGCTGTGGAAGACATCCATATAATGACAGGAAGGCGCCAAGAAAAGGGAGTGAAAACTGCAAGCAGGTTATGAGGTCTATTCTTGATTTCTTAATATTTCTTGCCTTTCTTTCCATGTCTCGGTGGTCCTTAACTGATTTCATCCGCAGGTCCAAGAGTGGCCAAGCATCAGCTTTCATCAAGTACTTTGGAGCCGGCGAGGCGAGCGATTTTGGAATCGGGAACCAAAGAGCATCAGAAGGTGCAGAACAGCACTGCATGAAACTCGTTAAACTGTTGCCCGTCTCTAGGCTTCTGACGCGATAGCTGCTATGGCGAGAGGGTGCCACGGCAACAAAGTATTCACTGGTTGCACAAGTTGTCAAGCATCTCACTTCGATGATTGTCCACATTCGACATGTTATCATTTGCAATTTATGAGTCAACAACAAAGCTTGTGGGCTATAAGATTCTCGCTTGACTTTGTTGTCGTTTGGGCTTTTGACATTTTGTTGATGTGTGTGTGTGCAGCCGTCCCGAACTCTCAAAGCCCAAGTCAACCTGTCTGCTTCGGCACATTGACAGTTCAGACTCAATGCCAACATTCTATGAAGAGCTGGGTGTGCCCTGTGATATTGACCAAGCAGCTTTGAAGAAAGCCTTGAAGAAAAAGGCTTTGGAATACCATCCGGACAAGCATCCATCTGAGGAACAGCAAACGTGGACGGAGAAATTCCAGCACCTGCAACTCATTATGGAGACGTTTGAGAGTGAAAAAAGTCGTTATGTGTATGACGAAATCCATCTTCGCAAGGAGAGGACCAACCGTATCCTTGTCTTGATGGATATGAATGGAAGCTTGCTCTGCAAGTTGGGAAAAGATGGAAGAGATGGCTACCCAGGGAAACGCTCCATCAGGCCTGACTTCAGCGACAAGAACAATGATTTCTGGGTGCGTCCACATGCCAACGAGTTTCTTGAGTCCATTTTGCACCCAGCCTCAAAGATAGCATTCGCTATATACACAAGCCGCCAAATGAGAAATGCACTTCCACAGGTGACGATGCTCTTCAAGAGCATCGGTCGACCAGACCTACAGGAGAAAGTATTTGCAATTTTTGCTGGCGATGAATTCTCCGTACCTGATCCAGATGCTGGCCCGTACAAGTCCAAGCGGAGTTTGCCTCGGATTTGGAGGGATCCCCGAACATGTGCGGCACGAGGTGTCAAGTTTGACATGTGCAATACAGTCAACTTGGACAATGAAGTGTCAAAGATTCGGGAGCATTTGGAAAATGGCATTGTCGTCCCAACTTTTGGATCTCGTGAGATTGGATCAGCAGACGAGATCTTGCTAGAACTCAAGGATTACTTGAAATGCTTGGCAAAGGAGTGCCATGGAGACGTCAGAGAATACATGAAGCTGTTTCCATTTTGCAAGGGGGGAGGATTGCTAACTCGTCCACCCTTGCCTCCAATGTCCACATTTGAGGATGAAGATGACAAGGATGTGACTACCTTGACACAACAGCTCGCAGAGATTGCAATTGATGCTCAAGGAGAGAATGCAAAGAAACATTGAGCTAGTAGATCAGATAGATCAGAGCTGTTTCCAAATTGTTGACCAGTTGACCGGCTGGACTTTTGGGCTTTTACAGTCAAGCTGGAATCTAGGTGTGATTTTCAGCTTGGGGCTCATGAATCGATGGCCCTCTGGCAACAACCGCAATCAGGGCTATTTTAAAATCGAATGAGGACGCGTGGACAGATCAAAAGGCAGCTGCTGGCGCTGGGCCTGCTAGGTTATATTTTTGTGTTGCGATGTGGATGGCTTTTGAACAAAACAACAGATTTCCTACAATCCATCAAATTATATACTTCCTCCTCCCTGGTATTGGACATGCATACCTTTGCAGCAAATATTGAACTGCTTCAGAATACGACCGTTGTCAGTACAACCATGTCCTATGACAAATTCCAAATGGGTCCAGGAGTCCAGGCTACAAAACTGCTAAGTTCGACACTGTCCTTGCTCAGTGCTTTCTTGGCAAGGTATGAAATCAGACCCGGAGAAGGTCCCATAGTTGTCCGACTTGCTGATGGCGAGGAGAATAGCTTAGCCCTGCAGCGTAAATCGACCATTAGCTTTTCAATTGTACGGACAACAGAGGGCAACAGAGGACAACAGAGGACAGCAGAGTACTACTTTTGCGCCTTGATTTCTCCCAACTTTGCAATGCTAAACGGACCTTGAGCCCAAAAGGGCTTGAAAGTTAGAGTTTTGTGCCAGGGCCAAAAAGGCGGCGGTCGTGGGGGCGACAGATCAAGACCTTACTGAAGAGGCGCAGTGCTGTGATGTCAAGATTACTTCAGAGGGTGATGCCATAGTGCAACAGTGTGCTGTGTCGAGCAGCCTTTCACGTGTGTTTGGGTGGTGCGCAAGGTCCGATGCGCTAGATGATTTCGCCGCTTGAGTCTTGTCTCGCCCGTGAAGCAGAGCGTGGAACACGTTTTTTGAATTCTTTTTTGGTAACTGGTGAGCCAAACCTTAACCTTTTGAAACTTTTAGTCCACGCTAGAAGACCACAAACTCAGAAACTTCACAACACGGGCGTTGACAAGTCTGGTAAGTCAGCAGAGGACGACAGACCCAAATGAACCCCAAGGATTCAGGAGACTTCCTCTCAAAGCTAAACAATACTTACCTGTGACATTGACAGCACTAGTTCCATTTGATCTGGATAAACTTGCGAATGTATTCTGATTTGTTGCCGTCCTTTGTTCAGAACACCAGAATTGCTAAGACAAGCCGAGCTAGTGCTGTGAATGCAGCGCTTGGTTACTGGCCAGAAAAGGATGTTGCAGGAAGGTTTTGATGTCATATGCGATAGAATGACCCATGGCTTGTCCATGTTGGTCTTGAAGGTCTTCTATCCTTTGTAGATCTTGGAAGCATTTCTTTGTAAACCTGACGACGATCTGAGGCACTCCTTCGTCGAGCTTTTTTGGAGCTGGGGCGACGACCTGGGCTCAGAACTAGTCCAGGTCCCACTTTTGGTTATTTTATCAGTTTTTTTTAAGGAACCATGAGAAATTGACAACACCGCATCATCTATACGCGCTCGAACTTGCCTTGTAATTACAGACCCACAGACCTGTCACTGGTCACACGCTCATCCCTTATAGAGGGGACCCAGCTTGCTAGCACCCCCGAAACAGACATGTTGAAGAACAGCCGGAGGCTGCCTGTTCTTTGCCCGGAACAGGACACGTAGACATGACATGATGACATGCACATCACCATGGCACATGATTGTGATATGAGGAATGCTTCTTGGCGACGAGAGGCTGAAGTCGAAGGCTGGGAAGATCTGGGCAGAGCTAGAGGAAATACATAGAATATACTGAGAATATATTAGATTATATTAGTATGATTTAGATTGATTTAGTATATATTAGTAGAGAATGGCATATATGCAGTACATAGACGGGAAGAAGAGCAAAGGCCACGAGAGAACTGGGAGAACTGAGAGAACGGAGAGAAGGAATGGAATTTTCAGACCTTTCTGTCAACTCTTGCCACCGTGCATCCTTATCCTCCGGCCGAGGGCAATGGAAAACAGAGGATTCCCCAGCTGTGCGCCGTGCAGAGCTGCAGAGCTGACCATTGTTTGGACATGTTTTCACAATGTTTTGGTATGTCAGTGGTTGCTAATTTTGCCGTGAAAGGAACAACATGGAACAATGATTATATATATATAATATAATATACTATACTATACTATAATATAATATACTACAATATAATATAATATAATATAATATAATATAATGTAATATAATATGATATGATATGATATAATGTAATGTAATATAATATATAATGTAATATGCTCCCACGGGAAACCAAACACAGAAGACGAGGCCGCCCACGACAATTCTGGACAACTAACAATATGAGTAAAGCATGGGAAGTGATTAAAACGCATGATGCTACACAAACGCAAATACCATTCGACAAGAAGAACCGATCGATACGTGAGAGGATTATCGAACAAGCGCAGCGATACCAACCCCCATTCAACAAAGGACACCCAATATGAAACATTCAATGTGAAACTTTTGCTCAGTGTGACGCCTTTACAGTACTCAGTGTGAAACTTTTGCTCAGTGTGACACCTTCACTCAGTGTGAAACCGTGCTCAGTGTGAAGCTCTTGCTACATGGGAAGATTTCGTTGCATTAATACACCACCAAGCAGTGAGCGAGGCCCTAGGTTCTTGATAGTAGGTAGGAAGCGGGTTAGTGCCTACGACCTGTGGCAATGTCCGTGCTATAGGTTATGGCAGTAAAAAAGATAATATAATATAGTCTAGTATAATATAATAGAATAGAATAGTGTGATTTTTGTGACCAAAGTCAAGGGTAAGGAGCGGGCTGATGTTTTGAGGCACAATTTAGATCTCAAAGGAAGTTGGTAGAATTGAGGTTGTAGTCGGTTGTAGTCGGTTGTAGTCGGTTGTAGTCGGTTGTAGTCGGTTGTAGTCGGTTGTAGTCGGTTGTAGTCGGTTGTAGTTGGACCACGGCTCATAATTCGCCGTGGTAAAATATGCATTTTTTTAAAAACCAATCTAGGCCTTGCGACGGGGTGCGGTGGGGTGGGGTAATAATGTCCTGGTACGCTAACTTCCTGTTCTCTCGCGCTCAACATACATACGTCATGCTACGTCTGGGGTGGGGTGGGGTGGGGTGGGGTGGGCTAATAACGTCCTGGTACGCTAACTTCCTGTTCTCTTGCACTCAACATAACATACGTCATGCTACGTCTGGGGTGGGGCGGTCTCTTGCGCTCGACAACTTGAACGCAAAGACTTTCTTGCGGCACTTGACCAAAAGTTGGTGAAGATCACAGTAGTTTACCCGCATTTTGCAGAAGAGAAAAAACTTTTGCAAACATTGAACGCACATGACAAGTAGAAACCCATGTAATTGCGATGATTTGAATGCGGCATGCACATCATCGAAATGTCATTTTGACTGTATCTTAATCTAATCAGGTGTGACATGAAGTCTTCGGATGGGTTTGCGCAGGTGCAGTAAACCAAGTATGTACAGTACCGGCCTGCTCAGCACGATTTTCTCGATGAACGGTTGCATTCATTGTGGTCCGCCTTCCGCTACCTTCTTTTTGCATTCAACTTGTTTCAGCTCTCAACACATGCAGTGTGAAAGAGAATGATGTAGCGCATAGTAGCGCGACAAATTTGGATATCTCCATATATATATATATGTATGTATGTAATATAATGAGACCCTTTGGCGGTTCTTCAAGCCACATGCTACAAAGCTTGTAATGCAACATTTGCAAGCGTACACTGCTCATTGCTCATACTGCCTAACGTCGGTACTTTTCCTATAGATGCTTGGCTCCTTCGATTCCTAGTACTGATCCGAAACCGCTTCAGAAAACTATCTGCGATTCAGAACTCATGCTGCCTGTAATGCATCTGAGCAAATGCGCAAACCCGACCAATGCATTTGGAGCAGTCTGAAAAATGTGAGGCTTTTCATGGCCTTAATGGATCTAAGCCATCTGGAAAAGAGGCCAACATCTTGAGCTTATGAGCAGTCTGCCCTTTCTGTATTCTTGGTCGACCTGTAGCCAACATCATGAGTCTTTTCCACCACCAAGACCATTCAACGTTTCATGACCAAGTTGCCGTTTCCATGTCGCATGTTGTATTCCTTAGATTTCCTTCAACTCTAAATCAATGTCAACAGAGACGAGGTACTCCATGTTGGAGCGCTGGGTAGCTTTCCTCTGCAAGGCCGGAGGCTGAGACACCCCGAGCTCCGCGCAAAGTTTGATAGTTGTCCAAGCATCGTGCAAGTGCGCAAGCATTGTGCGAATCTGTACAGTCTGTCGCCGAGTCCAAAGCTGAGGCGCCTTGGCCACGATGCAAAGCATGGGCAAAGATCCCAAAGAGTCAGTGGCCTCAGCGCGCTGTCAGCGCGTCTCAGTGCTGGAGCCGCTGACTTTCTGTGCGTCCGGGTGGATGAGGCTGATTGTATGGCATGAGCCAGAGGCAGGAGTCTATGGCGTCCGCTTTTTCAAGGACAGCGCGCTGCCACGTTTGTTGCTGCCACGTTTGTTCAAAATGAAGTGCCCATTGCAGCAGACCTGCAGACCTTCCTGTCACAGCATGTCTTGCGTTCAAATTGGGCGTTGCAGTCCTTGGTTTCGCTGAGTTGGTGTCTAGGATGGAGAGTGGATGTACGAGGCTCCGTTGTTTTGTGCCTGTTCATACTGTACGTCAAACAGGTATATAGATAGATCTCTGTTTCATTCTCTTTCTCTGTGCATAGATGCACGTATATATATATATATATATATACGCGCAATGCCTGGGCTTTGCCCAGGCGTTGCAGCGTAGAGCGTCCCCATTCCCAATCAAACGTTGTTGCAACTCTGCATTCCGTTGAGAAGATCAACAAAGATATTAGGGAATATTAACATCCGACCTCCGTTAAACTCTACATTCAGTTGGGAAGATCAACAAAGGTATTAGGGAATATTCAAATCCCACCCCCGTTAAACTTTACATTCCATTGGGAAGGTCAACAAAGTTATTAGGGAATATAAAAGTCCCACCACCGTGAAACTTCTACCTTCACTGAAGATATTCAATAAGGGTTTAATTCTCCCACGCCCGTTAAACTTCTACATTCATTGAAGATCTTCAATGAGGGTTTATTTCTCCCACGCCCGTTAAACTTCTACATTCTTTGAGGATCTTCGATAAGGGTTTAATTCTCCCAGCCCCGTTAAACTTCTACATTCATTGAAGATCTTCAACAAAGGTTTAATTCTCCCACCCCAGTTAAACTTCTACATTCATTGAAGATCTTCGATAAGGGTTTAATGATGATGATGATGATGATGATGATGATGGTGATGATGGTGGTGGTGGTGGTGATGATGATGATGATGATGCGTTGCCTGTTGTGGTTGCGGTTCCGGGCAAAGCCCAGGCATTTGCCGTATATATATATACACAACCATACATAATATATATACACACGTATTTCATAGTTGTATAATTAATGCTGTGCATGTAATACTGTATATGATCTACACACACATATATATATAGATATACACACTATATACATTACATACATATGCACACTATATTTTCATAAATATGGTTAGGAAAAACACCTTTGGAACACTGCTGGAGTACATTGTATTCCTCGTGCATATGTGAAGCTAGGACTTGGCATTCGGTGGGGGTTTGATTGATTACGTGCTGGCATATTGGGATTTGTACTAGCAAAAACTTTTGAAAATTGCAATTGGAATTCAAAACGAAGAGCAGGTCTGAAGCTACTCCAGAGATGCTATGGATTCTTGTGTCGAGATTCAGAAGTGATTCAGGTGCTTGATGACAACCTTCCTGTTTCGCAGCCCGATCCCAGGATACAGAAGTTGTGTTGCCAAGTTCAGTATCTTCAGCCCTAGAATAAAGTTGGTTTCCAGCTTACAAACCCGAGGAATGGACGGCCGCTGTACAGTTCCTGTGGACATGAACAACAGGAGAAAAATCACAGACAGCAAATTCCTTGCTGCAACACCGGTCTGAATCAGTCAGCCCTGTTCCGGAAATCACATATACTCCACCTCCCTTCGAAAAAGGATTGGGCAGCTCTGATTGAAAAAGGGTGGGGAACTTAGTGCGTGCTGAGCAGAAAAAACAATACATGATATTATAGATTATGTTGGCTTTCCGATGGTCATTCCTGTCCTATGAGGTACGCAAAACTCCACGGGTCCTATGAAGCTGCTACAAACTGTCAGGAAGAAGACACCTTGGAGGACACGGGTACAGGAAGTTGAGACAAGCTGAGGCTGAGCGAACTGGTTTGTGAGTTGATCAGGGCTACGTAGAAAATCGTAGAAATAGGAAGCTTTCGGACCCCTTCGGACCCCTTCGGACCCCTTCGGACCCCTTCGGACCCCTTCGGACCCCTTCCCATTCTGGAAGGATGTCCTCGGCGTTGCCTCGGGGCGAATCTCGGTTGGTGACTTCCCAGTGTGGGTGGGGTTGCCCGACGGTTTCCCACTCCAGCATTTCCTCTCGATTTAGCAAAAATTAGCATCATCAGTCAGCCATATTACCCATATTCATCTCTGTGGCATATGCCTCATTGCTTTGTGAAGTAAGGTCAGTACTGTATCATTTCTGTACCATTCTGAAGTGTGAAGGCAGAACTGTGGCAGCATCTCAGGAGCAAGTCAATCTCTCAGAGGAAAACGTGGCAAACTTCACCAAACAGTCTTCATGCAGACCAACTGATCTTGGAAGCATGAACCGGGCAGAAAAGGTTTTTTCTTGAAGCCCACATCTGCCAAATTTGCGGCAACCACTTGGCAAGTTTCAGAAAATGTCTATGATCTGTGTGGAAAACATCTAATTTTCCAGCAGCTTTGAGGTGCAAGAGAAGATATGCCCTTGCTGCAATCCGAAGGTGACTTGGGATGACAGATAAATCTCGGCGTTTGATTTTTCTTTCAAAACTTTAGTTGTGCATTTGTACTCATTTTGATCCATTTTGTACCCTTTGCCGAGCCGACTGCGCAAGTTCTTGTCCCTCAGCTGAGAAAGGCAGTAGCTAAACTCAGGCGGGAACGTCCCGGGGAGGTGCCTTGTCCTTTGTGCTTCGGCCCGTGCAGGATTTGCAACGCTGGAACTTGAGTTGAAGTTTGGGTGCAGCTGTTTTCACTGAACTTTCACATATTTTCACTTTGTTTTTTGCTGTTTGAGTCTTTCTCTTCGACCCAAGATCAAAGGAATATACGCTCATTGAGAGGCTGCCAGAGGTCGTTTATGGCTCTGAAGTAATTTCCGGAAGCATTTGGGTTTGCACAATGCATGCATTGTCAAATGGTTCACTTGGGGATCCCCAGATTCAACAAATGCATGTCACACCCAACACACGTTGTACAACTGGCTAACGCGCAAAAATGAATCCAAGTTGACATCCGCAACAAGTCGTCTTTGCTTTACTCTTCAACTTGTCCAAGTTTCTCTTGCCACATGCATTTTGCCCCACGGAATGGAACGCGTGCAAGCGGTTCGAGAACGCCTGTGCACTCCCAGAGGATCTCCGTCGCCGCGAAGGCCACTGACCGCTGAGGTGTTGAAAGGTGACAAAGGTGAGAACGGCAACTTGCAGGGCGACTTGCAGCGACTCTTGAAAACACCACGAGTTTTTCACCGATGCCAAGGGATCAGCCACATCAAGAGGAATGAGCTGCGAGCAAACTTACTGCCGTGTATTCTACAAACTCCAAGCTCCGACAGGGAGGAGACAGACGTCGAGCGATCTGAGAAATTTAAGAAGCGATTGGACTATCAGAATATCATTGGCACACGGAGCGAGAGTGAAAGCGAAGTGAATGAAATCGCATTTTTGGAAAAAACTATTGACTTTCCAGAGGAATGGGATCCTGCTTGGCAGGCTGTCAATTCTTGCGACTCTCTGAAAGATTTGGTTCACGAAAGATGTAGCAGATTTCGTCGACCGATTGAAGGAATGGTGAACACCAGCAGTGACTTGCCGTTCCTGCACAAGGCTGGTGGAAGGGAAATGTGGTGGGCAAAGCGGGTGGAATATGAACCAGCAAACCTAGACCAACAAGCTAAGACAGTCATGAAGGAACTTAGAGACCTTGTTTTCGTCGTTTTCCATGTTTATTGATCTTCATTGTCTGTTGCAAGGTCATTTCATCTTTCTCATGTTTTCCAGCCTGAACTTTTTCTTTTCCGGTGTCCATGCAATGCAGGATCAAGCTGTGGACCTGCAGGAGCTTGCCAATGTCTTCACCATTGAAATCCAAAATAATCCGGGGCGGAACCAAGGCTCCAAAGGAACCAAAGCCGCCTTCGCAAGTCTTCGGATTGCTTCTCGAGTTCCTCTCCTGGTGAAGGATCCAGCCACTGAAGCAACCATGGAAACGCAGAGCTTGCTCAACGATGTCCACACGTTGCGCTTGGATATGAATCCACAGGAAGTGCGGCATATTGCATGTAACTTGAAGAGTCGGCATTTCAAAGGCGGGATGGGGGGGTCTCCGGGCTCCCAGGGCCAGCCAAATGCTTTGTTCCGGACTGTTCTGTTAAGCAAGATGTTCTCTCTTGTTCGGGCGTGAGCTAAATTAGTGTGGTGACTCCAAAGCCCCCTTTAATCAATGCGCATCATGTGACAACATGTGGTTTTCATGTATCATCATGTTACTGTCCGGTGCGACACCACACTTTTGTTTGTCTTACCTTGTTTGGCTGTGCGTGGAAAGGGATCACTGAGTGATCGGAGGGCAAACTTGAGACGCTGTGCTGTGGTTGGTGTTCTGTATTTCTTGCTGCTGGATTTTAGATTCCGTCAGCTGGTAAATTGGGCAGGGTGCTTAGCTTTCTAAGGGGGTTCCGGGCAAAGTTGGGACAAAGCTTGAGTTTCCGAGCTTTCAATCATTTCAAGTTGGGGACGCTTCGAGGCTCCTTGCTCCCTGGGGCTTGTGATGGCTTATCGGTCCAGGATCTGCCACAAACACGTTCATCTTTCAACGATCTAACCCTCCTTGTACTGTGACTTTTGATTTTCAGATACCTGTCTTGTTAGACACCAGTCGATTCTTATGTCAGGGCTCCCGAGGTCTTCGCAGAAGTTCCTGTCCGGGATATCACCTTGATACAAAAAGTAGAAACCAAGACGGTGTTTGAATGCATAATTGGCGATATGCTTGTGTTCATTCCGTCTTCAGGTTCCGAATTGGAAGAACGCCTTGCTGCCGTTGTGCATCCAGAGCGTGGCGCATTGGCCAAGATGGTCAGGGCCCTGGAGCAGAAGGAAACCGAGGCCCAGGGCCTTCAAGCCGTGCTCAACAATCTCCTGCGAGAGGCAAGAACTTGTGGCATGTGTCATGTCCAGTCGTAGTTGTGCTGGACCAAGGTGTTGGATTATGTTGGACTCAAGGATCAAAGATATAGCCCCATGAAATTAAGGGGAAAGTGTGTTCCACACCAGGGCAACCAGAAGGGGGCTCCAAAAAGATCCAAAAAGGACTTCTGGGTTTCTTGAGAAGTTTTTGAGATCAGGGCAGATCATACGAAATGACATTGCGCTTTTATGACTTTCACACTTCAAACAAGATGGTTGGTTTTCTTCCACACATGATTTTCTAGACGACGAGGTGGTAGTACTCACGGCCTTCAGTCTGATCTAGAAAATGCACGAGATTGATCAACAAGAATGTGTTCTAACATGGTTCAGCAACACCTGAACTTTGGTCAATCAGGTGTCGCTTTTTGAACTTTGCTTTGAGTCAGGTGTCAAAGCCACTGCCCTGGTTGGACGTTTCAATGGAATCGAGTGAAAGGCTTCAAGCAATGCTGACCGAACCTCGCCGAAGTCTGGAGCGGCTTCTGTCAGTTTCAGATCGCTTGGCACTGCTGGTCTGGGGCTCAGATGGAGCTGGGACAATCGGCTAATGATATCGAATCGATGTTGTATGTAGATATTACATGATATATATATATATATGTATAGATTATATATGATATAATTAATGTAGAATGTAGTGTATCGTGGACTAAGAATGCATTCACGAAGCTTACGGTCTGGTAGGTAAGCAGGATGTCTCAGGATCTTGTGATAAATGTGACAAGATATTTCAAGATATAAAACTTCTTATCACAATTTGCCAATCTTCTGAACAAACCTTATCACAAAATATCACAAATACATTAGATTCAATTAAATTCAATTAGATACTCAGGAAGACTCCAAATTTTGGATGTCACTCTTTCGGAATCTTCTGAGGCTCAGCCTTTAGTGGCGTCAGTGGCACATGCCATTGATCAGATGGCCTTGATCTGCGTCCGTGAGGCAAGGTGACGACACCAAAAAAAAACCACAGGAATTCAACACAGAGCGCGGAGAGCAGATATTCTCGGATTTTCTCGGAAGTTCTCCTGTTTCTGACCTTCTTTTTCACGTTTTTTCTCATGCGATGATCTCAGGATGTCTGAGATTTGTCTCGTGTCAGACACAGACTTGTAGACTCTTGTAGGTTGACCGCCTCGCTAGCTCCTGCAATGCAGAAATAGAGAAGCTCTTGCAGGTGCTCGGATTTTGTGCTCAACGTTGCTGCGTTCAATAGTGCTTAGTGAAGGTACAGTAGTACAGCGAAGACAGCGATTGATTAATTATTTGCTGTGTGAATCGTAAACATTAAATGACGCACTCATGTATTTTTCAGAAAGAAGACACACACACACACACACCCATGCACACACACACACACGCAGAGCTTTGGATCGCGTCAGTGATTCCAAATCAGTCCACACGTGGGAAGTCTCTTTATATAAGTCTCCTTGGCTGATTGAAATGCCCGTGAATCAGAATATCCCTTTGTTGAATCCTTCCAAAAGAGAGAAAATTGTGCAGGCATTCAACACCAGTGAGAAGGCTGGGTGCAAGTTTTATATTTGATCTTGAATCCTTCTACATCCTCTCCATCCTTTTCCTTTGACTTTGCATGCTCTCAGGCACGGCGGGAAGCAGAAGAACGCATTGAAAAGATGGGTGGAGCAAACCTGAGGGATGACTCCTACGTTGAAATGTCAAGAGGTTGCTTGCCTTTGGTGTAGCTACAGGGTAACTTGTGAAGAAATGAGGTCGAACCGTTGGCAACGATTTCCAGAGCCGGCTAAAAAACATGGAGGCGCTTGGGTTGGAGGAAGACAAATGCCATACATATGGAACCTTTCCAACTTGACCTTGTGATCACGAATCAGCTTTTGAAATGACACAAGCTTACTTGCAGGGAGCTTGGCAGTCTTGTTCAACATGCTGTCAGAACGAGCTTCATCAGCACGCGCGGACTCATGCAAAGCTCATTGAAGAAAAAAATGAACTGGAGGCCTTGAGAGAAGCTCGTGTCAATGTTTTGCAAATTTGTGTTGGCTGCCTGCAATCGTGCAAGTCTGGACTGGACTTTTGTGCTTGAAAAGACGCTTGAAAAGCGCAAAAGGCCCTATTGCAAGAAGACTCTCATGCAGCAGCCGCTTGACATGATATTGTGTGATACGACGAGGGACAAAAGCCAAGATTGTGTCTATCTTCTCAAGCAATTCAATGATACAAAGGTACTGTTGCGAGCCCAGCACGGCAAGACAATCTGAACCAAGGCTGCTTTGAGGGTTAAAGTGAAAGAGTTGGAGCAGGAGATGTTAAGCTGTCGTTCTTGCGCGCTCATAAATGAACCATGTAGCTGCCCAGGAAAGGAATAGTACCAGAAGGGCAATTCTTTTCAGAGGGAAATGTGACAGGAGGTGAAATATTTGCGACAAAGGGGCCCTCAAGCCTGGCTAGAGACTGAGATCATGAGAAGAATCTCATTCACTTATATAATTCAGAATTGATTCAACTTGATTCAAGCTTGATTCAACTCGTACAACCTGCGCGGCCTGCGAACAGAGAGTTTTGTAGCACGCGCTGAGGAAGAGTGACTCACCCAGTCACGCGCAACCGCCGAGTCCGTCAAGAGCTGGAGCTGCAAGTGCCTCTTTGCAGCACCGGAGAAAGCTGTTCCGAAAGCTTTTCAGATCTTTTCAACATTTTTCAACTTTCGAGCTCGCTGGGATTCTTTGTGTTGACAGAGGTCAAGCTTGAGGAAGATCCTGGCTTGGAAGCCGACGAAGACGAGGTGGAAAACAAAGCCGAAGAAGTTAGAAGAAGATGAGTTCGTCGAAGAAGAAGAAGAAGAAGAATTTAAGCCAGTGCCAACCACACAGGGCTTGCACATCCTTAATTGTTCCTAGTTTCCTTTCGCGAGATCATCTTGTGAACATATCAGGAGTCTCAGAGCCCATCACTCACAGTAGTAGGTAAAGGATTTAAATTTAGAAGTCCACAAGAGATCCCAGTGCAGGGCGAACCAGCATCTTCTTCCTCTATGAAGAAGGCTGGGGTTGGCGAAGTGAAGAATGTGCAAAGTGCGATCAAGATCGATCAAGTACGTGTCTGACTTCACACAGCTGAATTCTTTTCTTCTTTTCTTCTTGGTTGTCGGCCTCTGTATGTATATAATATTACATAGTATATATATATACAAAACATATGTATATATATATATACATAAATTCAGAAAGGGACGCCGCCAGGGCTCACAAAATACATAGCTAGAAATTTGTGCTATACAAGGCATAAAGTCAATGATCTCTCTTTGATTATTTTTTTTGTGGAGATATTTTTTTATGTAGTTTTTTTTGGTTTAGGGTCCGTTCATTTGGTGAGGGGGGGAGAGCAAAAAAAAACAGAGACATATATATATATATATATTTGCTCTCGCCCCCAAACTGTGGTCGCTTGAAAGCCTTGAGTGGTGGGGCTGTACTAGAGTCGGTTCAACATCTAAAATATAAACAAAAAAGAACTGATGATACCTACGAAAATGAATTGAACAGTAAAAAGCAATATGATTAGATGTTATATTTGTGCCGTAGATTTTTAAACGGGCCCTCACACAGTTCCACTCTCCAGAAATATGCCTACATACACAGTATGCATATGCAATATATAATGTACATACATACACGTGTAATGCCACTTGTGGGGGCTTTCATTTTCAAATTCCTGCTGCAGATCCATCCGCCACCTGCCTTCACGGTTGCGAACTCCATGCAGACGGAGACAGAGTTCTACTTCTCCAGAGGCAATGCGGCAATGTTTATCCCGCTGAGAGTCAAAGCACAACGGAAGAAGAATTCAGCCTAAGCTGCAAAGAGTTGTCAGTGCAGTGAAGTGGTGCTGTACTTTTTGAGAGATTATTTTAAAGAAGGTGCAAAAAGACAGAAAACGCTCGACGCAGGCGAAGAAGCCAAGAACTTCAAACCACCAGAGTTGAGCTTTCAGCAATATACAGACATTCTGGAGTGAAGCTCTCAAGAGAGAAACCATGAGAAACCCATGCTATGTGTAACGCTCGAAACACAATGCCTTATGCAGTCACCATACTTCGATTTTTTGCTGAAGTTTCGTATGCCTAGGACCATCAACAGGTTGTTCGTGATGCTGGCCTCATACCAGTACCTCGATGTCAATTCCTGTGCCCAGATATTGCATATGATAAATGATTGTAAATGCATGTCCACAAGTCCAGGACGAGTTGACGAGTCCACGTCCTGTTTGCCAAGGTGGAATGACAAGACCGCCACCTTTCTTGTCAGGAAGCCTTGCCAATCTTCTCGAGATTTCTCAAGTGTTTGTTACAGGACTTTGTCTTTGCCCACGAGAAACCCGCAACGCCAGGAGTGTAGATGACATGACTTCTGATGAGGAGGATGAGGAAGAAGCTTTTGCCAGGAAACCCAATTGTGCTTGCATTTGTGGCTGTCTCTATCTTGTACAAGAACGCAAGATATTGCAAGCACGTACAGGACACCGACAGGCACACGTACATGAGACACAGACACATCCCCTCGAACCTAATTTGCAGAGTGCGTCATCATGAGCTCTCAAACCAGAACCAGAACCGCACAAGCAGCTTTCGGAATCATTACACGGAAATCGCATAGGAACCAAGACGAAGACTGATGTGAAGCGAGCGCAGAGATTTGCAACCTTTGATCTTTGCGAGGCCCGAAGGCCGTCACTCTGTGGGAAACAGACCACGTTGCTCAAGCCTTAGCCGAAGACCAACAGAAAAAAGTCTTTATATAATTGTTTTATGTCGTCTTTTCCTAAGAGGAATTCGAAACATCAGATTAACCAGGAATTAACTACCCTTTTCAACCTGGAATAATCTGGACGCAGTGAATGAAGTGCTTTGCGTTTTTGCCCCTGATGACTTCGGTACTGTAAAACAAATCGCATTTGGCATTTCACTTCGTTGACGGCAACGGTGTGGGGATCTCAGGAAGGGCAGCAGTCAGCGAGAAGTGGATGCTCGGCTGGAAGACTGTTCTCACACACTGATCATTCTCAACACACTCTGATAATCTCTGATCTCCAAGCAGATCCAAGCAGAAATCAACAGTGAGAAATCTCTCTCTGTGTAGAGGGCAGTCATGTAGACAGGTTCGTGCTCAGAGAGGTAATCTCCGGCAATGAAGATGCAACATACGACTAAGGGGATTCGCCGACTGAAGGGAAAAGTGGAAGCAGCTCAGCAACAGGCAAAGCCTCGCAACTCTAGACATGCCATTTTTTGCAAGGATGTAGCATAGGAATCATAACCTGCATCACACTGGCTGCCAAACTGGTACCGTGCAGAAGTACTCTATTAGGTATATACTGTAATTCTATTTGGCTTTTGTTAGACCATGGAACTGGTCTGTGATTGGAGACAGGTCATTTTTCATTTGGAGATTGTGTTAGACCATTTATTCTGTAGACCTAGCCATGGGAGGCAGCTGCTTCCCAGCTTAAAGAGCAAGTTGCGATTTTGCAGCTCCTGGTTTGGTCCCTGGCACTTGTTGCACTCGTTGCACTCTGTCAATATCCGGACAGGCTCTAGGACCTCTAGGACCTCTAGGACCTCTAGGACCTCTAGGACCTCTAGGACCTCTAGGACCTCTAGGACCTCTAGGACCTCTAGGACCTCTAGGACCTCTAGGACCTCTAGGACCTCTAGGACCTCTAGGACCTGAAGGACCTGTAGGACCTGTAGGACCTGTAGGACCTGTAGGACCTGTAGGACCTGTAGGACCTGTAGGAACTAAGAACGGTGGCATGGTACATCATGGCACATCATGGCACACATGAGCATTCGATGAACTGAGGCCAAAAGCAGTTTCGACGCATGGCTGAACAAGATACTGAAGGAGAATATATGCACCATGTGTACCTTGATCCGGTTTGACCTGAGAGAGACTCAGTGAGACCACATAGAATTGATATAGAAACCTTGAGACTTGAGAAGGCTGTTGAGAATCTCAGCAGACAAGATGGCTTCAGACGTTCACATCACGCCAAGTGGGACTGGATTCTGGTCATGGAGGACTTGGGCTCGAGTGGGTTGCAAGCTGGGCTAGGGCCTTAGTTGCTGCCTGGTTCAGGAAAAGAGGTTGACCCTGACGCAGCTGAATTTACACAGCAAATGCTGACCACCACGACCGGCTAGTAGCATCAGTGGGATCATGTGCCTGATCTGTGGAATCACGGCTTGAAGCAGAAAGGTGCACTGTTGTGCCAGTCGGTCCACAGGGATCCTGTACGAACTCTGAGGCTGCCAGGTCCAGACAAGCTCTTCTCTGCAGTGGGCCCTCCTGATTAGCAAATTTTGAGTAATTTACACTAGATAGATTGAGCAGTTTCAGAAGCAACAAATCAACAAATTTGAATACTACTCACACCCTCTGCAGCCAACTTGGCTCTCAACACATAGCTTCACCATGCTTCACCTATCGCTTAATGCAAGATGGATATAGATAGATGGTGTTTTCATGTGTCCAAGTGATGACGAACTCTTACGGACACACATTTTATTTCGAAAACTGTTCTTCATCCACACGCCTTCTCAAGATGCAATGACGGATGCTGAACTTCTGCAGAGAGCAGAGCATTTGCGGCTGCAGGCCGCCTTCGTAGTACCAGCTGTTTGGTTCGCCTGGGCATTTGGGACAAACATGGAGTATCAAATCCACAAGATGCTGACCCATGTTTTGTACATTCTGTTTTACTTTTTTCTCATTAGTACAAACACACACAGACACACACTGTGGGGTAATGGTGAGTGGAAAGTGTGAATGATGTCACCGTCGTCGCCTAATGTCCTGAGTTACCTGTCAGTAGTTTGACAACGGAAACGGAATCGCCAAAGAATAAACAACGCACAGCTCATGAACAGGAACAGAAGGTCAACAGTTTTAACCATAGCAGGTACGTAGACCAGGCGTCCCTGATCTATATCCTTACCGCATGTCACTCAGCTTCGTTGGCAGAGGAAGTGACATGGGCACCTCTGCCCCCTGCTTTATGAGAATTGTACAAGCGCGATATACAGAACTAAACCGTATGTTATAACGGTGTACACACACACACGCACGCACACACACAAATGAAGTATACAGATTTATATATATAATACATTATATATATAAATGTATGTATGTATGTATGTATATATATATATATATGTACGTATACATATATATATGTATGTATATGTATATGTATATGTATATGTATATATATACAGATACATATTTGTAAATATACATATGTACATAATGTAATGTAATGTAATGTAATGCAATGCAATGCAATGCAATGTAATGTAATGTAATGTAATGTATGTATGCATGGATGGATGGATGCATGCATGCATGCATGCATGCATGTAATGTATGTAATGTATGTAATGTAATGTAATGTAATGTAATGGTATGGTATGGTATGGTATGGTACGGTACGGTACGGTACGGTACGTATGTATGTATGTATGTATGTATGTATGTATATATTTTTGCCCACAAGTTGGCAAAAAATCATTCCAGCTGTCGCTCAGGAACCTTTTGATGCTCGAGATTCCCTCTCTAGCCGGCTTCCTTGTGCAGGGCCTCCGCGCTAACCTTTGGGGCTTGGCGTACTGTTCCGGCTCCTCGGTCTCTCTTAGCCTGTCCTGTTTCTTGTTGGGCTTTCTTGCTGGTGTTGGATTTTGTGCCTGGCTGTGTTTTCGGTTTGGCTTGATCCCGTCACTTGCCTCCACACATCCTACTCCACCAACTGGCCCTGTTGCTTCCTCTGCCCATCCTCGTACGGCCCTTCTTGGCTACTTGCATGCCCAGGGACCACGGCGACGTTCTGAGATTGCCGGCCTTCGGGTTTCCGTTGCTGGTCCTTCTGATTTGGTTGGTGGCTTTGTGCAATACATCTCTGCCTTCCGTGGTCTTCGACCCAGGTCACCTGATCCTTCTGTGGGCTCTTTCGAGGTGGTTGGTTCTGACACTCCTGCTCAGCCTTCCTCTGGCTCCGCTGGACTTGAGACCAGAGATCACTTCGCTGCCTCTTTTCCTGCCTGCCCTGAGCACCTTCGATGCCTTGGTGTTGAGCTGGTTGGGGCTGCGCTGTCTGGTTCCTGTCGTATCGATCGGGCTTAGACTGCTGGCTGTTAGGCGCGTGCTGTGCTGGACAATCGGGTTCCCTCACCGAACCGCGCCCCTCCTTTAGATTCGCGCTTTCGGTTTTACTCTGTGGCCCGTGCTGATTTTTTGCAGCTCCCCACCATCTTCCGCTTTTCTGGCTCCTATTGGCGTGCCATTGGGCCACTGGAGAGCAGCTGATCAATTTCCCAAAATCCTAAATGAATCAGAGGCACGAGTCTAGATGTGGAACCAATTGCCCTGCCTTTCGGCTCGGGCTCTCCCTTCGTTTTCCTTCTCTCAAAGAACTTCGGGCTACTGCTATGGATCGGATTCGAGGTGCAGACGAAGAAGCTGGACTCATCTTTCACGCAGGAGGTGGTGGAGTTGGAGGACACGCCGGCGGGGACCCCAAAACCCCGAGAAAGCCTGCCGACACCAGCGCCACTCCTATTGGCACTGGAGATCCAGGAAAGCCAAAGAGGGCAACCATGGCTTCTCTTGCAGCCTCAATGGATCAGCTGTTGACTTTGGTCTCTCAACCTGACATCTCAACTCCACCCTAGCTCGGCGCCAGGAGGCTTTGGAAACCAGGATTGCAGTGCCAACAGAGCTGGTGTTCCTGGACTTTCTCAGCTTCCCTCGGCCAGCATAGCAGTAGCCAGTGTTGTGGCTCCTCCCCCAAGGACAAAAGGGCCTTTGGTGCCATCTCTGGACTTGGACTTGGATTTTCGCCCAGGGGATTTGAAAGCTTTGGAGGAGGGGACGCCTCCCGTTGTGGGGGAGACTCGGACTTGGCGAAAGCGGCGCTTGCCCGGTTGCCCAGATCGCGCAGAACAGCCAGGATTTTTTTGTGGACTTGAGCTCTGCTTCTACCTTGGCCACCACCCAGAAAGCTCAGGGCAGTGTCTTCAAATCGATGGCCAGGCGCATGCAACCGACCGCGCCCAGCACTGGAAGCCCTGCGGAGCTTCTACAGCGGGGCGTATGCGGTACCCGCTACATGGAGAGATTTGGCGGCTATGGGAGGCATTGAGACCTGGGCCTGATCCTGTTCCAGGTCATGACGGTGATGGACTTCCTTCAACCGACAATGTGTGAGCAGCCAAGGATGCAGTGGCTCTGTTGGCAACCTGTTTTGGGCCAGGGTGTTCACTCAGCTGGCAGATCAGCGTTGGGTGACGGTGGCTTCCGCTTTCATCAAGGAATTGGATGTTGTGACCAGAGGCAAGAGCTTGCAGGTGGAGTTTCAAGCGGCCAAAAAGCCCAGAGCCTCTCCCACCCGCTCCAAGGCTATGCAGGAGGGGGCAAGCAACTCAAGAAGCGGAGGAGGATTGAGAGCATGCGGGGAGACCAATCCCTGCCCTGGTTCTATGACTGATTCCATTAATTTTTCCACATGGTGGCTCAGTTTGCCTACTAGGTGGATTTTACGGTCCCGGACCGATTTTGCATGGCATTTACGCCGCAGTTTTTCTTCCATGCCACAGTCAAACCCAGTGTTGTGTACCACGGCCTTGCCCCTGCCTTTGCCTCCTTCGTTGGCTTCGTGTTGGGGTTCTTTCTCAGGTTTGTCAAAGCGGGGGCTGTCAAAGCTTTGCAGGGCTAGGTTGCTTCATGTCTTGGTCTTGACCTTGAACTACATGCATCTTGGTCGTTTCCCGACTTGCGATGAGGCGGAGACCTTCGGCCTCCCAGTCAAAGATCTACCATCGACTGAGGTCTCTGATAGCTGTGTGTGTGTAACATCTGAATAGATGTAAAACTTCTCTCTTTTTTCTTCCTTCCGTCCTCTCCCCTTCTAATAATAATAATGCAGGGGGGCAGAGCTCTCTGATGCTACTCTGTCCAACGAAGCTATGCATCAGAGAGGGAAGCATCCATTGGCCATGGATGTGTACCTGCAAACATGTCTAATGGTCTAGGCTGGTTTTGCACGTTACAGGACTCAGTTCCTGACGGATCACTATAATGATCCATTCTTATCTAGTGTGATTCCTATGGTGACTCCGGCATGGTGCCATAGGGCCAATTGAGGCAACCCTGGTTAGGGTCAATGTCGACTGAATTGACTTCCGAATTAACACATTTTAATTTGGTAATTCGTTTAAGTAAAGTGAAGCAGTTGGCCTTACTGTTCTGCACCATTTCTGTAATGTCCCGCTGGTCCTTTGGTCCCAGGGTTCCTCGCCGAAATGCCTGTCTATCACAGTGAAGCCGTTCGAAACTACCAGAAACCGTGTTTTTACTGCAGCTCTTGCTTTCACAGTGACCGATTAACCAGGACATGATATGAACAACAGGCAGGTACACGACTTTCAGGTGTGGTCTTTTTTCTTTTGATGGTTGTCTGGTGAGGTGAAACATATTGTGCACCTAATTCGTTGGAACTTGAAAGCCGTTTATGCCAATTGGGGCAAGACTTGACCACGGTCCCGGAAAGGGAATAACGCACGACTCCTAGGTATTTAGGAACTGAGTTCTGTGTTTAAAAAAAATGTTTTGGTTCCTTTTGTTTTTCATCAACTAGTTCCCCATTTGGTCCCTAATTCTCCCTGCGTGCCTCTCCGTAATGTGTCGTGGGGGTTTAGGTGTGTGCTCTGTTTTGGTCAGGTCCGTTTCGCCGTGTAGGTTGGTTTTGGAGGTCCGTCTGTTCCCCTCCCCCCCGGCGCTGTTTTGGCCCTTTGCCCGTCGTTTGTGTCCGCTTTTTTCTTCCTTTTGCCTTTCAGGGTTGACCCGGTTCCGGCCGGGTGTGTGTGTGTGTAACATCTGAATAGATGTAAAACTTCTCTCTTTTTTCTTCCTTCCGTCCTCTCCCCTTCTAATGATAATAATGCAGGGGGACAGAGCTCTCTGATGCTACTCTGTCCAACGAAGCTATGCATCAGAGAGGGAAGCATCCATTGGCCATGGATGTGTACCTGCAAACATGTCTAATGGTCTAGGCTGGTTTTGCACGTTACAGGACTCAGTTCCTGACGGATCACTATAATGATCCATTCTTATCTAGTGTGTGTGTGTAACATCTGAATAGATGTAAAACTTCTCTCTTTTTTTCTTCCTTCCGTCCTCTCCCCTTCTAATAATAATAATGCAGGGGGACAGAGCTCTCTGATGCTACTCTGTCCAACGAAGCTATGCATCAGAGAGGGAAGCATCCATTGGCCATGGATGTGTACCTGCAAACATGTCTAATGGTCTAGGCTGGTTTTGCACGTTACAGGACTCAGTTCCTGACGGATCACTATAATGATCCATTCTTGTCTAGTGTGATTCCTATGGTGACTCCGACAAGGTGCCATAGGGCCAATTGAGGCAACCCTGTTTAGGGTGAATGTCGACTGACTTGAATTCCGAATTCACACATTTTAATCTTGTAATTCGTTTAAGTAAAGTGAAACAGCTGGCCTTGCGGTTTTTCAGCCTTTTAGGGTTGTCCCGCTGCTCTTGTGGTCCCAGGGAACCTCGCCGAAATGCTTGTCTATCAGAGTGAAGCCGTTCTGAACTTCCTGAAACATCTTTTTTTTTCTGCAGCTTCTGCTTTCACAGTGACTGATTAATCATGACATGACATGAACGACAGGCAGGCACACGACTTTCAGGTGTGGTCTTTTTTCTTTTGATGGTTGTCTGGTGAGGTGAAACATATTGTGCACCTAATTCGTTGGAACTTGAAAGCCGTTTATGCCAATTGGGGCAAGACTTGACCACGGTCCCGGAAAGGGAATAACGCACGACTCCTAGGTATTTAGGAACTGAGTTCTGTGTTTAAACTAATTGTTTTGGCTCCTTTGTTTTTCATCAACTAGTCCCCCATTTGGTCCCTAATTCTCCCTGCGTGCCTCTCCGGAATGTGTCGTGGGGGTTTAGGTGTGTGCTCTGTTTTGGTCAGGTCCGTTTCGCCGTGTAGGTTGGTTTTGGAGGTCCGTCTGTTCCCCTTCCCCCCCTGCGCTGTTTTGGCCCTTTGCCCGTCGTTTGTGTCCGCTTTTTTCTTCCTTTTGCCTTTCAGGGTTGACCCGGCTCCGGCCGGGTGTGTGTGTGTGTGTGTAACATCTGAATAGATGTAAAACTTCTCTCTTTTTTCTTCCTTCCGTCCTCTCCCCTTCTAATAATAATGCAGGGGGACAGAGCTCTCTGATGCTACTCTGTCCAACGAAGCTATGCATCAGAGAGGGAAGCATCCATTGGCCATGGATGTGTACCTGCAAACATGTCTAATGGTCTAGGCTGGTTTTGCACGTTACAGGACTCAGTTCCTGACGGATCACTATAATGATCCATTCTTGTCTAGTGTGTGTGTGTGGCTCTTCCAGCGATTTGTTCCCGCTTGGGCCGGTCCTGAATTAAGTGCATCCCTGCTCCAGCTTGAGAATTTCCTGAAAGTCAGCCCTGAGTTTCAAGGGGGTTATTTGGATGGCCCTATTGACTTCAAGAGTGACCCTGCGATGTTCCCTGCAGAGGATTCTCCTGAGCTTGTACCATATCGTTGTTTGGATGCTTCCCGTTTGCGACTTGTTGGTAGTGGCAACTGGAGAGTGGTAGATTTCATCCAGGGGCCCTTGTGGTACCTGGACTTGGAAGCGCCCTTCACACATAAATGTCCTCAAAGTTGCTTCTGGCGTTTCTGTTGTCGAGCATGTTGGTAAAACTGTACCACATAGTCGGTTTGTGTCTGCTGTTGACTCCGCTGTTGCTCGTGGTGCCCTTACCAAGGGGCGATCTACGTCTCGGCTCCTCCAGCCTCTGCTGCGGAAGTCAGGAGTGTATCAGCTCTGTTTCGATGTCTATGCAGTGTGGCCCTTTTGCCCTACCAGGTTGAATGTTGCAGACGACCCGACTCGTGATGTCGCTATATCAGGTCTCGGTCGTGCCTCAGCCTTTTGGATCGAAGTGATGTTGATCTGCGCGCCGGAATGGGTTGAGGCGTTTCGCTGCAAACTAGATTCGTTTGGTCTTGCTGATCTCGTTGCCAGTTTCAGGCGAGGGGGCCTTCCCCAAATCCTCCTTTGGGTTTTGTCCGGAGGTCTCCTCAGTGCCTCTCTGTGCTTGCTCTGATCTGCGTCGTTTTTGTGGTCTTCTGTGCTCTGTCGATCCTCGGTATGTGTCTGGCCTCTTGCCGCGTGCTTCGTCCTTGCCGTAAAGCCTATTTCGTGTGTGGACTTCTGTCTCTGCTGGAGAGCCCTGCCCTGCATTCCCCAGGGCGCATGCCATGGAACCTTCTTCAGATGCTGAGCGGAAGAGGGCTGCACTAAGGTCAGAAATTTCGCTGCCAGGTGACAGAGTTGTATTGGATGCCACACGTATGAGGCAAAGGAAGCTGCTGCAACAGTTTCAAATCTGGCTATGGCAGACAAAAGGTATCTCTCTTTCCTATTTGCTGCATGAGAAGCCTTGTGACCCTGAGAAGATTTCCCAGTGGTTGGTTGTGTATGGCAGAGAGCTTTTCAAATCTGGAAAGGCCTACCGCAGTAGACCTGAGCTGCGGAAGCAACTGACTCAGGCCTGGGATCTAGCTGTTTCATGGGTTGCAGGTGAGCCTTTTGTGGGGCTGGCTGTGTGAAGCAGCAATTTTTGCCTTCACTTGGGCTGGCATTCTCCGAATTGGTGAGTCTCTTCAAGCTCGCAGAAAAGACTTGGTTCTACCTGTGAAGATGCCGCCCCAGGAGCCCAACACGCTTTGCTCCGAGTCAAGGAGCCGAAGCAAGCGCGTCACCAAGCTGCCAGAATAGATCCCAGTGACATTGTCATTTTGCTCGGAATTGCATATGGAAAGCTTGGAGATGAGGAGATTTTTTTGGCCTTATTCTGCCTCGAGACTCAGGAAGCGCTTGAGCGATGTCTTGAGAGCTCTAGAATTGCCCCAAGACGGTGAGAGAAAGGCGAGACAGTTTGACCTCTGGTCCTTACGAGCTGGCGGAGCCACCTGGCTCTTAGCCAGCTTGTGCGCAGCCGTGGCCGCTGGGCCACCACGCGCACGATGGAGATCTACCTTCAGGAGATTCTCTATGCCACCTACGTGGAGAAGCTGCCATCAACTGCAAAGGAAGCAATTTCCATTTATGCTGCAGGTTTCCCTGAATTTTTGAAAAGTGTCCAATACTTTGTCAATGCTGGGATACCGTGCAGCACTTGGTATAGCCTGCTGAGAAATAGGCAGTGGACTGAAACGCATGGGATGAGTGGTGGCAATGGAGCTGCTTTTGCACCGGCAAATGGTGCCGCAGCGTAGAGTCGAGCAAAGCCCACAGCATGGAGAAGCTGCCCACAAGTTGACAAACAATCATTCCAGCTGTCGCTCAAGAACCCCGCCCTGTTTTGGGGCCCACCCTTTTTGACTTTGGCCATTTCTCAGCGGTGGCAATGGAGATGCTTTTGCACCGAAAAATGGTGCCGCAGCTTAGAGCAAAGCCCACAGCATGGAAAAGAGCGTGCAGACAACTTGCATATATATATATATGTGTATATATATATATTTGTATATTATATATATATATTTATTTATATATATATACAACTACATGTACGTGTGTGTGTGTACATACATACATATATATATACACGTATATGTATATGTTTATACGTACATACATATATATATATATATTTATATATATACACGTATATGTATATGTTTTTACGTACATAAATATACACGTATATGTATATGTTTATACGTACATATATACATATATACACGTATATGATATGTATATGTTTATACGTACATTATATATATATATATATGTACATCACGTATATGTATATGTTTATACGTACACACACACATATATATGTATATACATATGTGTTTAGTTGTGTATTTGTTTGTTTATGATATTTGCCATTCTTTTAATATAACCTTTAGAAAGGTTTTCTGGATCGAAGGGAAACAGATCCACAGGGGCCAAGATGTGCTAGGCGACTGAGCTGGTGCTGCGGAGCTTCGGCAGAGCAATGCTGCCGTTTCGGCTTCGGAAAAGAGTTTGACTATGACAAGACATGCCGAAACGGTATGCTTTGACATGCTTTTCAAAAAGTTTAACTTTTGCCCAGACATGTTTCATTCTGCATTTGGTTTTACATCTCTTCTCATTCTCGCAGAAGGGGAAGAATGTGCTGCTTCAAACTCTGCGTTGGCATGGTGGAACACGGTTCCAGTTTTTTCTCACTTTTCAACTCATGCTAATGCTGTAGAGGTAAGACGATCCCATGAGTTCGGGTGATTTAGTGAGCAGCATGTTAGGCAATGCATTTGACCTTTGTCTGTACGGTCGCAGCTCTCAGGAAATGTGTGGCAAGCGGCCGCTTACCTAATTTAGAAGATATAGTAGCGGCCCTAGTATACGCACACACATGCGCGCACACGCATATGTCTTAAGCCATTTTGTTGATAGTTGTTGTAATTTGAACTGCTTTGAACTTTCATGACCCAGGAGACATCACCGACACTTCATGTCTGCCATTATTTTATCCCGATCATGATTTCCCGGTCGCTATCACCTGGACCATCATCACATGTGACGCAGTTTGTTTACTTAAGCAACAAGGGATAATCCTCCTTGTCGTTGCCGCTGCCCCATTTGCTGTCATCATCTAAATCGCGTCATTTTCACCACCAGCGTTCATAGCGTTCCAATCGGGTGATTCAAAACCGTGGCACTGCCTCAGATGGCTTCATGTTGACCCTGCCCTTTTTTTTCCACCTTATTGTGGCAGGACCCATCAACACAGACGTATGGAAATGTATTCCTGCACAACCAAAACCCCAACAATGAGATGACACACACACACACACGCATGCATTTATACACCTATACATTGTTACATGTGTGTATATATATATTGTTACATGTGTATATATACATACAGCAATGCTTGTATATATATATATATGGTTTATATGTATATAGTGTATATATATAGGTAGTATATACATATATATAGTTGTGTATATATAGTGTATATATAGAGCATAGGTATATATATATTATAGTGTGTATATTTATAGTGTATATATATATATACTATGGTATATATATAGTTTATATATATATATATATACACACCATAATGTGTATGTGTATACACACATACATACACACCTTTATAATACATGATTACCTGCGATTTCACATACATTCCAATTCCAGCTGGATTCCAGGATCATTGTGCAAGCTTTTAGACATACTTTGATCAAATTCGAAGCATTTTGATGCATTGATGTGGCAGTTTGCATTGAAGGTTCAGCAGAACTTGACCTTCAAGTGCTCGAGGCAGCTGTCAGCGACGCGCAGCAGCTTCAAGGACGGGGCCCGCAGTGGTCCACGCCTTTGTCGCATCAATATCAGTTGCGCGATTCAGCAGCCATGGCAATGTCTCCACACTACACTCGTAACATATAAATTCATTGAAAATTGAAATCGCTGCCTGCCAGAAGTGCAAAGATTGTACAGCTTGCGCTTGGCAAAGCTACCGATAAAACCGAAAGGCATGGACACCAGGAGACCTAAATGCTTGCGCTCCTGCGTCTCACATCTGCTACTGTTTCCATCTCTTCACAGAGGTAACTTGTAGCATTGCTACTTCAACTGCTAAATTGGCCACCTCATACTGGTCATGGGCCTACAACACATACGGGTTTATTTCAGAGGGACCAGATAGTACCTGCATGTGTTTGGAATGATAGTGTTGGGTGTGTAGACTCGATTAGACACCCTGTGAGGAATTGATGAAGAACTGCTGGCAGAGGCAGAGCAAGTTCTGGAATTGGCAAAGTGCATTGGAATTGACGAGAAGCCAGAGGTGCTAAAAGAGCGCCTCTTTAACGCTGTCAACGATGGTGAGCTTTCCGTCGCCCAAGCTTGTTTGGATGCCAATGCTGGGACCTCATTGCAACTTTTCATTGACGTGGTGGATGAGGATGGAAACACTCCACTCTCAGAAGCTGCATGTTACGGTGAAAATGAACTGGTCGAATTCTTCTTGTCCAGGGGAGCTCACCCAGATTCACGCAATGAGCTAGGACGCACGCCGATTTGGAGAGCGTGTTACAATGGTCACTTCGAAGTCGTGAAGTTGCTGCTTGAAAATGGGGCGGATAAGTCAATCGCAAGCAATACTGGAGATGCGCCTGGAAAGCAACTTGGAGAAGAAACTAACATACGTATGTTCGATGATATTTGTTCTTTTTCCTGCTGCAGCTCCGTTCACGTTAGCGGTTTGATATGATGTTCCGTTAGACACAGTAGTGCAATGTAATTGGGAGCGCGCACACATGTGAATATGGAATCATATGGATGTGTACTAAATCTTATTATCTATACATATTCCTACAAGCTGTTACTCTATCTACATCACTATATATGAGGGTTCGATGTTTGTGGGGAGTGTCAAACACCCATGCAGGTTTCCTTTAAAGCACGGAACCCATTCTTGTGATGGCTTGCAGACCTCCGTATGCAGTGATTTGGTTTGGTGTATCTTCATGTATCTCCACTATTAATATGATAATAACATAGGATGTAATAAAATAAAATTTAATTTAATTTGATTGAATTTAACTTAATATAACATCATTTAATAAACCATAATTGGATATAATAAAATATAATAATACACAGTAGAATATAACTTAACATAATACAATGTAATATAATATAATACAATAAAGTATAATATATATACTTAAATAAATATATATATATATATAAACAATATATATATATATTTATTTAGAATAATGTATATATATATATATATTTAAATATAAAAATAATATATATATATATTATCATAATATGTAAATGGTATAATATATATATATATATTGAAAGTAATATATATATATATATGTATATATTATATACAAGAAACATGTAATATATATATAGATTTATATACAATAATATGTATATATAAGAAATTGCATATATTATATTTAATATAACATTTGGTATGTGATATTTTATTTTTGATATCTGATATATTATACATGTTTTTGATATATGATATATGATATTCTATTTATTATACATGAATATGATCTATGAAATTTGATACATTATATTATATTTGATATATAATATACTGTTTATGATATATGATATTTGATATATGACATTTGATTTTTGATATATGATATATTAAATTTGATATTTACTATACTATATATGATATTTGATATATGATATACAACATAGAGTTTTCTATTCCTGATATTTGTTCGGCCAGGCATGGAACTGCGGAAACGAAAGCCCTGATTGCGGCATGGGATCCGGAGGAGACCGTGAAGCTGAAACAGGCGCGAAATCTCGGAGGCTGGCAGCCCCAAAAGGAGAAGAAAGGCCGGGCGAAACCAGTTGTCCAGGCCGAGCTGACGCCGCAACATGCCTCAATGGACCATTTGAGACATGCGAGACATGTGAGACATGTGGGCAAGCACCCGAAGCTTCGCAGAATTTAGTGAACTTAGTCGCGCTGCAACTGAAGTTGGATTTGCTTGTTGACTTTGCCGTGAAAATCAAGGTTGCAAAAGATGCTGCAAAGCGGAGAAGAACCGGCGTGGCCGCTGAAAGTGGGACTTCGTGAATTGCCCCTGGCATTGTCTGCCGCTCATGACTTTGGGAAGGCGCCTTTGGTTTTCTGCACACTCTGGTTTGATGCATAGAGCTGCAATGATGATATTGACTTCGCACACACACACACATACACAACTACAGTTACAGTCCACCCGTTGTCGGGTTAGGCCATTCCAATTTTGTCACCAAAACAACAAGAGAGACACATTACCCACACTTACCGTGGACTTGCAACATCTTGCAAGTAGACCTGTGTCCAAGAAAGAAAGACGTGAGCTGTGACAGCGCTGTCAAGGTGGGTTTGGTGGTGGCCAATGGATTAGAGGAAGTTGAACGATACCTTCTCTACTCCTGTGAAGGGCTCATTGATGGAAAGCAGCTGATTGGAGAAGTCTTTATTAAGAAAAACCAATCGCTGGAGGAAGCCAAGGAGATGCTGCGAGATTTGTTGCTGCGTCTTGTCTGGGAGCCGGACCACAAGCGTTCGCATACGTTTTTCTTCATCACTGCACGTCTGGATATTTTTGCATGTCAGGTCCGATTCCGAAATTGCCGACTTGACAATGTCTTTGATGGCTTTCTTGATTGGCTAAGGTCTTCTATGGAAACGCATGGTGTTGGCGTCTCTCTCCACATTCGCATGGGTGATTCGGCATGCGACCTCCAACGGTTCTGCGGCGACGGCATGTTCCCCGCTGAAGTCTTTGGAGGTCCACAGCGCTGGAGCAACGAAGAGGCTCGCTTCATGAAACGATTCGTCAAACTGAGCACGAAACAAATTGAAATCTGGCAGAATCTGGCTCCTTTATCTCCTTTATCCAAACCTTGTGGTGTGGAACCTCCTGTTGAAGCTAGATCTGTACAATAGCAATGCCGAGCACAGAATATGGTCCAGACTGATCTACACTACTACAGTATTTGCCAAAAAAGAAAGGCGTGCTGATGCAGTTGTCGCACGATCCAGGTTCTTCGCCACTTTCCACATAGCGGGATATCACTTCAAAAAGATTTCCAACTAGCAGGAAGCCTAGACAATCTCAGATGTTTTGACGGTTTTGGTCCGAGACAAAGTCATCCAAACTAGGATGAACAAAATTGAAGTGTCTCAGACGAGCTATGATGCCCTTCGCTTCATTGCAGACTCTTGCATCACTTTTACCCCGTTGGCCGAGGAGGTTCTCTGGTGATTATGTCCCTTTAAACGGCTGTATCCTGACTTAGGTGATTAGCACTCGCTTCAACCTAGAAGACTGCAGGCTTCATTTGGCAGACAAGATCCCATACTTTGAGGCACAAAGTGGCAACATGTAACATGTTTTTTGCAATCGGAGCATTCGGCCACAGTGTGGATGTTCGGCTCAATGCAGCAGATGATACTCATTACACTCGATGCTGTCAGGAGCTGGCTTTCATCGAAATCGACCCGGAGTCCGTCAGCTGAGAATGGAGGATTGGTTTCACCTCTGCTCCACTGCTCCTTTGGAATCGTTTGAGTCTAGTCTAGTGTTGAATTTACGCCTGCCGATGGCTGATTTCTTCACTGGCTGTGCGACGAAAAAGGGGAGATTGGTTTTTAGGGGATCAGCATAGTTATTGCGATCAGATCATTCTTCCTGGGTACCTTTTTCCACTGAAATCTCCTGGAGAAGCTGTGTCCAAGTCGAGATTTGCTAAGAGGGATATTGAGAGGATTTGACCGGGATGGAGTGCTGCAATACTTGCGCACACTTCGACCACTCGTGTTTTCACCAGTAAAAAGCCAGGTCATGGAAGCGGCACAAACTGGAGGCAACGGTTGTGATTGGTTGCGATGTCGCAATATTCCCGTCGTTGTGGTTTCTGTGTCTGTGTGGTTCTATGTCGGCCTCTTTACTTTGTAATTAGTTCGTTTCTGATTTGACGATTGGAAGGACTGCATCGGCGTGTTCGCGAGTTGGAGGAGCACTTTTCGTGTTGTGTTTACCTTTGTGGAATTTGTCCAGCAATCTGTCATACTTTCTTACGCGACACAAGACCTTCTCAGCTAGTGGTCGCCTGTGTGCCCTTAGCTGCTCAGCCAAGTTTTGGACACTCTTTGCAGTCCATGGAACTTCGCTTTGCTCGGAACCAGACATTGAACCAGGACAAGCTGAAGCGCTTGATTCCAATATCGGATCGTTTACGACAGAAGGAAGGTTTGGGAAACGCTGAAATGGGCTGTCCACACCCTGGAAATCCAACCAATTGTCCTTCAGTTTGCATATAGAACTCATTAGTGAAGTATGACATGCAGCACAGCACACACACACACACTTTCAAAACCGAGACTCGAGTCGCAGAGTCGCGGGGTATAACAGGTGGCGACTCGAGCTTCTGGAAGAGGGTGATGCGATCTGTGCGGCACAGCATGACGGCCCGACGCGGTGCCCTGACATCAGACAGTCACACGCTGCGAGATCACTGTGAGTCCTTGTCCAATTGGTGAGTCGAGTCCCATTTGAGTCACGCAGTCAGTTGAGAACGCTGGCAGTTTCCAGGATCATCTGCAATGAAAGCAGATACTGTGCAGAGAGCGTCGGGGTCTCAGAAATGGTCAGCAGTTCTCAACGATGTTGTATGACATGATGCTCCTCTGTGATCTTTTCCTTCATCCTTCTCAGAGTACACAAAGGATCTATCATACATATTCATACAGTTTCATACATTACAATACATTGCAATATGAGATGTATCCACTGCGCCGACAGGACATCTGGATTAAAGAACAATCTGGGAAACTTGGACAGGCTTCACAGCAGGGCCCCTTAGAGTGGAAACAGATTGCAGGACGGCAGGACATGGCAGGACCATACCGTAGATGGACGAATTATTCAAACCCTTATACATACAGCAACCCCCTGCACCCCAAATATCAATGTTATTTTCTTGTTTGGTTCGTTCCTTCGAATGGGCGAAATAAATCAAACCCCCAGAGCAGGAACAGCGCTACGAAACCATAACATTGAAATTCGGGGGAGGTAGGGGGTGGCCTATAACTCATGGATAGGGGTTTGAAAAATTTGTCCATCTACTGTAGCAGTACTTTGATCCTTCAATGGTAGATCTAGCAGACGTGTGTCCTACAATTTTTGGAAAACATTGGTGCCATAGAAACACAAAAGCAGCGTTCCTCAGGTGAGCTCGTGCTCATTTGGCAAGCGCTTCCCCCCAAGCCTCCGAAAATGGCGGCTCAGCTGGAAGTCACTGCAGAGATCGGCAACTTTTTGTCACAGAGACAACTCGGAACGTGACAGGCTGCAGGAACCCTTCTTCTTCGACCGATGGCTCCACAGGTCGTTCAACATCATTTCAAAATGACTTTTAACTTGGACTTTTTCTATTCATCTTGCTCTCACACTGCTGGTTTCGTCCAAAAGGAGACGCCTATATAATGTTTGCTTGGTGAAAGGGTGGGCTGCTTTTGCACCTCTTGATAGGTGTTGCAGGAAGCTGTACGCAACTTCTACCTGAAATCATGTGGCCGACACAGACAGGCAGCTTGGATATGCTTTTCATAAAGTTCAATCTTGTCATATCTTGTCATCATGCATTACAGATATTACATTCCATCCCATTCCATCCTGGCTTAATCTGGAATGCCTTGCTCCAGTATGACTTTGATGGGCTTCTGAAGTATGTATTACAGACAGCTTCACTCATTTGATATGGTCAATCCCTGTACACCCTTGAGTTGTGTCACAAGATCAGCAACTGGTTCTGAGCACACATCCAGTTGTCCTTCCAAGATGAAGCCTTGAAATATCCTGATTCAGGTGGAACAAGCAGTGTGCAACCTGTGTCGAATGGCGGCTTGGCAACATTCCCGTAGATACCATTTCAAGTGAGTTGAGTTGAGCTCCCCAGCAGTCACTGGCCATCAGCAGCCACCACTGAGTACTTTGAGTATTAGGTTTTCTGTCAGAGTACTAAAGTGTTAGAACAGTTTTCTTTTGCCCCATTTCTTGCAGTTTTCTACACGCCAAGCCCAAAAGTTCAATAGCATTTTGGAGCCGCTAGGGGTACAAAAACTTCCAAAAACTTGTAGACTCCATTTCAGCCCTCTAAATGTACACAACAAGCATTAAAGGGAGACGCTGGGACCAGCCACCACAGAAGCACTCTTGAACACTGATTCCACCACATTATTTGGCATTTGCTGGAGCTCAAAAGGAAGCTGCTAAGCTGCTGGCTCATCATGCTTTCCAAATAAATACGAGTGGGCTACTCTTGAAGATTCAAATCTTTTTTTTGACCCTGCAAGGTCCTACAATTCGGGAACAATCCCAAAGTCAGTTGCTCAAACAAATCTCAAATCTGAGAACTTACTGTAGGTCGTAATTCTGTGGCCCAACGCACCAAGGTGCTGCTTTTTGCTATTATGTGTCCGATACCCAAGATGAACAGAGCAAGATGCAACAAGATGCAACAAGGAACTGAAACGATTCCACCATATTCCCCAAGGTGACATTGTCACGTTTGGGGAGTTGGAGGGCAAAATGCCCAAGGCACCGGTGCAAAGAGTACGAAACGCATCGACACGCATCGAAACGGATCGAAGTGTTGGATTTGTCCTTCAATTTGACACGTTTGACACGTGTCAATGCTGCAACAGACAAACTTTCTTGCTTTAATGAAGACTTCCAGATCTGACTCCTTTTGCTTTGGTAGCACGGAATTCCCTCAAAAGTCTAAGTCCCTTTCCATCCTTTTCCAGGTTGTCAATGATGTGAAGTGTTACCTGGAAAGCCTGCAGCCTATCATCATTTCAAATCCTAGCAGCCGATTTGTGTTTTGAAGCTGTGATTGAGGCCCAAAGCTGGACTATGTATCGAACCTGCCGTTTGATGCTTCTTGGACACAACATGGAGTGTACAAGAAGTTTATATGAGGACTTTTGACGGTTTTTTTTGTCTAAAGCTGTCAACGGGTCTGATGAAACGACACAGAAACTCAAGCATTTGATGCAGGTTCTCAGTGATGCAATCAAAGGGGTACAACTCTTGCGTTACCCTCAACAAATTGGCGATTTGCAAAGCGCTTCAAAGAGTACCCAGGCTGTTCACACCATGAGCGAGTTTATGACTGCCATCAAGAACGTGAAACGCTCGAAGTGCTGCGCCTAGAGTGAGCCTTTGTGCGTTTCCAATCCACACGTTTTAAGAACATATTCCGGTCATTGCCATTCTTTCAAAAATGACCTTTATTCATCAACTTTCCTGCCAGCGCTGTTCGACAGGCAATTTGCAGGAGGTAATGATGGAAGCTTGGAGCGAATTCCACGGCAAGCTTCGGAACACAGAGGCTTGAAACTTCAACGGATACTTACTTGGTTGCCTTTCACGTTGGCCGGCCATTTGCCTTTTGCGTGAAAGCTCTCCACATGAAGATCATGTACGCATTCTGCGTGAATTGGAGACGGATCACATCAGTGGAGTCCACAGTGCACCCGCACTTGAGCTTTTGCAGGGAAAGCTGCAGAGATAGAGGATTCTCTTCTTCCTGTTCCGCAACAGCCTGAGAAGTTGCTGCTTTGTTGACGTTTCTGAAAGATCATGCCATGTTGACATTCCTTGCTCCGCAAACCCATAAACAGTGACATTCTTTTGGGCCAGGCTACTCTTCATAGCTGCCAACGTAATCTGCAGCCGCAGCAAGGCAACCGAAACATGCAAATTGCCAAGGGAGATTCAGATAGATTTAGTATGATTTAGTCAGATTCAGATAGATTTAGTAGGTTGCTTTAGCCTTCTCTTACCGAAGCTTGGGTTCACACCCTATTCCCACCCTATTCGCTGGGTCGCTTTCTATTGGTTTTCTCGCTATGTCCTTGGCCTGGACAGTTAACGGCGCAGTACTTCAACCTGATGATGCTTAGTTACGCTCGGTTGGGCACCGAGTGGAGCAGAGCGAAGCAGAGTGATACTGTAACCACTGTAGCTGCCGAATGCCCCCAGGGATGAAACAGCCCGTAAAAGCAATGAAATGTAATGAATAGCAATGATATATCGTGTTGGATGTTCCGTCATTGAGGCAGCCCATCCTCGTGTCGCCGGTAAAAAGCCAGGCCTTCATACAGCAAGAAAACAAATCCCGCGTCGTCAACCCTGAACCATAAAGCAAACAATTTCTGAGTGTGCAAACATTGCAAAATCGCTCTTCATTGTGTTGCAAAGCAGCTGTTGTCGGCTGTAGTTGATATATGTCGAATTATGTTGATATAGGAAAGGTTTGAGGGTTTGTACGGTGACTAGCAGATGCCTCAGCAATCCTCGCCATGCATGCTGCTCTTTGTATTAGGAATTGGACAAGCTCCTCGCTGTACCACGGAATTCCGGATCCACGGAGCGGAAGAGCGACTCAGAGGTTGGGTGCGGCGGTGTGACCGCTTGCATTGTTCGACGATTTCTTTCGAAGGACGAAGTGAGTCGATCTTGTGACAGGGTACCCCGTATGTGCAGATGGTGTATGCCCTGTGCCATGATTGTGCACCTGTCTGTGGCAAGGATGCGCACGTGCCAAGTCTATCCATGTCTGGCTATAGTTTATCCATGTTGATCAGATTTGATCAGATCCTAGTCATGCTGATTCAATTTCAATCCCCGCCCACCACATTCAACGATTCGGACCTTCACAGTTGGCCTTGCGTGTACTTGAGGTGGTCATGTGAGTCATGTGAGAGGTTAGAGGAAGCTCACCCTTTGTGTGGAATTGACTTCTTTTCGGGTACCGGGTAGGGGGTAAGTTGGGGAATTGGAGTGTCAGAGTCAGAGGATTGCTTAGCACCAGAAGGGATCGGGTCCTTTTGGAGGCTGCTGTTGCCTCTCCCACTCCAGATATACAGCGCTCCGTGTCGAGGAGACAAAATGCAGAAAGGAAACAACTGCTGCAGCATCACAGTATCACACTTCATGATGTGCCCTTTTGCAAACCTGTTTGCAAACCTCTTTCTGCAATCTGGGATGCGGTGGGATACAGCAACATATTTTGTGTCATTTGTGTGATGCCAATGTGCCTTGGAAGGAAATCATACGACTCCTTGTCCAGCAAGAGCTTCTCCTCAGGAGTCATACTGTGTGCGTGATTTGCGCACTGCCCTTTGAAAGTCATTCAATACATATTTAAATAATGATTCATTAATGATAAATAGATATATAAACAATACATATACATATATATACATTATACAGATAGATGGTGTAGATCATTCTCCCTTCCGCCCGTGGAGTGATAAGCGCCTGAATTTTCTGTGTTTGACGCAGGAATCGGGGACGAAGAAGCAACAGTCTCCGCAGAGGCCAGACTCTGCGGGTTAAGTGAATTTATCTGCAAGAGACCTGTAAAAGACACGTTATGATATTTTTCTATACACACATATCACGTATACCAAAACAGCAAAGATGTATACACTGATGTGATATCATGAAGACGATGAAACCACTGTTTTTTTAACCTCGATATCTCGGATTTCATTTCCTCAGGCCTTGATTGTGTCTCATTTGATTGCTGCTGATCGTCTACGTCGACATCCAGACATGTGGGAGGAGAACTCATATTTTCTGTGGGAAGTAGCTCTTCCAAAGCCGCAAGACGCTTCAAGAATTGCATTGCGTGACTTGTGGCTTGCTTGTTGATATTCATGATGCTTCATCTCTTGTTCCATCCCAAAAAAAGGTCCGGTGCAGCTACAGTGGCTCTTTCTACCACTGATTCTGTTAGTTGCTGGGCCCAGTCCCTAACCGGCTCTCAAACTGCTTTCACTACTCACAACGGCGCCAAAAGGCTATCCCAGGGCTATCCCACCTGAATATCAACACAGTTGGCACAGTTGGCTGGGTACATGGGCTCCATTGGGCTCCTGTCAGCGTTTGCCATGGGTCATCTACAAGCTATACGGTTCAATCGCTCCAGCTACCCAGCCTGTTTAAAGCTACAGTACATCGTATGCACCAATACTAGCTTCCTGGTCCATCAGAAGGAAGGCCTGTCTATCTGCAACAACTCGATTCAAGAGTGAACATACTCTTTGTATCTCTTTATAGTGAATGTTTCTCAGCATCTTCTGTTCGCACAGATTTGACAGATTCTCTCTTTTGTTTTGAACTCTCTGAGTTTCAGGAGACGAACTCCTTTGTTGACAGTCTATGGGAAGCAATCATGAAGACGACTCGGAAGAAGGCCAGAACGGCCAGATTTCTTCAAATAATCTTTGACTCTTTGAATTTGAATCTCAGCACACTGCATTTGTTCTTTCTAAGTTTGGACTGGCTGACCTCAACCTGCAGTACAGTAGGAATAACAAATCAGTGTTTGCTTACTTATTTTCACTAGTGCTCGCGCTTCTGGTATTCCAGAAAGTTGCCACCCTCATCCTTTCCTTTACCGGCACACCCTAAAAACCATCTATGGGAAAAGACTTTGGACGACTATCACAATCCATATGTGATGCTTGAACAGGTCTTGGGACATCTTGGGTTTTCTCCGAATGTCACGTGTCACCGTGTCACAAGCTCCTCACAAGCTCCTCACATGTGCTCCTTGCCAGTCACGGCTCAGCACTTTCTCAATTCAGCTGGGTAGGGGCCTCGGCGGCCTCGGCGGCCTCGGTGGCAGATAGATTTCATTGTGAACTGTCAGACCATGTCAGACCTGTCAGATCCGGTCAGCATGTCATGTCGTGCTTCTTTTTGTACTGGTGTGGCCGGTGTGTCATATTCTTGTTTGTAGACCAGAGCTGCTTGCTACACAATTTGATTTGGAGACACTTGGCCCTCTGAGATCAATGGGAGATTGCAGAATCAAACATGGCTGCCCAGGCCAAATATTCAGCTGCAAATTGCATTCATTGCGTTCATTGCATTCATTGTTTTTTAAGCGCTTAAGTCGCTTGTATAGGTGCATTTCTTGTGACAACCTCTTCCTTGTGCATGCTTCTGCTTGATACTGCCTTTGTTCTGCATCTGGCCTGTGCAGGTGGCACTGGTTTCTTCAATTGAGGGTAAGTAAAGTACTGTACCCCAAAAGTTCTTTTCCATTCATACTGCTGTTGCTTTTTCCCAAAAGCATCTCCGATGCTTGGGTTCTCCTTTAGGTTACTTTGCCGCGAGGGGAGCAATACGGAAGCAGCGGCGAGAGGGTGGACGGAAACCGTGGGAAATAGTTTGGGGAGAGCTCCGTCGGGAGGGAGCGAGATGGAAGCGACGACAGGGTGGACGGAGGGAAACTGTGGGACATAGTTTGGGGAGAGCTCCGTTGGGAGGGAGCAAGACGGAAGCGACATGAAGCGACGACACGGTGGACGGAGGGGAAACCGTGGGAAATAGCTTGGGGCGAGCTCCGTTGGGAAGGAGCAAGAACGGAAGCGACAACAGGGTGGACGGAGGGGAAGCCGTGGGAAATAGCTTGGGGAGAGCTCCGTTGGAAGGAGCGGGATGGAAGCATCGAAACGGTGGACGGACGGGAAACCGTGGGAAATAGCTTGGGGAGAGCTTCGTTGGGAAGGAGCGAGACGGAAGCGACGACAGAGTGGACGGAGGGGAAACCGTGGGAAATAGTTTGGGGAGAGCTCCGTTGGGAGGGAGCAAGACAGAAGCGACGACACGGTGGACGGAGGGAAAACCGTGGGAAATAGCTTGGGGCGCGACGACAGGGTGGACGGAGGGAAACTGTGGGAAATAGTTTGGGGAGAGCTCCGTTGGGAGGGAGCAAGACGGAAGCGACATGAAGCGACGACACGGTGGACGGAGGGGAAACCGTGGGAAATAGCTTGGGGCGAGCTCCGTTGGGAAGGAGCAAGAACGGAAGCGACAACAGGGTGGACGGAGGGGAAGCCGTGGGAAATAGCTTGGGGAGAGCTCCGTTGGGAAGGAGCGGGATGGAACCATCGATGCGGTGGACGGACGGGAAACCGTGGGAAATAGCTTGGGAGAGCTCCGTTGGGAGGAAGTGACACGCTGAGAAGGAGAGCTGTTGGCACGGGTTTTCAGGACAAATTCCATCAATGTGATTGTCCAGAAAAAGTGTGGGCCCAAGACTTGTCAAGTGGTTTGCAAACATTGGGCGATGGGACATGCATAGCTTCGTTGGCAGGGAACGAGACTAAAAGAGCAGAGCTGTTGGCACGGATTTTTCAGGACAAATTCCATCAACGCGATTGTCCCGAAAAACTGGTGCCAAAAACTTCTTAAACGGTGTCTAAACGCTGGGCAAAGGGACATGCCAGACATGCATGGGAAAAAGTTCTTTGCTGGAGGGGTTTTATTTTGCACGGCGTTCTGTCCGTCGATGCTTGGTTTTCGCTCCCTTTGCAGGGAAGCAAACTAAACGATAACCCAAGCATAGGATATGCATCAGCGTGAACGGACAGGTGGGGAAATAGCTTGGGAAGAGCTCTTCTGGGAGGGAGCGGCACTGAAAATGCGGAGCTGTTGGCACGAGTTTTACACGGAGCAGCTTTTACACAGAGGAGCTCTACGCAGAGGAGCTTTACATAGAGGAGCTTTTACACAGAGAAGCTTGTACACAGGGAGGACTTTACACACACACTCTTTTACACACAGAGTCTTGTACACAGAGACACTTTTGCACAGCAATGGTTTTATACACAGAAGCTTTTACACAGAGAAGTCTTTATACAGAGTAGTCATGACACAGAGAAGTTTACACACACACACACGCACATGGGCTTTTACACAGAGAAGCCTTTTACACAGAGCAGCTTTTACACAGAGGACCCTGAGGAGCTTTTACACACAGACGCTTTTACACAAAGAAACTTTTACACAAAGCAGCCTTTACACACAGAAACGTTTACACACAGAGGAGCTTTACACACAGAAGCTTTTACGCACTGAAACTTTTACACGGGAAAGCCTTTACACAGAGAAGCCAGTACACACAGAAGCTTTTACACAAAAAAGCGTTTACACAGAAACTTTTATGCACAGACGCGTTTACACACAGGAAGTTTTTACACACAGAAGTCTTTACGGCGCACTGAAACTTTTACACAGAGCAGCTTTACACCCAGAAGCTTTTACACAAAAAAGCCTTTACACACTGAAGTTTTTACACGCAGAGGCTTTTGCACAAGGAAGCTTTTACACAGGAAAGCTTTTACACGGAGAAGTCTTAACACAGAGAAGCCTGTACACACAGAGGCTTTTACAGAGAGAAGCCTTTCATACAGAGAAGGCTTGACACAGAGGAGCCTTTACACAGAGAAGTTTTTACACACAGGAGCTTTTGCACAAGGAAACTTTTACACAGGAAAGTGTTTACACACAGAAGCTTTCACACACAGAAGCTTTTTACATAGAGAAGTCTTACACAGAGAAGCTTTTGCGCACAGACGCGTTTACACAGAGAACTCTTTTCACAGAGGAGCTTTTACGCACAGGCGCGTTTACACAGAGAAGTCTTTACACAGGGGGGCTTTTGCACACAGAATCTTGTTCACACAGACGCGTTCACACACAGCAGGTTTTACAAAAAGACAACTTTACGGCGCACAGAACTTTTACATAGAGCAGCTTTTACGCAGCGAAGCTTGTACACACAGGGGAGATTTATACACAGAAGCTTTTACACGAAGAATTTTTTTATACACAGAAGCTTTTACACACAGAAACTTTTACACACAGAAGCTTTTACACGCAGAAGCTTTTACACAAAAAAAACCTTTATACACAGAGGAGCTTTTACACACAGACGGGTTTACACAGAGGAGTCTTTACATACGGAAACGTTTACTCAGGGAAGCTTTTACACACAGAAGCTTTTACACAGAGTAGTTTTTACACAGAGAAATCTTTACACAAAGAAGTCTTGACACAGAGAAGCTTGCACACACACACAGAGGCTTTTACACAGAGACACCTTTTACACAGAGCAGTTTTTTCACAGCGGAGCTTTTGCACAGAGGAACTTTGACAAAGAGAAGTTTGTACACTCAGAGGCTTTGACACAGAAAAATGTTTTACACAAAAAACTTTTACACACAGAAGCTTTACACAAAACAAACCTCAACACAGAGGAGTGTTTACACACAGAAGCTGGTAAGCAAAGAAACTTTCACAAACACACACATTCACACAGAGGACGTTTTACACAGAAGTTTCTACACAAAAAACCTGTACACAGAGAAGTTTTCACCCGCAGAAGCTTTTACATACAGAAGTTTTTTCGCAAAGAAACTTTTACACACAGAAACTTTCACACACAGAAGCTTTCACACACAGAAGCTTTCACACACAGAAGCTTTTACACACAGTTTTTTTTTCACAAACAAAACTTTTTACAATCCTTTACACACAGGAACTTTTACACAACGAAACTTGTACGCACAGACGCGTTTACACACAGTAGCTTTTACGCGTAGAAGTTTTTGTGCAGAGAAGTCTTTGCCCATCTTTCATCATGTCTTATTTTTCATGATCATTCACCGTCTGTCATCTTCATACCTTCCTTTTCATGCTCTTTTGGTCAGCTCCCTCCGTCGTTTAGTTTTCATTTCGCACGGTGTTCTGTCCGTCCATGCTTCGTCCTCGCTCCCTCTGCTGCGACGCAAACTAAACGAGAACCCAGGAATAAATAGCGGCTAAAAAGATGGGATAGAGTTATAGTTACATTAGAAATAGCGACTAGAAGAATGTAGACGTAGCTGACACAGCATGCTTAAAGATCTTACGTCGGTTTCGTGCAGAGCACAGCTGCCCACACCACAAGATTTTTTTAAAAAGGCGCGTTTTTAAAATGTTTTTTTCCCGCTCGTACTTCTGCGTTGGGGCTTTGTCTGTTTTTTGTGTTTTCTTCGCTTCCTGCTTTTCGCCCCTTGGCCTCTCTATGTGCATTTAGTTTTTGTCACTCCAGGATTCCAGTCTCTTAGGATCTGTCTTTTGCAAATCAATTTGACTTTACTGACTTTACCTGTTTTCCAAAGGAAACTGTGGCATTTTTTTCTGCATTTGCTATCTCTACTGAGTTTTTCGTTGCTGTTCCCGCTTCTTTTTTGTTTGCATCATGTCTTGTGACTGTTCTCTGTGTTGCCTTCAGGTGTTGTTTCAAGTTGAAACAGTTCCGGGATAAGCCATAGCAACTGATGTACCTTCATTAGTGTTTGAAACCTTGCTTTCCCAAAGGCTTACTTCCAAGTTTTGCCTGCAATGCCTGGAGCCTTTCCAGATGTTCCCGCTTTGTCTGGAAAGAAGGTTGCACCTCCCTGCGAAACTAGATCCGGGTTTTAAGGTCCAAATTGTTTGGGGAAACACTACCCTTGGACGTGCGTTGAAACCCGTGGTTTAGTTTGCAGTTCCAATATGTTTGTGTCATATTTGCATTTGAGCAGACGAATCAGATTACATATTTGTATCAGGTGACAACTGAGCGTTTTCGACTACAGGCCTGTTCCTCGCAATGTTGACTGAAGAGTACCAAAGTACTGTCAGTTTGACGTCGAATGTCAGGTGCTTTGCAGTGCGGAGTTTTGACCGTCCGAGGTGCCGGAGGCCCTTGTGGAAGCAGCGCTATTGGCAATGCAGCCTGAACTTGCTCCTTTGCTGCATGTAATGTCACTCAATGTGCATATGTGTTCGAACGGATACAGGTGACACAGGTGACAGTTGTGACACAGGTGACATGTCACAATATGTCTTGTATCTTCACATCTGTCCTCCATGTTGCACATTTCTGCGGTCTTTGTGGCCACTGTGGCCTCCTGGGTTCAAGTCGAAGCACAACGCATTGCGAATTGTGAAGCATTGCGAGCTCATCCCAAGAGCTCTTCATCGGGCTTGAAGCTGACCAGATCCTGATCAAAGAGATGTGGCAAGCAGAGCTGAAACAGATGGAAGAAAGGCTGCGACTTCAGATGCACACAGCAACTCGTCCATATGACGCCTGGACATCTTTGAAATATATGGCCCTCTTGAGTGCATTTGGAGTTTGTGCAGCCCTATGCTACCCATTGCTTTGGGTAGGGATGGCATTGCTTTGCTTCATGCCCAGCAGCCAGCTCTATGCACCTCCTTTGGTTGTTTTGGCGGCCTTGGGGACGGTCTATGGATCTGGCATGCTGACCATCTACTACGTGAATGCATACCTCGGAGTGCCCCTCACTGATCTGGGCGTGAGCTTCAGTTTTGCAATTCTTAGCTTGGCAGCAGTGACAGCTGCAGAGAAGCACCAGGTCAAGAAAGAGAGCGATAGAACAAGTGGGTGTGGCCGTCAGGTTCTCTCGTTGTGGAAGTACACCATCACACCCATTGTGGCACTGTCCTTTGTGTTGCAGTTTGGATGGCCAGGAGCACTATTTGGTGCAACTTCCTTTGTGTTGGTACTGAAGATCTTCAGGGCAGTGCTGCTCAAGCTTTGCTGGGCAGGTTGTCCTTCCCCAGGAGAACAGATGCGTGTTCTGCTGTCTGGAGATTCCTTTCCTCCGAAATTGGATGGAGTGCAGAACTTTGCCCGTAACACCATCCAGGCTTTGGTGCGGGATGGGCACAAGGTTCATGTCTTCTGCAGCAATGGCAGCCCAACTACTCACTTGGCTCCAGAGAATTATGGTGCCACTGTGACTCGAGGACCTGGGGTGGAGGTTCAGCCGAAACACAAGATTACCTTGCCATCTCCTCACTTCTTGGTGGCATTGATGCGTTTCAAGCCTCACATCATTCAGTTCTTCGACTTCACTCCATGTGCAATCTTCGTGGTGCCGTTTCTATGGTGGCTGGGCATCCCAGTCGTTATCTCCCACCACTCGCGTATCGACCTCTATGCAGCGTATGTGCCTGGCTTCATTGGTGACTACTCTCCACAAGTCGTCAGAGCAGCTTGCGAAATCGTGTTCCCTTTGGTGACGGGACACCTTCTCATTGATGGCTCTCAGAAGGATCAAAGTTGGTTCCAGGGACATGCAAATACCCGCTTCTGGGCCACAGGATGCGACTTGGAATTCTTCCATCCTTCCAAAGCAAACCCAGAGACGCGTGCAATCTGCAGCAATGGTAGACCTGATCTTCCTCTTGTGGTCTTTGTTGGGCGACTTTCACCAGAGAAGCAGGTTGACAAACTCATTGATTTGGTGAAAGTCACAAACCTGCCAGGTGAGCCAGAGTTGTGCCGCTTCGCCATCATTGGCCATGGTGACTCATGGGAGTCGATACATCGGGAGATTGGGAACAGACCAGATGTGTACATGCCTGGTGCAGTTACTGGAGAGCAGCTTGCCTCCACAGTTGCATCAGCTGACATTTTCTTTTCACCAACCGTGACTGGCACTTTGGATCTGGTTTTCATTGAGTCACAAGCTGCTGGCATTGCAGTTGTTGGCCCTCGAGCTGTTGCAGTTCCTTTGGTGGTTACTGATGGAGTCAATGGCCGTTTGTACGATCCCCTTGACATGCAAGATGCAAAGAGGGCAATTCAGGAGATTGCAGCAGGAAACTTGGACAAAATGAAAGCAGAAGCTCGCAAAAATGCCGAAGCCAATTTCACATGGTCCAAATCCTCCGATGAAGCCATTCAATTTCACAAGGATGTTTTGCAGTACTTCCAACGACATCGATGAATCTGCACGAAGCTGTAGGAGCTTCAGCGTTTGAGTACCCTAGTACTCTACTAGTACTCCTTCAATTTCAACTGGGATTGGCCGTGCCATGCCGTGCTTGTCAATGCAAAGCATTGTCAGCCACTTTGTGTACAACTAGACTTCACGTACGAAGCGATTGCCAGAATGCGTAGAATGCATGTCCTTTTTGCATCTTGCAGCATTTGCATCAGTTTAGAGTTCGAACGCTCCTGCCCCATCTGAAGGGATGGGCTGGCTGACTGCAAAAGCGCACGTCTTTGAGTTCCTTTCACGCACCGCGAGAAGAAATGGTTTTAGCGAACCTGCAGCAAGACTGAAGCATGCCGAATCTCTTGGTTGGCTGTTGGTAAAGCGAACCTAGAAGAGCAAGACAATCGTCAGCACAATGATTACCCCCAAAAAAAATCATGAACAGCAATGCAGTGCAGCATGCATTTTCAGCCAGAACTTTAGGATTTGGAGGCTCCTGAGGGCAAGGCACGGGGCAAACAATAGCTCAGTCTTAGCCTACAGGATGGCTGCAGCCCAAAGGGAACCTGGCAGGTCACCAAAGAGGCTGTGAGCAATTTGATGCACTTGTGGCAACAATGTGGTCATAACCTTGGATGTGTTATAGAAATTTGTAGAACGAAGTTTGGATTGCGGTTAACATTTACACGCAAGGCATACAAGTATCATACAAGCACATACTGTACCGCGTTCTTTGATTCAAAGGCGTCCTGTAAATTGCAACTCAGGTGGCGCTGCAAGCATGTGCGTGATGGAGAGTCATGCAAGAGCCTCATGTTCACCTATACCTCTTCATCCCGTTCATATCCCTTGGTGCTACTTGTAGAGGAGAAAGCAAAGCAATGCAAAGCAGTAGACCCAAATCGTTACAGAAACATGGTGAATAATGTGTATATATATATATATATGGCGATCGATCTAAAGGTCCTTGTAAGGAGTTTTAATTGCGAAAGCCGTGCATGTTATGTTGGAAACCCTCGCGAAAGTTTTTTTTCGAGTTCGCGAAAGTAAAATTTTATTTCGCGAAAGTTTCGCGAAAGTTGGGTATTATAATCATTATATATGTAAAGGGCTGCCACCCACTGCCGCCCGGGGTCCGGCAGGAGAAGGGCACCAGAGAATGCGAGTAGCAGTAGCCAAGTTTCCAAAAGTGAGGCTTTGCGAGAGCCAAACACCAAGGCCCCTGGTCTTTGCTTTTCCTTCAGTGCACACCCTGCTGATGGCCGGGGTCTGTGAATAGGGATATGTTCGCGAAAGTTCCGCGAAAGTTATATATATATTATTACAAACTTATGTTTCTTACTGTGGATGCCACATGTTGCAGCAATTTGTGCAACACTTTGAAAGGTGCGAGAAGTCGTACGAATAACGTAGAGCTTTCAGGCCTTGTGGGCGGCTCTTTGGGCCATGGCCCTGGAGCGTGCGTACGAGGTAAAACTTATGGGTCATGCCCTCAAGACCGAATTCCCAAGGCAGTTTGCCTCATTCCTGGGCCAAACATACCTAAGCCATCCTAAGCCTACCTAAACTGCCTTGCTTTCATTTGAACTCTCAAGACAATTGGGAAATATTGCGAAATATTGCGAAGTTTGGAGTGGTTTGAGTGTCCTTTTGAGGCAAATTCTTCACCATCTTTGATGACTCTGGAGACGATTGCCTCCAGTTCTGGGCCAAGACCTTGTTTATACCTTGTCTATGTTACAGATTTTTGGGAATTTTGTGTGCTCCAAACCTTGTGCTTGACGGCTGCATTTCGGGGAGACGGAACGACTTGAAAAAGGTACGACGAGTTTGTGAATTTCATGACTCACATTGCGCCTGCGGTTCCTGAGGTGTGTTACGCTGTAGTGTGCGCATAAGATTTTGTGACCTCCGTTCTTCTCCAGACCTTTTCTCTGCAGAGCTTGAATTCGAAATAAGAATCTGAGCATGTTCGCTTTGGACTGTGAAGGACATGCTCCTGTCTGTAACAAACCTAACTGTTTGTCAAGCTGTTGCTTTACAATTTGACGTGGCTTAGTGATCCTTTCACACTTCAGTCTTATTCAGACATGACAGTAGTACATTAGTAGTACAGAGTACGCGCTTAAAATACGGTAGATCAGTAGAGAATATAAACTACAATTATAATGAGATAATGATATATATATATACATGTAATATGTATATATCTATTTATATAAATGTAAATATGCATACACGAAATTTACGTGCTTAATATACATATTGTGATAAGTTGATATATATATATAATATAGGTAAGGATAAAGCCAGAGGCAACTCGAAGTCTCTAACTTGACAGGCAGACTGCGCGTCACTGTTCATGGCAGCGGCTGATGACACCTCCGCAGATATGACGCAGGAGGTTGGAGCGACAGGATATTGTGTAGGATAGGACACTGTGAAGAACTAGAGAAAGTTGCATTTAAACAGCAAGCATTCGAAATTTCAGTTGAGGCTTGACCTCTTCTCAGAAAACTGCAAAATGCGGACATGCACAGGTGTTCCTCAATCTGGTTCAGCGTGTGGGCGTGTCTTCTGATCTGGTCTTTGCCTTAGTATGATACTGCAAGTTTTGCATCATTGTGGTCATGAGTTGCCTATCTGTGTGATATGTTTGTGATGTAATTACTTGTGATTGTGGTATTGGCACGTACTGACAGGATGGACTGGAGAGCCTGGTAAAGTCTCACGAGGACAAGGCACGACAACGTGCTGGGTGCATTTGGGTGCATCTGGGTCATCTGGTTGCTGGTTGCTCCCGTTTCTGCCGTTGCTTGGTGCTTGACCTTGCGGGCTGTGACTTGTTCCCAGGTTGCCCAGACCAGAAAGGCTTCCATTAGTGAGATGGGGCAGGTATCTTGAGCGCAGCGTTACAAGCCAACGCTTTGGCCATGAGTTGAACAGCAGCTTCCAGAGATTCTAGACATTTCTAGAGCACCCAGGAGTTTTCAACATCTGTCAGAACAAAAATCAACAGGGTTTGTACTGTACATGTACTCAAGGCACATCAGAGCCGCCTTGGCTTTTCAGAGAAAACCTCTGAAGCTTTTAGCGTTTTCCAGAACGCCGAAGGTGTCTTGTACATAAGTGTGTTACATGCCATGCGCCGCACAAGCCTGCGCAACGAACGCAAGCATGTGAGGTGCGCAGAACCTGTAACTCGCGCATGAAGATTGGATTCCCAAGCAAAAGTTTTGGCAACTGTATTGCAACTTGTGCTCTTTTGCTCTCTCACACATAAACAAACACTTGAAGACACACACTTGCTCAGAACAATCTTTGCGAATTTTGATGTGAAATGCATCGGACGTGCAAAAACACCAACAATAAAGTGACACGAAGAATGACAATTTATACAAGTATATATAGATGTACAATCACATTAGACATTGACCGTATAAAACAACAGCGATAAGATATATGTCCCCCCCAGCTGCGACTTATATGCGCCCAGGGGCGGGACTATACATATACATATATATATATATATTAAGCAGGTATGTTTACACAGGAACATTGCAGCGCCTTCATTGGCCGCTGACTGCAATGTTCCCCAGCGGCCCCCTGCAGCAATATGAAGTTTTACATCTATGCAGATGGTACACACACACAACACACACACAACACACACACACAACACACACACACACACAACACACACACACAACACACACACACAACCAACACACACACACACACCCAACACCCAACACACACACACACACACACAAGCCCTGTGCGGGCACGAGACCCGCTCTCAAGTGGTGAGGAGCCACAGGAGTGTTTTTGTTTGCCCCTCACGCGGCGTCGTTCCTCCTTGAGTGGCCATATAACCGGGTGAGCTCCGGGCACAACTGACTGGCTCAATAGCATTCGTTGCACTCGATTCTTCTTACATTGATCCTTTTTCGATTGTTGGTCTTTTGGATATTGCTTGTTTTTATTTCATCAATCTGGGATAAAAGCATCCTGATCCCTGCCTGCTGGACAACGTGGCCCTTGCAGGGTCAGTGATACTGACAACGTCAATGCATATTTTTCGAGTGTGGTGGATCTTTTGTCACTTGGGTCTCTTGCACTGCACCCCGGTCCCAATTCCGGGGACAACCTTGAATCAACCTGGATTACAACATTGCCTCGACAAGATGCGCCAGCGGTCCATCCAGGAATTTGGTTACAATGCAACAACAGGTTGTCAGGGTGAGGGTTATCGTGGCTCCACAACCACGATGCAAGCAGCAGGATGGGAAAGAACATTCATTGACCATTTTGCGAAAGGTGGACAACCACTTCCAGAGGACTCAGGTCCAAGACAGAGGACACCTTCCTATACAGCAGTTCAGAAACGCAGTTTCAAAAGGGCTTGTAAACGGGCATTGAGGTATGGCTCCACGATGTATCATGGCATCATTCACACTCCAGCAGATTTTCCTTCACAGCTTTTGGACAAAATGCAGCGGCCGGCATGCAATATCAAAGAAACGATCAAACCGATGCCCCAGCATCGGACGGCAGCTCGTCTGCGCCTCCTTTGTTGGAACTCAGGTGGCATGTAGCAGGGGAAACTCCTGGAGCTACGATTGTGGCTATGTCATCAAACCTATGACATCGTCATATTGCCAGAAACGAGGTGGAGCTACAACCGCTGCTGGGAGGATGAAAAATGGCACTATATCCACTCTGCCACCGAAACCCCCAGGGTCGGCGGCATTTTGATAATGATTGCCAAATCCCTCATCTCAGCAGAGCACATTGGCTACGACGCCGTTGTCCCTGGACGTCTACTTCACGTCCGTTTGCATTATGTGAGACATGCCATTGATTTGATAGCAGTCTACCAACATGCTGAAGCGTCCAGCCATCACCACATCCAACAACGGGAAATCTATTGGAAGACTTTGGATGACCTTTTGTATCGTGTCCCTCACAGGAACCAATTGATATGTGGTGGAGACTTCAACTGTGCTACAGCCGCAATGCCCCCATGGATCGGCACGAGCACCTTCAAATGGAAAGGCCAAAATGTTGCAGGACATCAACATCGGGACATGCAAACTCTGGGACAAATTTTGCAAAGACATTCCTTGACTGCAGCCAATTCCTGGTCCGCTACCACAGGACCGTCATATTTTCATGGGGATTATGCTGCTAGGATAGACTATTTCTTTTTACGTTTACACAGTTGTGATGGCATCTCCAAACAGGCACACTATTTACACCATGCGGATTTTTTACCTCTCAATCAAACTCATCATTTTCCATTAGTTTGTACGATCCCCAAAAAACATATGATTTTTCAATCCAAACAATTTGCACCGGCATGCAGCTATCGTCAACGGGCACATTGCCGACATGCAAGCGAGCAGGAATCCGAGGGATGGCTTGCCTTGAGTCAAGAAGTTGCACAACATTGCAATCGACACTTGAACCAGGCGACACATTCTTGGACCTGCATCCATGAACTCCATCAAGACATTATTCCATTTTTCCAGCAACTTTTTCCTGGTAAACCTCCTGTTTTTCCATGCGCTGACCAAAGTGATGTACACGGGCCCATTGAAACCAAATGGAAACATCGGAAATGTATTCAAGTCATATCACATCGACAGGGACCCCATGATATTCATGATTGTTTGAAGGCGTGGTATCATTGGAGCCGTTTTCGAACCTTGCAACGACTCCAACAACGGAGCATCAGGCAGGCAAGAGCTCGACGTTTTGCCACACTCTGCACTGAAGCAACAGCCGCGGCTCAAATTCATGATTCTCATTCATTATTTCAAATTATCAATCGACATTCTCCCAAAAGACAAATCACGAAGGCTAGATTGAAAACTGATGATGGACGCATTGCTGATCAATACATGGCTCATGCATTGACGGTCCAACATGTGCGGCAGACGTGGCAAGGCCCTGACACCTTGCAACCATTTTCTGATCAGCCTCCAGGGGTTCCTATGGAAGTATGGGACATTGAACAGGCCATCATGACTTTACACCCAAATAAGTCAGTAGCCAGTCCTTACCTCCCGGCTATCATTTGGAAGAGTGCTCCCAGAGAATTGGCAACCCTCATCCATCAACTGTTGACCAAATGGTGGTCCTGTGCGGTTCCTTACATCCCGCCGGAATGGCGAGATGCCTGGCTTTTTTTCATACCAAAGCCAGGAAAGCCATGCACGCATCCGAGCCAATTGCATCCAATTTCTTTGATGGAACCGATAGGCAAACTGGTTTTAGGAATCCTTACGGAGAAACTGAAACGTTTTCACCTGGTTCAATTGTGCAGTGAACCACAGTTTGGATTTCTTCCCAAACGTTCTGCTTTGGACGCAATCGCCAGAGTTATTCGACATTGCAACCTGATTCGAACCTTAGTGGCTTTGCAGCGCAGAACTGTTGCTCGACAACGGACCACCAAACCTGAATATGCTTTTTGTGGAGGTCTCCAATTGCTTCTGGATCTCAGACAAGCGTTTGACACAGTGAACAGACCCCGTTTATTTCAATTTTTACAGAGAAGAGGGACCCCAACTGAACTTCTACACATCATTTCCTCATGGCACATGGATACACATTACAACCTTATTCACAATAATTCAACTACCAGAATTCCTGTGAATGTTGGTCTCCGACAAGGATGTAAAGCCGCCCCCATATTGTGGGTGTTTTTCATGAGTCATTTTGTGGAGCTGCTGCAAGAGCACATTGACCCCGGCTGGCTGCAAGAGGCACTGACAATGTATGCAGACGACCTGCATTTTGGGACCACGTTTTACAACAAAACAGAGTTTCAAACGGCCTTGACTCGACTGGGCAGAATCTTGGATGTATTGGAATCCATGCAACTTCAGCTGTCTTACGACAAGACCTTTGCCATATTAGCCACAGCGGGTTCAAATGCGACTAGAGGACTTAAAGGAGCAGTCGAGCGTCGAAAGGCTGGCATGGTCATCTTGCTTCCACGTGCGGGACAACAACCCAGCGCAATACCGTTGAGAGCATCTGGAAAATACCTGGGCATTGTCGTTTCATATGGCACATATGAACAGTTGACATGGAGGCATCGCATGAAAGCTGCCAGAATTGCGTTTGCTCGATTGAGATGCTGGTTCAAGAGCAAACAATTTTTTGCACAACATAGAGTACATCTCTGGATGGTTTGCGTGCACTCAATCATGACCTACGGTCTCCATGCCACCAACGCGACAGTGAAGGTACTCCATGAATATCAACAGCTGGTCTACCAAATGATGCGACAGGTCTTACATGACCACGCCTATATTTCCAGGAACACACATCAGCAGGTTTTTGACCATTTTGGCATTGCGTCTCCACTTGCCCTATTGGCCAGCCATGTTTCCAATTTATGGCGACGGCTACAAAGGCGGGCCCTGACACTGCCATCCACAGATTTTCTGCACAATGTGGATTGGTCGCACTTGCCGGGATTGATTCGACTTATTCAGTGCGTTGCGGACACATCCATTGAGGCTCCAATTGCTTCTAACGCGGCAGCACCAGTCAGGACACAGGCCCTGCACAGATGCCATGCATGTTCCTTTACAACCTGGTCAGTTGCAAATTTACGCAGACATCAAACACAACAACATGGATACAGCCAATATCGAACATCACCTTTTTCACCACTTGATTTTGCATTGCATGGCCAACCCCAATGTCGAAACTGCCTTCAAGTTTTCACCACATGGCGTCGATTTTTCATTCACATTGAGCGCAACTGTTGCCAGGTCATGACAAGTCCAGCCGATGTGGCGCCTGGAGCTCATACGCAGGATGGACACAGACCCATGTCCTCCATGGACAGGCCTTGGGATCGACATGTCAGCACAGAGACACATCCCTTAGGGAACAGGATGCCTGCACCCATTGCTGCAGAAGCCCAAATTTTTTGGCCATTGTTGCGTGAAGTGGTGCAAACCTCAGCATACCATCGACTGCAAGAAGACCCACAGATTGGTAGCTTTCTGGCCCACAATTGTGTTATTTGCGGCACATGGTGCAATCGGTGCCAGGAATTACACAGTCATTTCCGGCTGAATCATCCTCACCAGATGCCAGGCGTTTTAGCTAGAGGTGCCCAAATCACCCATCAGATAGCTTCCCCAACACCGTGTGTGCTCTGCCAGAAGCCTTACAAGAGAAATCACAGCTGTCCAGTGGCCACCCAAGTGGCTTGCTTGCAATTGCATGGGCAGGATTCCAATGCCAATCCTGATGCCCTGAGGACCTGCATCATATGTGATCTCCTCTTGCCGGACATGGCGCAATTGCATCAACACCTTGGTCGATGCCACGATCTCCAAATCCCAGACTGGTGCCCAGCCAGAGACTCCTTAGAGGGGTCCAGTGCATGTGCGCACTGTGGCGCTACATTCGAGACACAAAGTGGCTTGCGCCGTCACATATTGGACGGTCGCTGCGAGCGGTTCAACCCAGCGGCATCACCGCAGCCACTGGATGCGGCCACAAAGTGGACTGAGGTCTTGCAGCAAGGAGAGCTGACCAGGAGCACTCTGACTCCAGCCCAGCGCCAAGACTTGACGCTAGTATGTCAGCTGTGTGGGCAGCGCTATGGACGCCAAAATGATCTTGGCGCACATCTCCAACATGCACACAGTCAGCTCTGGCAGGCATCACAGGAAACACTCCGATTCCTGATCCAAGCGGTTCAAGCCCAACATGGATGTCAATGCAACCCCAGTTGCCATGAACAGGGTCGTACACATGTGTGCACGTTGCTGCGTCAATTTGCCATGATCTTCATGCTCAGTCAACATGAAACATTGGTTCCGACGCAGTTCCTCCCTGACAGGTTGCAGGTGTGGCTACAACACATTGAATTTTTGCCCATGTACAGGACGATCCATGACACGCTGTACACCAGACAATTTGAAGATTTGTGGCAGCAACCGGGCCTGGCAGGTTTTCTCAGCACTTGGTGTGTTCAATGTGGCCTCCAACACCATCCAGCTGCACTCGTGGTACATCACTGGCAACAACATCGGGACAACAGTCAGTGGGCGGCCCAGATCAAGTACCAGATTGTTACCAGCATGTTGGGTTTGCAAGATCAAGACACCACATGCAATTTTTGTGGTCAACCAGTCAACTTGCCGACAGATCCTGCCAATGCACTGCAACCTGAACGATTTATTGCCCTGCAGATTCATTTTGCCTCAAATTGCCCCGTTGTGCATCAAGCTGCGCAACTTCTGCTTCCACTCGATGGACGAGACGATGCCAGACCTGGATCAGAACGACATGGAGCTTTTGGCCTCCTTCCGGGAGCTGGGCCCTCTTCTGCAAGCGGCCAGCCGCTACCAAAGAGACCTAGAAGAGGAACCCCATTCCAAGCGCCCCAAACAAGAAGTGGGACACGAGGAAGCCAAACCAGTGGCCGTCCAGCCCCAGGTTCAGGGCGCCATGATGGGCATGATGAAAGTGATGGCCAGGTTACTGCTCCAACACGAACGGAGCATACAACTGCTTCACAGACAGGACTCCTTCGTTTTTTATGCCCAAGTCAGTCCACAAGGCGCAGTCCCTCTGCTGACACAGGCGGCCGTGGAATGGAAGGACTTGCACCAGAAGAACCCCGGCAGTCTGAAGGTACCTACCCTCAGAACACACCTTATGAAGACAATGACGAAAGAGATCCACCGCAGGGTGCAACAGATGAGCAACAGCAGCAAGGGCACAGAACTATGGGACAGAGCAGTAGAACGAGGAGTACTTCTCCCAGACGGGTCATGGCCGTACCAACGCTGGAGTCACACAGATCAACGCCTGATCCCAGCGGCCAGACCGCCCCTGCCGATGGCTCGACTCCTGAAGCAGCTTCAGCACATGGAAGAGTTGCTGGAGGATTCCACCCACGTGATCCGATTCCAGTCCTTGAAGGCTCAGCCTACAGTCATTCCCTGGTACCTCCAGATATGCCTGCGGACGGACGAGATCTGGTTGATCCTGACCGAGCTCCAACAGCTGGCGATGTGGAGCCTCCTGGGCCTGACATTGAAGGCACATCAGCAGGGGCAATGCAAGCAGGCCCAGCTCTTGCAGCAATGCCTCCAACAGAATCCCAGCAATGCCAAAGGCAAGGGGAAGGGGAAAGCCCCGGGCAAGCACAAGACCCGCTAGACCCTGCAGCTATCCGAAAGGCTTTGCGACAGGCCATTAGAGACCTCAGCATGGAAAATAGCGGGAATTGGTGCTATGCCAACAGCGCCGTATTAGCCTTTCTGTGGGCCACTCTGTCAAGGACCACATTCCAATTGACAGACTGGGGTGAATTCTCGGAGCTGTTTCAAGACATGTTATCACAACCAAAGGATACACCACTTGTGCTTGAACAATTTCAATGGTTTCAAAGTCTCATTGCATCCTGGTCAGAACGACATGGCCAAGCAGACAGCACCGAGTTTTCCAACATTCTTTTGAAAGGGGTCGCATCATCCAGCACCTCCAACCGCTGGGAACGCAGGGTATTTCAGGAACAAAGAGTTGAAGTGCATGACATGGGAGATCAATTCATGCCCATCACCATATCATTGGATCCTGAACTCACTGACAATGGCTCTATCCGCCTTGTTGACTTGATCAGGAACTGGCACAATGAGCTTGGAATGAGTGCAGGCCTCATGGACACTGCTGACCCCATTTGCATCCATGTTGACCGCTTCCTCAGGCTGCCTTCAGGCCAAGTGACCAAATCATCAACGCCAATTGGATTTCATTGGGGGATTCTTGTTCCTGTCTTCACACATGGCCCCGACAGTACAGACTGCAGTTGGGAAGGTTTTCAGGTTGTTGCGGCCACCGCCCACCTTGGATCTTCAGATGCTGGCCACTACCAATGCATTCTCAAAACAGGACATGAGGCACGTGCAAACCAGGAACCTGCACTTTGGCTTCACTGTGATGACAACAGGACGCCACAACCCTGTTGGTACTTGCCCCCAGAGTTTGCTGCCGGCGTCACATGTTTCTGGTTATGCAAGTGTGATTCATTGGACTTACATGACATGCGTGAGGACATAAGTCATGAGGCAGGCGCGACACCGAGCACAGTTGCATCCGACCACCATGCCATGCTCACCATGCTCAACAGCTTGCCGACCTGACCCAAGCCATGCTTCCTGCCAGAAGCACCCATGGCCTTGACCCCCAGGTCAAGATGACCCTTTTCATGCCCTCTGCAACCCAGAGCGTACCCCTGTTGGAAAGGACCCCAGAAGATGTCCAAAAAAAAAAAAATCATTCTGTTGCTTCAAAAAAAAGAAAAAGGACGGAATAGATCCGTTTCACCGCAGTTTCACAATCACAGGGTCGTTCCCATCAGGTTGCAGTACAGAGACTCCCTATATGTTTCACACTTTGCCATTGCCATCCACTTGCGTGTATAGCTTTGCTTGGGCATTTTGCCCTTTCCAACTAGCCTAGCCGGCGATTCAATCGAGTGACTCCGCAATCAACATGCCATTTTGGCCTCTGGAATTCATGAGGCATTTTGCTCTTTCGATGGTTGCATGCTGGCATTTTGCCAATGACACTTGCCTAGTCGGCGCTTACGAATGCTATTCCGCTTGGTGATCCCTTTTTTAGTTACCTGGCTTCGACCGTAGCCACATATGTGCCACCCATGCCCCTGACCCCTGTTGTCACCCTTTTCATGCCCTCCGTACCCCGGAGTGTACCCCCAGTCAGAAGGACCCGAGAAGATGTCCAAAAAAAAAAAAGGAATGACTCATTCTGTTGCTTCAAAAAAAAAAGAATGGGAGTCGAATCCATAATGCTCCCATACGTTTCACATGCCATCCAACGTAGCTGTGTCACCATATGTCCTAAAGACCGATGCTGCCTGCATCCTGAGCCTAGCCATTTCGGTGCACCTGCACCAATTTTGCTGCCAATTTTTCCATGCCCTGACTGCAGCTGATTGAACCCTAAGCTGCTGACTTGATCCAACCGAGCAACACCGTTGGAGCTGGCTGGGCTGACATTTTTTCCCCACTGATGTCAGTCAGCTGAGATGCGGAAGGATCCTCGCCTGTAGTTTCTCCAATGAGAGAACCAGCATGGTCAATACACCATCGCTGAAGTGAGCGCCAGATTCTAATCAGAAAAGGAGCGGAGAAAAAAAAACAAACACACACACACACACACCGCCACGAGCGCGGCGCCCAAGCTATTCCTGCTACCAGCAGCAGAAGGAGCCGTTTTCCCACGTTTTGAGCGTTTATTTATTTGACCTGTGCCATTTCCTCTGCGGCGAATCTGACATCACGGCGCTGTTTTGCCTTTTATTAAGTGCTTTTGCCTTCTGCAGTGGGGCTATTCACACTGATTTTACTGGACCTTTTTTCTCTGGTTTTGGGGCTTGGACAGACATTTGCAGTTCAGTTGATTTTCCTGACACATCGGCCTGTTCTACACCCTGCTTGAACGCGTTCACTGCCCATTTAGCTCAGCTCTGCCAAGCCTCCCAGCCTTGGCCAATTGCAGCTACAGAGAATTGGGTGAAATTGCGTATAACCAATTTTTTGACCTTCACACCGTCTTTTTTAGCCTTCTGCGGTGGGGCACTTACACTGATCATTTTACACGGTATTGTTGTGGCTTTCTGCCGTGGGGCCTTACAGCTTGTGCGATTTTTGTATTTCAATTTTCATTCCACTGGTCACGACAGTTCGCAGCAGATATTGGCTTGCTTCCCATTTGACAACAGGGATATACTACTTGAGCACTGTCACCGCCAAGATAATCACAGCCCAGACCGCCTGCTGGCTCTGTTGGCCCTTGCGTGTCTTCCTGTGCGATACATCATTGGTGGTCTGACAGCATCAGACGCTTTTTCTTGGGATTTCTGCTTCCTTCTCAACTTTGCCTGGGCTCCCAAGTGTGGCTGCAAGCCCGGTCCCAAGTCCGGGCGTCACAGGCGACGTGACTGGGTACCTCTTGTGGGTGCCCTCATCCTGATTTTGACCATCTATTCTTCCTGTGACGGGGGTGAGGGTTGTGGTCATACCATGGTGACCACTGAAGCACAAACACCATACTGGATTTCAGATCTCTCTGCATTCAGTGCGAAGCAACATGGACCGCGGCCAACAGCAACCTCAGAACTTCTGAGTTGGGCGCCCACAGACAGATCGATCAAGAAGAGGAGCATTAAACGGGCCTACAAGAGAGCATGTCGAGACGGACTCAGCTGGTATCGTGGGAAATGCTTCTCCCCTGAGGACTTTCCTGCCGAGATGAGACCTCCACCAACGGCACCATCACATGCCAAAGACTTGACAGCGTCGGGACATCGAGACCTGAAGCGATACAATGACAAGCATTGCAATCGTCGTCGCGTACAATTTCTTTCTTGGAATGCCGCAAGCCTCTCTCAGTCTAAGTTGGACGAGATACGCATTTGGGCTCTTGAACAGAATATCTCTGTCCTTGCTCTCCATGAAACACGGTGGAGCTGGTCCGGAGAGTGGCAGGATGAACACTGGCAATATGTGCACTCAGGTGATCCTCGTTCTCGAGGTAGCGGGATTTTGATCATGATTTGCCGCAGACTGAGCACTGACCTTCGATGGCGAGAATGCTTGCCTGGACGCCTTGTCCATGTTCAGCTTCGGCTGTCCCCACGCAACTTGGATTTCCTGGCATGCTATCAGTACAGCTATCAGCATAATGCCACTCGACAAGCAGATCGACTCCGCTGGTGGGAAGGCTTTGAATCAGTTCTCAGCACCCTTTCTACACGGAACGTGCTGGCGATCGCTGGAGATTTCAACTGCTCTTTGCCAGTGGTCACTCCCCAGGTCGGCCACTCCGGATATCACTGGGAGGGAGGGACTTTTCAAGGTACTGAGCATGGTGACACTGATGTTTTTACCCATATCATCCGGACTTTTGATCTCAATGTTCTTAACTCATGGAACCCATCGTTAGGGCCAACTTTCATAGGGCATGACAGCCACAGTAGAATAGATTTCTGCCTTACACGACAGCACATGGCTGATGGTGATTCTCGGAATGTTAAGTACTTATGGCATGCACCTGTCAAATCTGATTTCAAAGATCATTGTCCGATATTGTTTCGACTCAACAAGTATTGGATTCCGGCGCCACTCCAAAAAAATCGAACTGGCTGCACCTTCCAACAACGCGTGCAGTGTCGAACTGCCTACTTGGAGGACAACTCCACGTGGCAGACTTTCTTGCACAAGACCATGGAAACAGCCAGAACCCATTTGGACATGTCGGATCCTCATGCAACCAATATTCTCACCCATTTGCATGACTTGGTTTTGCAGGATTTTCATCATTATTTTCCCCCTCCCTCTAATTCAACCATGGCGGTTTGGAAAAACACTGAACATCATATTCAGTGCAAGTGGACTCACAGACGTGATTTTCAAACGATTGCTGCAGGAATGCATTCAGGTCTCACAGATCTCTACCATGTTTTTCGCTTCTGGCACCATGTTTCAAGGTTTGGCGCTCTGACGAAACAGCAGAAAAAGCACTCCAGACAAGTGCGCAAAGATCGTTTTGCTGAAATCATAGCTCAAGCCCAAACGGCTGCTGCAAGGCATAACACATTTCAACTATTTCAGCTCATCAATCGTTTTGCCCCCAAACAGCCACGAAGACGCACACAACTGCGCACGATCAATGGTCAACTTGCTACTGCCACAGAAGAGCATGCCATTTTGTGTCGTTATGTTCATGATGTTTGGTCAGGGTCCCCTACTCAACCAACCCATCCAGCTGTGATTGCAGGTACCCCCTTCTCTGAGCAGGATGTTAGGCATGCCTTGGAATCGATACCCATCTCCAAAGCCATTGCCCCTGGTTTTGCCCCTGGTGCCATTTGGAGGGCCCTAGCTCCCTCGATCACTCCCTGGTTATTCTCTCTTCTTCAATGTTGGTGGTTTCAGGCTGACCCGATCATCCCGGATTGTTGGCGACATGGTTGGTTATGCTGGCTTCCGAAACCAGGGAAGCCTCCAACGGCACCGGCCGCCTTGAGGCCAATCGCGCTCCAGGAACCTTTGGGCAAAGCCCTGATAGGTGTCCTGTGCAGAGTAGGACTATCCGATTCCCTGGATCAGCTGATTCATTGGCCACTTTGGGCTTATCTTCCACATCGATCCACCTTAGATTCCCTCTACAGGGTGGCTATTCATTGTAAACAAGTCAGGTCATTGATTCAAACTCAACGTTCTACTCCTGCTACCAGGGCATCTCAGCAAGACAGACATAAGCTTTGTGGTGGAGTCCAACTACTGGTGGACATGAGCCGTGCCTTTGATTCGGTAGATCGCAACAGACTCTTTGCCAGGCTACATGAACTGGGTGTCCGAAAAGAGGTTGTCAAACTTTTGACTGCTTGGCATAGTGACACGTGCTACATAGTGCAGACTGGTGATGTCTCCACCCAGGTTTCAGTGGAAAGGGGCCTGCGTCAAGGCTGCAAAGCAGCCCCTTGGTTATGGAACTCGACAATGGCCTTGATTTTGACTGACCTTGCTGGTCATATCGACCGCTCTTGGCTGCAGCAGCACACCAATCTTTACGCTGACGACATACAAGCTGGTGACATTTTTTATTCGGAAGCTGAACTGATGTGCATTCTCCACAAATTTGCAGTGATCCTCTCTATGTTGCAATCATATGGACTTTTGATCAATGAGGACAAATCCATGATCTTAATTGCCATGACAGGGACTTCCCAACAACAAGTTCGACACCGTCTCATGTTGCGGCGCAAAGAAGGTGACAAGCTGCGGTTTTCTTATGGTGATCACACCTTCAGTATCCCGGTGACTGACAGCGCAAAATATCTGTGCGTTGTGATCAGCTATGGGCAAATGGAAGAACACACCATCAGACACCGAGTGCAACTTGCCACCATTGCATTCAAGCGTCTACAGGTTTGGTTCAAGGGACGTCGAGGATTGGCAATGCGAGAGAAACTTCAACTGTGGAACACTTGCGTTTTACCTATTGCTACATATGGTATTTTCAGCACAGGTATCACGATCAAGGGTGCGAGACTTCTCAATCATACCTTCACAGTGATGTTGCGCAAGGTTCTCATGGATCACTCATACATTAC